TTAAAAAATAACACTTGCAACTTTTTAATGTTTTATATAAGATACATTATAGTTTGTTACATAAAAACTAGTTAATTACATCTTTTTTTCTATACATTTATATTTTTATCATATTTTCTTAATTATTAAAAAAATATATTTCGAAGAAGGAATTAAAGAAGAAGGAATGAAAGTAGAAAAAGAAAGTAAAGAATAGAAATATGAAAGCGATGCAACTTTCAATAACGGCAACACACGCATGCACGGTCGAGAAGATACTCAAGATGATATTATATAGCACGCATATAAGATGCATCAGATACCCTTGCAACCGATAATGATGACGTAACAAAACGAAGGCGCGATAATAATGATTCAGCATATCGTACTTCTCTTCTACACGCATCGTCAGCGTAAAAGCAGATCGTTCCACCATCGTCTATCAAATAATACTTGTTAACTCGACACTTTCATTATTCAATACAAAAAATTGTAAAATTTTACAAATATAGACATACAAAACAAACTATCGCTAAAAATACGTAACAATATAATTAAACATTATATTGTTAGAAATTCTATTTCTTTCTGGAGAAAAAAGTATATTGAATTTTCGAAAAATGTTCCTGATTTTTTAATGATCAATGCACACGATTTTAACGATAATGAATTATTGCAATTAAATTTAGAATAAAAGAAAGACAGACAGAAAGAAAGACATACTAAATAAACATAAGTTATTATTGTGACCCAATCTTATTATTTGCAAAAATATAAATAGCATTTTATGGTATCTGCGTACGCGACATACTTAGCATGTTTTTGAAATGTCAACTGCATACATATTATTTTTTCAAAGATTAAAATTTATTCTATTTAGCAAAAATATGTAAATATATTTCAGAATTTTTCACATTTACAATTATAAACATTTAATTTCGATATTGATGACTCCTCATTAAAAAGTGCATAATTTAATCGAATTAAATGAAAAATACACAGAGAATTTTCTCTTAGAATTTACCCTGAAAATCATGGTAATCGTGGAACAATATGTTATTGGAAGAATTTTATAAGAGTTTCTCTGAATAATTTACCGTAATAAAAATATTAATATCTACCACAATAAAATATAAAATATGTTTAAGTTTACTATGTACATATACCATACTGTCTCACAATTACCAGCATGATTTTCAGAGTAAATTCTAAGAGAAAATTCTCTCCGTGTATTTAATCAAATTTTCATATAATTTTTAATAAATAAATAAGTAAAGTCTCTCATGCATAAGAAATTATATTGTGTAGCTCTTCGATATCTTCAAAATTACATGATATTTATTTAGTCTCTTTAAAAGTACAATATTCTTAATTTTCTAATATGTATCCTTAGGCGAGTCTTCTAGCTAATCAATATTAGAAAATCAAAGGAGAATCATAAATCGTGTCTCACGTCGACACTTTCTATCCCCTCGTCGGTCTCACAAAACGCGCCGGTAAATCCTGCGGGTTTTCCACGAAAAAAAGAGCGTAATCGACTAATCGTTCACGCTCATGGCGCCTTCCAGATCGCTCGATCCAGCTCGCGGGGCAACATTCCAGCAACACGATCCAGAGCGACCGTGCCCGTTCTTATCGGAGCGAAAGAAAGGGCTCGCCGTACAGAAAGATTTCGTACGCGAGAGAGCTGTAAAGCAAGAGCTCTCGTTTCACCTGTCCGGGACGATGCCGAAACCGAAGTTCGCTCCGGGGCCTTGATGCGACCTTCCGCTCGATCTTTCGAACTGGTCGATCATTCCCGCGTGGGCCGGCCTGGCGGCATTCCTCAGCCTACGCCTCTTTCATTCTCCTTCATCATCTTCATGTGATCTTCCTCTTCTTCTCTTTTTTCTACAATATTCCAATACTTGCTTTCTTTAACTCACACCTTATTTATATGCTATATTAATTATTTAATTATTTATGTGAAAAATTTTAAACTAAAATGCTGCATACATTGCATAATTTTATATCCATATATATTATATAATCTTTAATTCTCCTTCATCTCCATGTGAACTTCCTCTTCCTCTCTTTTTTTTCTACAATATTCCAATACTTGGTTCCTCTAACTTACACATTATTTATATGAATTCTGCTATATTAATTATTTGTGTGAAAAATCTCAAACTAAAATGCTGCATACATTGCATAATTTTATATCTATAAATATTATATAATCCTATCTATTATTAATATCTGATTTTTACATTAAAAATGTCTGCATTGATAAATTAGAAAAATATATGCAGCTTTAGTTTATTCTGATAGAACTTGAAAATGCTACCGGAAAGGTAGTATTTAAGATATATTTTGTATATCTGAAAAACGAGTCTAGTATGTATTCAAGTACGAGTACGTATTATATGTATTACGGAACAATTCAAGACTATATCATTCTCACAAGCATTTGCATTAAAACCTATGCAAATTAGCCCAGAGAATCGTCCAACTTCTCATCTACTATTTCTTGCGCAGTGCGCATAATTCTCTGCAAATTGTCTCGCGTATATTCATTAGAGTAGGTGATTTTCAAGAGAAATGACGATTTGTATCATCTAATCCAACAATCTAATGAATTTAGACAAGCAGCAAGCAATATCGAATTAGCTACAGAAATTAGTCAAAGAAATACATAAATTTGCAATTTCGAGTGAAGTTAATAGTAATATAAATTGTAGTGAAGTTAATTATTGTCAATATTTGTGACGAATAGAAAAATTTAATTAAAAATAATAGTTTGTCTATCTTTTTGTAATTTTCTCATAATTATACAATTAACTTCTAACTGAGAAATTAATAATTGTTAAACGATCGTCCAATTAATTGTCAGAACAGCAATTAATTTTTGATCTGTTCAATGATCGATACTTTACTTTTTTCTGCTTTTTATGCTCTCACCATCTAAAGTACAAAAGGATGAGTTCAAGAAGCAAGAAAATACAACGGGTCTTAACTTTTTTTCTTCTTTCTACAAAAAAGTACTTTATAATCTACTGAACAACGGATCTCTCATCCCTAGATTTCATTCTCATCGACTTTCACCGGAGACTTCGGTTCAGCAAGGACGTTTCTTGACGTACAACCCATGAATACTCTCGTATTAATGACTATTGTCTCATATTATTAAACGCCGTTATCCACTTCCTTTTCTATTCATTTACATGTGATCCCATAAGTACATGGCATTGTTCTTGTGTTTCCCAAAGAAAACAATTAACTTATTTGTCAATTCTCTTAGGAATGTTATGTTTGAAAAGTATTTTGATGACTCTAAGTTTGTTTACACATTAAATGCAAATTTACACATATATAATTTGTGTAATCTTATTAATAATCTTTCTACAATTCATATAATTCTTATTTACAATAGTGAGTTAAAATTTGAGAATCAGAAATATTGAAGGATGAGAAATAAATTATAAATTTAATTCATCAAATTAAAAGTCACATGGAAAGATACGTAGAGTGTGAAAAATATATCACGATATATAACACTGATCTGATTTTTACACATTTCTTCAACAGATGTTTTCCTTAATTTGAAGCAAAACAGTTTTCCACTCTAATTCATAGTCTAATTCACTGTTCGAATGTAACAAGCGGGTGCCAATATTGTTGGTGCCGTAAAACTTCGCCAGGCAATTCCGCAACCGTTGATGATTAGAGTCGGAGAATGCAGGCTAGATGCACTGCATTTGCATACGAACGAGTACCGGCGCGACTAGTCCCGCCGAGCCGAGCTATTGCATCTAATTGTTAGTCCGCTTGACCCAATCGAGAATCGCCGCACGCGCAGCATCGCGCAGTCGCGATTTTCATTCTCTTTGGCTTTTGCGTGCCACCTCGCGATAAAATCGCTCTTAAGCTTCGTAAGAGTCTTGAGGTATTTAAGGAAAATATTTTCTCTCGATAAGAGCTTTATATAACGAGACGCTCGTTCTTCGAGAAATGGGGAAGAAAACATTTTATATACTTAGGATCTATTTTAAATTTTTAACTTTTTCTTCCAAATTCTATTTTATTATTTTAATTTTATATTTCTTTTTTCTAATTGAAAATAAAATATTATATATAATTATGGGAAATAAATATGTATGTCGATATGAAGAACACGTTTTATTGAATAGAAATTTGATATAAAACTATTTACGTGTTAAAATGATTCTTAAGAAAAGGAATTCTCAAATGCATACTCGTATCACGACGTGTCAGCACATACATATTTCGCCTCGCAGATTTGTGATGGCTTTGCAAATTGGGCCAATCGATGATCCAAACCGAAGCGTAATCCAATAACTCTGCCATACCCGCTCTAGCAAATATTCAACATTCCTGCATAGGGACAGCTACCACGTCCGTCGCAGCTCGTAAATTCCTTTGTCGATAAACCGGAGCACTTGCAATTTCTTAGCATATAAATATAGATTGAGAAAAATAACTTGTTATATGTAGCAACGCAAAAATATAAAGTATGAAGAAATCATGGAAATAAATTAGTTATCTTAAAAATAGTTCTTTTTTCGAATATTAATAACATAATTAATAATCACAAATAATTGTATAAAAATTGGTATTAGTAGATTAAAATTTAGATGTATGTAAAATAATATATTTGCAATGTGTTATATAGTTCCTTGATCTTATAGATTATTGCTTAATACATAACCAGACAAACTACAAATACTCAAATATTACGCAATCAGTAATATTATACGTAACTTCTTTTTAATATTGCATTAATCTCCAAATGAATTTTAAGACTGTCTTTGTTTATCAAAGCTCTATATAATAATTTTTGTCAGCCAAACGCTTTGACACAGAAGCGTAATGACCGTAATTTACAAGAATACAGAACTTTTAATTCTATAAAAAAAGAGCCTAAAAATGAACACGAAATTAAATGTCGTGCTTTAAAGAGTAATAAATGTGTTTCTTTTTATCACTGTTTCTCTAATCGCTTATTCTCTTTTTATTTTTAGGTAAAGATAATTTTTCGACTTAGGCTAAGATGTCACATCACAGCGACGACAATATGCTGATAGCGACGTCGGACTCCTTCTGGGAGCCGGGCAACTACAAGCGAACGACGAAGAGGATTGAGGACGGTCATAAACTCTGCGACAGTTTGATAGCATTGGTCCAGGAAAGGGCGGAGATTGAAAAGAATTACGCCAAAGCTCTCAAAAACTGGTCTAAGAATTGGAACGACAAGATCGAGAAAGGACCCGAATATGGTACGACCGAGGCGGCGTGGAAGGGTGTCCTCGTAGAATCTGACAGACTTTGCGATCTTCACCTTAGGGTCAAAGAAAACCTCTGCAACGACATCGTCCAACAAGTCAAGACGTGGCAGAAGGACACGTATCACAAGGTACGGATCGCTATTTCCCCTTTAAATAGACAGAAATGTGGGTCATGAACAAAATTCCTATTTTTCTTCTAAACAAATTAGATCAATAATCTTTATTTTTCTTGAACAGCATTTTTTAAAATGACAAAGTAGGTGGAAAAAAATCCCCAATCAGTTTTCCAACTCTCAATTAAAATTTATTTTTTGATTAAATTGCAAATTTTCTTTTGTTATAATATTTTTTTTATATAATCAATTTTATAACAGATGGGAGATTTGATGTCTACTTTTTTTATTAATTTCTTTTATATATCAATTTTTGTAATAAGTACTTGCTTGCACGCAATAGTAATATTAACTGATATTATCCGGGCTTGATTGCAGTCGATGATGACCCTGAAAGAGCGCAAGGAAATGGAAGATGCATTCAAGAAGGCGCAGAAACCATGGTCGAAACTCCTACAGAAGGTCGAGAAGGCAAAATCGGAGTACCACAATAGCTGCAAGACCGAGCGAACCGCGGCGAACATGGAGAGGAACGCCTCGGCGGACAGTTCTCTCTCGCCGGATCAGGTGAGCGTCGTCACAATACATTTTCTTATATCCCGCATATCTCGCGCACACGTATTACGTCACTTGTCACTCGTAACGTTTTGTTAACGATTGCTGCGGAACAGTAGTACCATGTGCTACTATAATTTGCTCCGTCATCACGTTCGCTTTTAAAAGGCTGACGAATTAAAATTAAGCCACGTAGCAAATACGCGGAAATAATTGCATCTCGAATTTGCTTCTAATGAAATAACATATTTACAACACGTATTCTGAAATTTTCATGGAAAACAAAATTTTTCGATATTTTATTAAACATTTCTTGTTTAGTTAGGTAAGACTTCTCGAAATACTCGATATAAATAGAAGTGCGATAATATTCAAAACTAATTATTACGCTAATAACGACAAGTTTTAAATGTTGTACGAATATTCCAATTCTTGAGCGCGAACGTGTATATACATGCTATGTACATTGTTATTTCAATCAACACAGTAACACTTATTTTACATTATCATCCACAAATTAAAATAATCTCACGGCGAGACATTTCTTCGCATTCCTAACAATATTTTCCAAATAAATGAGACATAATTACACGCACAACATTTAACATCATATGTTTACGTTAGTCTCTTGGCATTTCGATCACGCGTATTACACGCGGTTCTACATACGGTAGATACAGTTATTCTTTAGCGAGTATTATTTACAGATGGCTCGAGGCTCTGAAAACGTACGTTTTACATCTTGTGTATTCCTAAGAAAATATTCTTGCATGCGCTATACTATCTCTCTCTCTTCTTCCATTCTTGCTTCTTTCCGAATGTTTCGCAGTGAGTTTCGCTAACGATACTCGATTCTGCGCACAGAATTCTCAGTTTGCACGTCTGTGTGTTTCTTGCCCAACATCTCTCATTCGGTACGAAAAGGATACTTTGTAACAGTCACTGTACGAAACCGATGTAAACGTTTCATACCACTTCTTGCACGCTGGTAATTATACAAACCAAACTTAAATGATGAAACATACTTGCAGTATAAAAAAACTACATTGCAGCTTTCTGTATATTTGAGTTTTGTTAACTCATAATTATTTGGATTATTATTAGAGCAAACATTAAAGGAGAGGGATTGATATAAGTTTAGGAAAAAAATGTCAAAACAATTTCTATTTAATTCTAAAACATAAATCGCCGCTAAAATTCACGCGCACGCATAGCATCGGCACAATAATGATCGATTGATATCGGAGATATCATTCAGACATCTCTGAAAGACAGCTAACGACGTTTTTAGATGACAGATTGTGGATGTGATGCATGGAGGCTCAGAGTACCAAAAATCCTTAGGAATAATAAAATAGGCGACGTTCAGTTTGTATGTATATAATGTTGCATGTCGCATGTTTCTTGACTTATGCCTTTTCCTCCTTTTCTCTTATTACAGAAGGCTCTGCTGGTAAGCAAATCTCTGATTTTGAAGCTTTTTCAATTAACACACGGAAAGTATTCGCTCTAATTAATCAGTTGAAATTAGAACGCAGCCAGCAAATATCTTTCTACGACACATTTACATTTTTTTATTTTCATTTCTTTCACTTTTCTTATCAATTCCTTTAATGTCGATCTGTCCCTTAAATTTAGATGTAGTATGTAGATGCTTTTCTCGCTCACGTTAGATAGTACACAGAGAAAATTTTCTCTTAGAATTTATCCTAAAATTCGCGATAATAATGGAATAATATGGTATTGGAAGAATTTTATAATTTTTTAATTCTTAATTCTTTCTAATAAAATTTATCATAATAAAAATATTAATATCTACCACAATAAGATATATCAAATATGTTTGATTAAATTTAGTAAAATATATGTATAATAAATGAACATAAAACGTTTTGTATAAATTTTACAATGCAGCATAATATTTTCGATCCAGCTAATAGTTTATGATAATTTTAACATGCAACATGGTAATTTTCGGCTTATTACCAAACATTATAAAATTTGTAGTAAATGCGGTAAATTGTAACGAAAAATTCTCTCCGTGTATATATCTACTAGTATTATTTAAAATAATTATTCGGCGTACCTATATACATATATATATATATATATATATATATATATATTTATTTATTTAGAGGACTTCCACGTAGGAGAATATGACTGATATAATTTGCGCGCGATTGATAAAACCTTACTCGTAATTACAAGTGCACACATACTTCGACGTGTATTATCGTATATATAATTTGGTTTAACTCAAAACTGGTATAAACATGAGAAACGCGGCGCACGTGCATGAAATATGGATAATTCATGAATCGGTGTGTATAAAACCTCTTTGCACTAAATTCTTAGAGCGCTCGCAGCATACATAATGATCTTTGCGCGCGTACATACAATGTTTTTGTCAAATCGAATAACGACATAAATTTTATTCCGAATACAGCCATCGACCTTGCATCTTTCACCGAATAAAAAGACTCCACGTGTTTGGAAAGTAATTTTAAACGCTGCAATTATGTGATTATGTATAATGTATAATTATTGCGATATAAAAACTATTTAAAATTCACGAAATTCGTGGAGTTGAGTTTTGCTATTATTTCCTCGATAAGAAGATCCGAAATTAATTTCTCAATTTTTTTATATCAAAAGTTTGTGAACATAAAAATATTTAATTTCTTTTTTATTGAATTTATTTTTGATTGAATTTTATATTTTGACAAGAAATAAATGTTTTTAAATTATCTGAACAATGTAACACTATACATTTCAGTATCAGTCTGAAAATTTTTTTGGAATGCAAATTAGATTGTTATTGTAATAGAAAATAGCTATTATAGATTGTATGTTATTTATACATGTAGTTGCATGGCGAAATAATACATATAAGTAGATATTAAATAATACGTAGTTAGATGTAGAAAATAGCCAATATATTTTATACATATATATTGTATACGTATATTTTTGCACATTTTTCGATATACAAAAAAAATCGTTATATACATATATTTCTCGTCTCCATCTTTAATGTATCATTCGCTTAATATCGCAAAAAAGCATATTTTGTAGCTTTTTGGCGATGGACTAGATTTTGAAGGTAAAGAATTGGAATTATCTATTAAAAATCTTCTCTCTTTTTAATTAACATTTATAGGAAGAGAGAGATTTCGAACTTTGTAAACTAATGAAATAATATGTGAAAAATTAACAAGGCCTTTTAATATATATGTAGCACATTTGAAAAAATGTTTGCTATCATAAAATTGAAAACTACTTAAAAAATTTTTAACCATTAGACCATATCTCATGATTCCGACCAAAATCTTTACCTTCAAGCCAACATTAAAGAAGAACGCTTTTTATAAGATTTCTAAATATTTTTCTCGTCTCTTTTGACAGGTGAAGAAAATGCAGGATAGAGTGCAAAAAACGAAAGAGGAGGTACAAAAGGCAAAGGAGAAGTATGAAGCGGCGCTTCAAGAAATCAATCAATACAATCCAAAGTACATGGAAGATATGACGCAAGTGTTTGAGAAGTGCCAGGAAATGGAGGCGCAGCGACTACAATTTTTCAAAGACGTCCTCTTCGGCATTCACAAATGTCTGAACGTATCGCAGGATCCAGTGTAAGTCGCTTTTTTCATTATTGCGCAGCTATATGTAAAATTTTAAAAAATATTTTTCTACAAAACCAATTACATATTATTGCATAAATATGATACGATCGTCTATCATAATCAGTATTGATTATGGGCTCTCAATGTCATTTAATTAATTCTGTTTCCATTAATTTAAAACTAGTAAAATAGAAATACCCATCTTGTCCAGATTTAATGGATATGAAAAATTTATCACATTATCGTCATTAATTTATGGATTATTATTTTCAGGCTTCCACAGATATATGAGGAATTTTATCACACGATAAATAACGCCGATCACGAGAAAGATCTTAAATGGTGGTCTAACAATCACGGCGTAAATATGGCTATGAATTGGCCGCAATTCGAGGTAAATTTGCTTATGCTTGTCTCTCTATGCACTACAAAAACTCTATACTGTCGCATGAAAAAGCCCTGCTCGTGGTTGAAGATCTGTTGTTACAACATATAGCTGTAGCGTGGAATATTACTCTATATAGCTCTGCCCCTTTTTTTTACAATAATTTTACCGTTACTCGTTAATCGTTATGTGCGCCTCGCCGTATATTTTTTTATTTCTGGCACATTTGGTCCAATGAAAAATACAATAATGGTAGCCGCCATTTTCCCGAAATATTTAAATATAAATATATCGATATTTTTAGGAAATAAAGCTTTGTCGAAAAAAAGTAAATTTTGTCAGAATAATAAATAAAATATTGATTTTTCTTAATGTGGTAATAAATAATAATGAGAATGAGAGACATCCTATTCGTGTTAAATTAACGAATAAAATCTTACACACTTATTGTTAGAGACATACTCTTAATCATTTTAAGCATTTTTTATTCCCTCGTAACATGTCAAATTATATCGTAGAATGTTAAATAAAAATACTTGTATAGTCGCGTACCTCGCTTACAACAATGTTTTGTCTTCTGGAGTTTTTAAGCTTCTTAACTCGTAATCTCATATTTATTTCACTGAATATTATTTAGGAGTCGCGGCATTCTTCTGTGAAGAAGAGTAACATTGTATCAATTTATAGAAAATTTATACAATTGTTGTATATAATGCGAGTTCGTCAATCATCATTTTATACTGGTCAAGCATTGCCATTTCCTCTTATCAACATTTTTTCAGTTCAGTTAACTTATTCATAAAAAAATCTTACGTTCCAAAGAAATGTATTTCGTTCTTGCAATCAATTGCGTTTTTTGTTTAAACAATGTTACATGTGCCTCTGTCTCCCGTCAGCGCGCACTGTGTCAAGGGTTAAACTCTTATTGCCAGAATAACGCCCCACCCTACATCACCTCTCTCGCCTTGATTTTTCTTCAATCTAAGAATGCTTAAACAATACGAAAAGTTCCCATACAATATATAAAAAGTGCAACAATATTCTTAATATTAAATTATCAAAAAATATAAAACATTACAAGAAAAAAAGAGGGAGAGAGGAGAAAAACCCATGACAATTTTCCGGAATGCATGCATGTGATTGTTTTGGGACGTTGCTATTATGCAGGACTACACAGAGGAGTTCCGCGAGATCACGAAGGGCTCGAAGTCGAAGGAGGCGCTCCCGGCAGGCTCCATCACACTCATCAATCAACGCCCGGTCGGCGAGGATCTGCATGTAAAGTTTTGTTTACACGTTACACACATACATGACACATTGCCACCCACAATCTCATTTTATAACTGTCGAACACCGTACAAAACTCCGACTCGTCTCGATTAGCCACGTTAAGATGATCGAGAGATCATCGGCGAGCACGCGACAGCTTTTAACGCGGATGTTCCAGTTGGTCGCGAGGTCATCCAAGATGGGTTTCCTTTCTCAGCTTCTAGCTCTTAGCCGGCTTAACCGAATTAACCGTAAATTCGCTCCGCGCTTGCGCTCGCACGTAATCGCACGGATCTCTCTGCCTAAAGGTGAACACGGACGGCCTCCTCCCCTAGGTGGCAAGTATAGAAGGAACGAATTTACAAACTGTTGAAGTAATATACAATGCGACAAAGGCAGGAAATTTAAGTCACAAAAGATTGCGAGAATATACACTATTCAAGAAGAGATTAGGTTTCATCAAGGAGATTGTTTTTAATTTACATATTTTTTTGAATCTTTTTTTAATTACAAATTAATGATACTTGTACCGAGTTATAAAATGAGAAGAAAGATTAGACAACTAAATCTTTGCCTGTATATAATCGAATCTAAGCAAGTTTATTCTTATTTGAATGATACAGATATTTATATAAGACAAAAGATATGTCATTTTTTTCTCGACTAGATTTATAGATTCGTTAGAAAAATAATCCTCGGAAGTTTGTAAATTGGATCCTCTCAAGATGCTTATTCTAGCCTGTTCATGGTATACGGTATGGATAATTATAATATTATTAAAATAAATATAAATCATATCTCTCGAGTTTAACAGTAAGTCATATATGCCTGCAACCGATTGTTCAAATCACGTGCGACACATCTGCATGTTCCACATGCTTAAAAATATTATATTACCATGAAAGTGTCATATTATGGAATTAAACAACGGAAATATAATATAGAATTAAATTCGCGAGTAAAAGAATTATATGTATATATATAGAAAGCAAACTTTATCAAGACTGTCATACTTTCTTTCGGCCACAAATTCTTCTCAACTTTGCGTAATTTAACTAATAGTATTCTTTATAATATACTCTAATAGTATTTTAATTTAACGCTAATGAATCAAAATGAGTTTAATGGAGATTACGAACTTGTATAGACATTCAATGAAATATTTACGAAAAAGAGAAGAAAGTTTCAAAGAAAATGTGATGGTTATAGGTCATTTTATACGTTAATTTCTTGCATGTTAAAATAATATAAAACTTTGTTGTACATAGTCAGAGTTGAATTTTATCATCTAAAAAATGGATATTTCGTTTCAAAATGTCTCATCAATAATACGATAATAATAATGACATCTGTGACTAAAAATCAAGTAACATTAACTGTTGACAATTCATATCTGTCTACAGAATTCTTGTCATATTAACTATTAAGATTCATCTAAAAGAAAAATCGCGACTCTCATTGTGCTTTTGTACATACGCATTAATTAAATTGTAAATTGTAAAATCCAAATGTACGGACAATAGTGTCTATCTTCTCGATAAAAATATATAAACTTCTTACATTTTGTCAAGTGAGCAGTGCTCACTACGAGAGAACATAGGATATCGAGTCAGTCAATCTTTCCTTGACTTAATGTAAAATAATTGAGAAGATAGATACAGAAAAATAGTGAGGGCTTCAACGAAATCGCACATGCATCGTTGGCATGAAATATTCGCAGAACAGTTCTCGAATCATATATTGAAACATTTGGTTGCACGCATGGCATTTTCGAGAGAAATTCGTGCATATCGCAATTACGCACTATACGAGTTTTGTCAAAAATAAAAATATCTAATATATTTCTATATATTTAAAAAAAACAGGACTTTCCACCAGTCAACAACAAATCAAAATCGAAATCCGCCGGCCGTGTAATATCAGCGGACAGCAATCATGGGGATAGTAAAACCGACACAATAAGTTCGAGCAAACAGTCTTCGGAGAAGAATAATGAGAGTGATAACGTCAACAGGACTCCGACTATTACGTAAGTTTGTTGAAAGTGGGGCTCGTATGAAACTCTTTATTATCTAGCAATCAATAAGAAGCGTGTATTATATGAAACGTATGATGATTGCAGTAACGGTACTAACGCCAAACAAGAATCAAATCCATTCGAGGAAGAGGAATGGGACGAGGACGGTGGTGAACCTTTGGTCGACAATGGAGAACCAGGAGTTCCCGTGCGAGCATTATACGACTACGAAGGAGCCGAGGCAGACGAACTTAGTTTTAAGCAAGGTGTGTCTTTTGCACAAAGTATCCCGCACCAAATACAAAGGATTTTGGCTTTCGGTATAATTGTCTGTTTTTTTTTGTAGCTTATGGTCCTGCTGAGCAAAAAATGTAATATAGCCTCAAAGCTAAATATTGAATAGTTATTGAACTACAACCAGTCAAATAACTCGTAGAGCTCAAGTTTTTGACTGATTGTAAATTAGTAACTATTACTTAGCTTTGAGCCTATTACATTTTTTGTTCAGCAAATCATAAACTACAACATATGAGAAAAACTGGCTGATATTATCAAAATTTAATTTTAGATGATCAGTATGGGATTTTTGAACCTATATAAAATTCTAGATGAAATTGAATCCCAGTAAAATGAGTTGATTTTCTCACATGCTGCAACTTATGACTTGCTGAACAAAAAATGTAATTGACTCAAAGCTAAATAATAGGTGATTACTGATTTACAGTCAGTCAAACACGAAAAATTAGGATTTTGCAAGTTGTTTTATTATAACTCAGTAACTCGAATATTTATCTTTAAAACTATTACATCTTTTGTTCAATAAGTCATAAGCTACAAGATATGAAAAAAGTCAATTCCACTGAAAGCTGATCTTATGTATTTGGTCCTTTCAGAACCTCAAGCAATTAAATTTTATTTATACATAATTCATTAATAAAGTCATTTTTTATATATATCTGGAGCGAAAAACAGGAACACAATCGTCTCAGTATTTTTTATAATATATAGTTTAAAAAGCAATCATTACTTTAAACCGTTAAATTATTTAATATTATATATAAATTAAATTCTTATATTTTTTCAGGAGATGTATTTGAGAAACTAGAAGACGAAGATGAACAAGGATGGTGTAAAGGAAGAAAGGATGGTAAAGTGGGCCTCTATCCAGCAAATTATGTAGACTTGGTGTCGCAATAGATTAACTAACTAAAAAGCCAAATCCACAAGTTCGTTACTTACTTGAATAATGTAACCTTTGCGCGAAGAACAAAAATTGCGTTTCGCTTCTTTTCGCTATTGTCTGAATTGAAATTTGCGGAACGTCAATTTCGCAGCGCATTAGAGAAGAAAGATTAATGATGAATGAATATATAGAATGAAGAAAATGAGTTACACGTGACATTTTAAAGTCCGAAACTTGAACCTAAATTGTCTGCATTTACGAATTGTATAAATAGCGAGAAGTAATTTTGTTTCGAAATCTTTCCTCCGCGTCAGAGGCAACTAGCGGAGTTTATTTAAATGAATAGCTTCCTATGCAAAAAAGATAGATCCTCACTCTTAAAATGAAATTTGTTTTTAGATAGCTAGGTTAGAGTCAAAATCCATTAGTTAGTTTCAATGAATAAACATGGATTACACGCGATAAGGCGCGTATAGCAAGTTTAGATATTGAAATATTGTACAATCATACATTTTATGGATCATTGTTGCTATTAAGAATTTTTTGGCGAGGAGAGTTCTATTTAATTTATTGTTATTAAAAAAATACTATTAAAATTTAACGTCTATCTAAATGGTGTCATTGTACATAATAGACATAAGAGTATAGCAATACGAAGTTATTATTATTACCGTTTCACGAATTTAAAGCATTGAAATATATTTGAAATATATGAACATAAAATATACAAAACATTACTTTAAATGAGTATAAAATTAATATACAGTATGTAAAAAAAGAGGATATTTGGGACCCAGAAATCAATTATTGTTCCATTTATTAATTATATTTTATAGTTGAAATAATGATTTTGTGGCAAAACAAATAATCAATGAATTATTAATATTATGTTGAATCAAGAAAAATATTTTCACATCTAAAATGTTGTGTGTATATAACTTGTTTCTATAAATCCGATATAGAATTATCTGCATGGTTTTTTTTTTTTTTTTTTTTTTTTTTAAGAATATGATTCTCTCTTGTATATTTCACACAGAGGATTAACTGTAACACATCGTAAAAAGTATATAGAAATGTCTCGTATTAACCATTATTACTTTAATAAATGTAATAATATCTATCAAATACCCCACACATATATCAAACATGAAATTAATTTTTCTGAAACTAAATGCATAAAATTCCAGAAAGATACTCCACGTATAAATTGTAAAAAAAATCAACGTGTAGCTGACATTTTAGTTTCAAAAAATTACAATTTATTTTGTAAAGCGCTTCTGACAATGAGTTATTTATATGTTAGCTGCAGAGTCATATATAGGGATATTTATAATGATTATAATAGACATTGAAAAAATTAAATATTCATCATTGTGAATATATTGTGTCTATAAACACAATATTTATGTAAATATCGTAGAATATAGTAAAATTTTTTTTTTTTAATTCAGTCTGATTTTTTAATAATCATTCATTTATTAGCCCTCGAAATTACTTTTTGTGAAGGGTTCGCAACTTTATACAGTTGTTAAGTAAACCCTGTCTTGTGTATAAAATTTATTATATATGTTTAATAAATGACTTATACATAAAACATTTTGTCTATTTATGATTATATTTATGATATTAGTAATTTTCTATTATACATACAACAGACGAAATTCAGAACGAAATCTCTTTCATTATAAATGAAAATGTAATTTGATATTTGACGCTTTCATATTTGAAAATGTATATGTAACTGAAGTCACAATAGTATTTAAGTTCTATGTCATATTGACATAATCTAAACTCTAAATCGTGAAATCAAAATATAAATAAAATATTACTTTTATTTATGTAAAATAATAGACAAAATTCAAGAATCCTTAGAATGTTTAAATATAAATTATTTATATTTTACAGGGAACACATATCTCTCTCTCTCTTTCAAATTTATACATATTCGTTATTACTATTAATTATATATATATATAATGACATTAATTTTATAATATTATTTTCTTATTACTTCTACAGGATAAAATATTTGCAACATAGGAGTATATACATTTATAATAAACATATATAGAGCAAATAATGTAACTTAAATAGCACAAATTATATATTTTAAATAACACAGGATATTTTAAAAAATGATAAGAGTAAGATGTTTGATTGATAACTTATTTATATGCATAAATTGTTGCTTAATACAATACATAATACAATTTGGATTATAGACGAATGTATAATGCTTATTGAGAATCCAGAGTATGCAAAAAGAGAAAAGGGAGAAAATATGATTTAAGCAGTATCTGTCAAATTAAATCTCATGTAAAACACGTCATTAATTCAAAGCGTACAATAGTCCCTGAATATATTGCACAAAATATATTGCAATATTGATTTGTATGCATTTAAATAATTTATTCGATACTATTAAATTCAAGGAAAATTTAACATGATATAAAGTATACGCAGCATTGAATTCAAATACAAACTTAGTTTTATAGAAACGTATACTTCGTCATAAATTTATTTTTAAAAAATAAAACGTTTTTTTTATTATTTTTTAATATTATTATATAATTATAATAAATTATATACTTAAATAATAATAATTAAATGTTGTACAGAATCTTCTTTGAAGAACAAATTATTTTTCCATGTGATCGCTATCACGAATAGAAATAAACAAAAGCAAAATAAATATTACTTAATCTGTCAATAGAACAACTTATAATCCTCTATTGTCTTTTTATCATGTATAATTCAAACAAAATTAGGTACGCATTTTATTATTAAAAAATATTTTTTTTAAAGATCATAGCTAGAGGTTTTTTATACAATGTAATTTTACATAAAATTAACTTAAACAAGTTATATTCTATGTGACATATTTACTATTCAGTATTCATAAAAATAATCTTATAAAGATAACATGTTCGTATATGTATAATAAAGTAATAGAAGTTATTTATCTCATATACAAGCTAATTTTGTTTTTATATACATGTGCATTTATATTTACTAGCAATTATGTAATATAAATAGATTAGAGAAATATAAAATATTTATTTTTGATAAAATACATTGTAATTTAATAATATGTATATTTTCTATATAAGAAAGATAGACAAAATTATATTAAAAATAATTTTATCCATTTTATATGGAAATATAATTACAATTATATATTTTTTCCAGAGTATTTATATATTTCTCAGTATATATAAATTACTGGAAAAAAAACAAAAAATTTTATGAAAAATAAATACGTACATTACTTTGTATATTATATTAGCATATTATTTTTACAAGATTTTCTTATGACTAATGATGTATTATTGATATAATGTCACATAGAATGTAAGTTGTTATAAGTGATCTAAATTATGTGATTATATATTTTATGGAAAATTACATTTTTATTGTACATTTTTCTATAATAAATGTCAATCAATTTTAATTATGTACATGTACATTATTCTTATAAGATTATTTTATTAGGATATATTAAAAATTATACGTTCTTTTTTAAGAATATAATTTGTTCTAAAAAGCTATATTCTTAAAAAAGAACGTATAATTTTTAATATATCTTAATAAAATAATCTTTTATATATATATATATATATATATATATATATATATATATACAGACAATATCATTTATACTATATATATTCTGTTCTCTCCCTCTTTCTCTCTTTCTCTAGAATGTGAATTTTCTGTAAAAGAGCTTATAGCCTATAATAGTTATAGCTTTTAATTAAAATAACATATTTTATTAGAATATTTTGAAATAATAAAGTAACTATATTTGTTATCTTATTTGAATTATAATAATCTAACCGAATTTCTTTACAAGCAAAAGAAATGATATAATCAAAATTGCTACTGGCATATACAAATACCTTATAAATTATATATTTTTAAACATATGTAAATAAGAACAAATTAAAAGTGCCAAACTTTGTGATTAAATGTTCAACTGCTAAGTTTTGTAGAAAATATCATTTACATGTACAATGGTGGCAGATCTTGTGACAATCATATAATTGTATAAAGATGTGTTTTAAATTACAATCTTAGCAGCTGTAATTTTTATCACTATTATCATGCAAGAAATATTTTGTAATATTCCCATTATTATGTTTGTGGGATCAAATTTATAATAAAACTGTACATCAATGGATCGCGACATGTTCCTGCAAGTCTTCCAATGTACGAAACGGTTTGTCACATAACTGGCATACATGAGCATTTTCATTGTGTATATCCATATGTTCCGCTAAGTCCTCCTCTGTATAAAACAGTTCGTCACAAAGTACACACTGATACTGATTGATGACTTTCATTCCTTGCTTTTCCCACTCCGCTATTGCAACTTCTTCTTCATGCTCCTGCATATGTATCTCCAATAACGTCTCCGAATCGAACATTTCTGAACATTGACCACAATGATAGGATTCCACTTCTTGCGTTTCGTCATTATTATCTTTATTATTCTGATTTATGCTAATCAAATTCGGATTGTCGTCCTCGTCATCGAACAAGTGTTTACCGACGTGTTCTTGTAACGCTCCATCTGATTCCAGAGTCTCGCTGCAGATTTCACAATGATATTGCTCTTTGTTGCTCTGCTCCCCTTCGCTAAGATCATCGCAATGCTTTTGCAAGTGATCCTTCAACACTTCTTCATCCGTAAAGATCTTATCGCATACGAAACAAGTGTATGTTTCCTTAGACTTTTCTCTATTTTCCACGCTATCAAGTTTTACACCTGTACTAGTTATCTTATCAGACTGAATATCAGATTGATCGTTCTTCTCGGTTAAGAGATTTTTCGTCTCAATTATCTGATCCTCTTGCGTTTTCTGAGGTGCATCGTTAGACTTCTTATTTCCGATCGCGTTAATTATATTGAATTCCGACTGATCGTGACTGTCCAAATGCCTGATGAGAAGCTTCTCCGTCCGGAACATGGAATTGCATACGTAACACTTATGAACCTCTGTCGCTGTCTTGCAAACGTGCGACTTGACTAAACGTGCCTCGACAATCTCGTGGCACCTCTTGCAACGCATCATTTTCTGCTTGATCTGTCGCGGTGGTGTCATTATTGCATTCTCGTTTTGTAATTTCGTAGCATTGGGACTCGTCGTCACCTTGTGAGTACGAACATGCGCCTCGACGTCCTTGCGACTGCTAAACGTGAGCGCGCATACTCCGCATATATGATTTTCGGTGATGGCATCTTCTATCCTGATTGCATCTTCGTAATCGGCCTTCTTTTCGTTCGTCGAATTTTGCTCGACTGAAATTGGTGTCCATTTAATATCGTTATCTACCGTTTTGACAGTCGAGCTGTTTTCCATCCGTTGGGCAGAAATGATCTTACTGTTCGCCTCCGAGGATTTTTTCGTCACTAAATTCTCCTGCATTCTCGTCTGCTGAGTTTTGGATGTTGCTTTGGGAGTAATCAAGTTGTTTGATTTGTCGGAATCGGACTCCAATGTGTTGTAGTCGTTATACCTTTTTGGAGGTACAATTTGACGTTTACGAGATGTTAGGCTGATGGGTCCCTGACTGCTCCCTCTTGGTCCGGCCTGTTTTAAAACGTGAAGGTTATTGATGTTATAGAGTTTACTCTCTTTTGTTATATCTAAACGTTTAATTATGACCTTCGGCTGATATTTGGATAAATTCATGTCCGTCGGCGAGATCCTCGCGAAGTCACGCGAAGACTCATCTGCGTTTCTAATGGAGGTCTCGATATTCTTCTTTATAGCTCTCTCTATTATACCCTTCAACTTCTGATCGAGCTTCTTACGAGAAGTCATGCAATTTATCAGGGAATAATGTTTTCGCAACGGTGTCATTTGTACCGAATATTCTGTGCTTCATTTCCTTCTGTACGCCGCCAATTCGACTTGTACACGTTTCAAAACTGTCAATTCGTTACCCTCTACCTCGATATTTAAACATCTCTCAACACATTTGTTAGCCGGCTTGCTGCTCACATCAGACGTCACAGGATTATTATTTACTCTACGCAACTGAACCGCATCAATAATATCTGTATTTTTCTCTCGACCGTTTTCATCGGCGTTAGAACTCTTAGAGTCGTTCAATAAATTGCTCGAGTTCTCTTTATCCGCAAGAAGCAACGTTGATGTTACGGCATATGTAACGTCACCGATCACAAGCTCAGATTTCAACGTAAACGGCATAAACGTTTCATCGTCAACTTGTGATTCGGGTTTCTTTCCGCTGACATCTGTCGTAACATTGTTTTCCGCTAACGAAACTGGCGAATTCTCACGTTCCATTGAACTCTCTAAAGAGGATACATTTTTCTCAGCACTAATTTTCTGATCAGTTTTGCTTAATAGTGAATTTCTCTTATTTTTTGACTGCAAGGTATTCGAATGTGAATTACTCAATCTCATTCTGCGCACATCAGAATCCGTGTCTATGTCACGAAGCCTAGCATATTTATCCGTGAGATTTATTTCAAGATTTTTCAGTACTTTTGCGATTCTCTTTTGTCTTTCAGCTTCTTTATCCGCATTAGTTTTTGCTCGAGCCTTTTGTACAGGCGATAACTGTGCGTCATCAGAAATTATAGAGTCCGTATCGGACACATTCTCTCCTGTTGCAGCCAAAAGGGCTTTTTTTCTCTCTACCCAACGCTTTGTGGATGCTTTCCTTCGTTCAATATTTCTGCCACGTCTTGCAGGTAATAATCTAGTTTTAGCTGGTCCTGAAGATGCTTTGCTTTCTGTATGTTCCTCACTGCCATTTTCTGCAGCCTTCTTACTAGGTACTTTAGTCCCATCATCATCTGATATGCTTATTGTATCCAATATAACCTGATCAGTAACACAGTCAACATTTGTGAGCTCTGAAGATACATCTCCTTAGACTTTTTCTGGAATAAAAAACAACCAAGTTGTATTTTTATGATTGGCAAAGTAACTCTTAAATATACTAGCATGATACTTCTGTCAAGTACTCGATTAGTCCTCATAACAGATTCTTATTAGTGTAAAAATAACATTATTACAAAATAATTATGCAAACTTTAAATAAAAACACCTTCTCATGTTCAGAAATGCTATCTTCACTTCTTTTCAAACGTTTCCTTTTCACACTTTCCATTATACATCTTTCATCCTTAACCTAAAATAAAAATAAATGAGAATTAATATCAAATTAATAAAATATAACATAAAGAAAAATTATACAATTCACTTACAGGACTAGAAATATCGGATACTTCTGATATTTCTAATTGTTCTAAGAGAATCTTATTGGACTGTACAAATTGTTCCTTGAAATCGTCCCACATATCCAACTTATACAAACACACATGGCATACAGCACTAGGTAAATTTTTCTCATACTTCACCTATGTTAAACAAAGAATGAAATAAGAATTGCGATATAATCAGCGAAGTGTCAAATAAATATATTATCAATCAATCAAAAGAAAAACCTACATCAATGCAGGTGCATTTGGTCAGATCCTTAAGCTTGGGCTCCACGCTCTCATCACGTATATCAATCATACAACCGTTATCAGTCAGGCAGATGCGACAGCGCTCGGCCATGTTCGCCTTCCTCGACATCGCGATGGATCAGAGTCGAAACAATCTGGGTGATACTCGCCAAAAGCTCAACGGTGTTCCAAAGTACGCGGCTGCTGCCCGCACATCGCTATCTGTAATCTTACGAAGTCCTTCACGTAATCCGAAAAGCTGAAGTCGATATAAAATCTTCCGGATGACGATCGCGATATTCCAATTGAATCGTTCAGATAACTCGCTTACTGTTTCCCTCCAAGATGATCAGACACGAAGCAACGGAACACACACTCGCAAATAACGGCGGGATACGTCCGCCATATTGCAAGGCAAAGCGCTACAACGCGCAAAAGAACCAAAATATGGCGCACCCGATTCAGATTCGCATATATTTGTATGCACATATATAATATATATATAATATATATAATATATATATATATATATATATATATATATATATATATATTATATATGTACATATGTGCGTGTAATTATATTAATTAATGATTTGGATTATTCAGCGCTGTATTAATTTGAAATTATCGCATTGATCTCCTATAATTAACAATAATAAGCAGCCAATTAATGACAGAAATTTTCACTCAACTGTCATCAAACATCAAACTCATATATATACCGAAAATTTGTCGCGTCGGTTTTTACGAAATCGGATAGTGGGAATCCTATCTTACCGATCATTGATACCGATCAGCTGATACATCCGAAATGTCACTTGTCATCTGTCATCGACTGTCGGTATTCAAAATGGCCAATAATATTATATAGCAAGTTCTATCGTATCGATTCGTGCTTCGGAGTGAAGTACGATTACGCAAAACTGTCTACTACTCTCTGAACCACCATCACCGGCACGCGTGGAAGCGATCGCGTCTTGGGCAGAATAACATATATAACAAGTGCTCGAATTCCTAAAACGTATGTATTTTGGTTAATGTGTGTTTTATACATTTTTATTAATAATTCATAATTTTTGTATTAATTTTTTTCTCCTCTTTATTTTTGCGGAATCATTTCCTGTGCGTTCGCGCGCTTTACGCATCAAGAAAGCTCCTCGGAATCGAACTCGAGCATAAATTGTTATTAAGATTTTTTATTCTACAGAGAGAGAAAGAGAAAGGGAGCAAAAAATTTTTTCTTTTATTCACTAAATCTTTTACTTGTAGAATGGCTGACAATGAGATAGATCTATCACCTGCAAAGGACAAAGGTGTATTGAAGGAAATTATCAAAGAAGGGAAAGGTGATGAGACTCCTTCGCCAGGTTGCAAAGTCAAAGTTCATTATACCGGTACCTTATTGGATGGAACCAAATTCGATTCCAGTAGGGACAGACAGAAACCATTTAAATTTGATCTTGGGCGTAATAGCGTTATCAAAGCATGGGAAATTGGTGTAGCTAGCATGAAAAAGGGTGAAGTCGCTATGCTGACATGTGCACCTGAATATGCCTATGGCCAGAATGGTAGCCCACCATCAATCCCACCTGATGCTACCCTGAAATTTGAAGTAAGTATATATAAACATTAACTGTTGTTACAGCTTATATACATGCAAATAAAGTGTCAATTTTTAAGACATCTATATAATATACTAAGAAAATTTGTTATTACAATTTAATTTAACATTGTAATTCTAATATATTACTTTAGATTGAACTGCTTGATTGGCAAGGAGAAGATCTAAGTCCAAATAAGGATAGAAGCATTGAAAGATTCATAATTAATAATGCTGAAAAGCAATTTTCTAATCCAGAAGATGGTGGCCAAGTGAACAGTTAGTATCATATAATTTAGTAAACTTAAATTTATGCCATATACATTATGATCTTTATGCAATAATTTTTATATTTTTAGTACATTTGGTTGGAAAGTATAATGGACAAGTATTTGAAGAGAGAGATGTAGAATTTACTCTTGGAGAGGGTGAAGATGTAGGAGTTGTGGAGGGTATAGAAATAGCGTTGCCACATTTTGTGAGTGGGCAAATATGTAGACTTTTAATTAAAAGTAAATACGCATTTAAGGAACAAGGAAAGTCTGAGTATAATATTCCACCGAATGCAGATGTGGAATATGAAGTAGAATTAAAGAGCTTTGAAAAGGTGATTGATATTCCTAGATAATATAAGAATGTCTTTTTGATACTTTTATTACTTTCTTTAATTTTAATTATACATTATTTGTTACAGAAGACAGCAACATGGTCAATGAAGCCAGAAGATAAGATAGAACAAGCAAAGATACAGAAAGAAAAGGGAACAAGATATTTAACATCTGATAAAATCAATTTAGCTATTAAAGTATATAAGAAAGTTTTCACGCTTTTAAACGATGATTCGGATTTCGAGAATTTCAAGGAAAACAAGGACAGCCTTACATTAGCGACTCACTTAAATCTCGCTTTATGTTATTTAAAAACCGATGAGAACCTTTTGGCAAAAGAAGAGTGTACTAAAGCCTTAGAATTGGATCCTGAGAATGAGAAGGCCTTGTTTAGAAGAGGACAAGCACATCTTAAGCTTGCATCACCTGAAGTTGCTATCCTAGATTTTCAACAGGTTCTAAAAGTACAGCCAAAAAATACGGCCGCGTCTAAACAAATCTCAGTTTGTAATTATCTTATTAAGAAGCAATTAGCTAAAGAGAAGAAACTTTATGCGAACATGTTTGATAAGTTTGCACAAGAGGATAAACAGGTTTGTGAAAAACAATAATGATGAATATCGAATATATTTTCTAATCAACATCATATTTTCTTGTACTGAAACTTTATATTAATGGGTGCTGGTTATGAAAAAAAATTATATTTTTAATTGTTCAAAAATAACAAAAATTACCTTCACTATGTTCAATAATTGGATGTTGATGATTATTCATGTTTTAATACTTTAAGACAAACTACATGCTCCTGTAGAAAATGCATTTGTTATAAATATCATGAATGATATAAAGGCTGATTAATTTAAACCAATAAATCTTGAAAATAAACTTGTGTTTGTGTTTAAACATAAACCGTGAGTAATGTCACAGAAGGAGGAGCAAAAACTAAAGGAACAACCGGATGTGATGCATGGGACTCTAGGAGAATGGGGACAGGAGGAAAGACCCGGAGGTAGAGACGCGACTGCCTTTGAGAAGGAAAATCCTAACATACTCATGCTCAACGCTAATGGTTCCGGTGAATTCAAAAACATGTAAACAATGGCCTTTTTTTCTTCTTTCTTTACACTGCCTTGTGTAACTGCCAGTGAATTGATATTTCATCAAATTTTATTTTCGGTATTTTTTAAATATTACTATTTTTTACAAAAGTTGAATTGTAATTTATGGATTATACTGAGACTTTGCCAAATTTGTAAACAATTCTCTTTTTATCACATTATATGATCTATACAAGTTACGAATTATATCTTTTTATCCATGCATCAATTATATGCATCAAAAAATGTTAAGAGCACATTTTCTTTCTTTCAAAGAATAGGTAAAGAATAGAATATTTCTTAAAAAATCATCGTATTAGTAGAACATAATTTTATATATGTATAAGATATAATACACAAACTGGAGTACAAAAGACATGCTTATATCATGCCTTGTACTCCAGTTTGTATATTATCACATTTCGAATTTGTGCAAAATTGTGCAACAATTATGTGAAATTATATTTCAAATTATGCTATTTCATTGTATGATGTCACACACTGTTGAAACTTATTTTAATATTAATCATCAATTATGAACACTGTAATAATATCTATAAAGACAAGTTATATGAATTTAATATTTATTAGAATTTAGTATTCATATCATTATATATAAAAACAATCTCAGTGAATAAAAATGCGCCTGGAATTATAATTATGTATTTTGTATAAATTTAAAAAGATATTCAATATTAATAAAAAAGTATACAGCATTAAAATTATATGCACGTATCAAGTATAATTAAAAATCAGCAATGTACATTTTTTCATATTACATAAATCATCTGCATTAGATCACAAAACGTGTTACAATTTAATAGAATTAAAAAAACATTGTAGAATCAAGTATACATATGAGAAACACAACTTGATGAAAATTTAATATTATCCTATTTCATTATCTTATCATCGCAATCTCTTCTATTTCCATGTCTATAATTTTTAATTCATAAACTAAGATTTAGATAATTTAATACAATAAATTTATTTAAGATTTTCTTTGAATATTTATTGAACAATCTTATTCTAGTTTTAATCTGTTATTATCAGTTATGCATAGTTAAATGCACTGATTGTGATCATTTTATCTAATACTGTATAATTGAGGGAAATTTAATTAAGACTTTACATCAGCATGCAATTGTCCTTTGATAATTAAGTAATTAAACGCAATATGAATTGAACACTAATTCAGTAAAAAAATTTATCATAAGCAACGTTTTAAAAAAGATGAATGTATTATTTGTTACATATAAGATAAAATATGTCTAAAAATTTAAAATTTACTATTTCAATTATTTTATTTTTAAGCAACAATATTACATATAGATAAAGATATAAATTTTGTTATAAAAATTATATGGATGTTATAATTTTTATTATAATGCAAAAGAGCATTTTATTTTCCAATTTTCATGTAAAATAAATGCAATTTAAAAAATAAATTTTTTTAGTTGTCACAAAATATATTTGACACTTTATCTGTGATATTAGTAGGATATACAGATATATGTACTCGATGTAGGAATGCTTTTTATGATTGCGTCTTGAACCAAGGCAAAATTGGACTTTTATACCGCAATGCATCGATTGCTAACATGACGAGAGAAGACTGGCATTCATCCAGAACGATAAAACTTGGTATAAGAACGCAGTTTTGCATATAGAGATAATTTAGTAGAAATGTGATAAGAATATTTTTTTATAAAGATCGTTTCTTCTTAGGAATACGTAGACTGACGCACATATGTTGTTCGTTATTCGATATTGTATTATACGTGCATATTTATAGCACACTTGGCAAAATATTCCTTAACAAGCAGAAAAAAGAGCTGAAAAAAATTCTTTCTCTTATTCTTACTTATTTCTTTTTTTAATAAAAATAAGCGATAAATATATATTATATATATATATATATATATATATATATATATATATATATAGAAAGAGAGAGGCAGAGAGATTTTCCTTAAATTTTTAGGAATAGAATGTCATCATCCCCTATATTTAAAGCACCCGTCCATCGCACTGTCCTGGTTCGATAAGGAGAAAGAGAGAGAGTGAGTGAGGGTGAGGGAGGAAGGGAGGGAGACGAAAATATCCCCCTCTGTCTCAAGTAGCGTATCAGATAAGGTATATCTAGACGTGCCTGGGTGTACCATCCAGTATAAGCAAGAACGTTGAAGAACGTCTTCGCGAGTTTGATTGCGTTCCGCGGTACGAGAGACCGGAGTCGTCTGCTAGAGCGAACGAACTGTTAAAGGAGATAGGAATAAATATCCGCGCTCGCCGAAATGCCCAACATAATAAATGACATAAAGCTGGACTTTAAGGACGTGCTGCTGCGCCCGAAACGAAGCACGTTGAGAAGCAGATCCGACGTGAGTGTCGTATTTATATAATTGACACGAATTATAGAATCACATCCGCCCTTTATTACTGCCTGTATCCGTTTCTCTGCCAGACGAAAAAAATTGCGATTAAAAGCGCGTTATCCATTTCATGAGATAACACGAGATGTAAAATGTACCAAAGTGTGTTTTGAGAGAACACTTGTGTGATGTTTCCATATCATTTTAATATATATATATATATATATATATATATATATATATTTAAAATTATAATATTAATTAAAATTATAATTTCCTTATTTTTCATTCTTTTCGTTTGTGGCCTGAAAGAAACAATTACTTTGTAAATAATCAAAATTCTCAAATTTATTTCAATATGACATATATAAGTCTCATTGTGATTCAATTTTCTATTTTGTATTTAAAATTACTGATACTGATATAAAAAATTTCATATCCTACAGGTTTTTACAACATGAGAAAATTAGGATACTGTTATTTTTATAAATTTTTACAATCATTTTATATATGTATATAATGCTTATATATAAATATTATATTAATATTTCCACTTGTTATATGTATATATTTTTAATATTATCTATTTATTACACATATATTAATAAATGTTAATAATTTATATTTTAGGTCGACCTTTTTAGAGAAATTACATTTCGCAATTCTAAACAAACATACAGAGGAATTCCTGTAATGGCATCTAATATGGATACAGTTGGAACATTTGAAATGGCAAAAGCTTTATCAAAGGTATAAAATAATTTTCTAATTTTAGAATACATTACATATATAAAACATTTATATATATATATATATATATATATATATATATTGTGAGAGTTATGTTTATTTTTAATAAACTATATTATATATACATACATCCGACATAAATTAAGTCAAATATTATTAACATATTAAAATCTGATTATATATATGAAATTATAATATGATACAATGCAACATCATACTTATTATGTACATTTTTTCAGCATGGTCTTTTCACTACAATCCATAAATATTATAACGCAGATGAATGGAAAAACTTTTGTGCATTAAATCCTGATTGCATAAAAAATGTAGCAGCTAGCTCAGGAACAGGAAATGATGATTACGAACGACTTTCAAGCATTCTAGAAGCTGTGCCGGAATTATCATTTATATGCTTAGATGTTGCAAATGGATATTCGCAACACTTTGTTGAATATGTAAGAAAAGTAAGAGCGCGATATCCGAATCACACTATAATTGTAAGTAATCAATTGTTTCTCATTAGCTTTAATCAAAAATAGACATTTAGTAATTTATTTGACTATTTGAGTACTAATCTATACTTTATATTTAAATGTAAAGATTAATTGCTGCCGCTACAGGCAGGAAATGTTGTAACAGGAGAAATGGTGGAAGAATTAATACTTTCTGGAGCAGATATAATTAAAGTAGGAATTGGTCCAGGTTCTGTATGCACAACACGGATGAAGACTGGTGTGGGCTATCCTCAATTAAGTGCTGTAATAGAATGTGCAGATGCGGCACATGGCTTAAAGGGGCATATTATTGCTGTAAATATTATATTCTAATTCTATCATAAATTAGCATAAACGTAATTGTATGGATTACCTTTTACTATTATTTATATATTGCAGGATGGTGGTTGTACTTGCCCTGGAGACTTGGCGAAAGCATTTGGTGCTGGTGCAGACTTTGTCATGGCAGGTGGGATGTTTGCAGGTCATGATGAATGTGGGGGTGAAGTTATAGAAAAAAATGGAAAGAAATTCAAACTCTTTTATGGAATGGCCTCCAATACAGCCATGAAGAAGCACGTTGGTGGTGTTGCGGACTACAGGTAAGAACTAATTATCACAGTGCTACAAGTACAATACGCTAAGATATAATTAATAAGAAATTATTTACATGCTATATTTCTACATGTAGATCTTCAGAAGGAAAGACTGTCGAAGTGCCTTATAGAGGATTAGTCGAAAACACTGTACTGGATATACTGGGTGGCTTAAGATCCGCTTGCACTTACACAGGAGCCGAGCGTTTGCGTGAACTTCCGCGGCGAGCGACATTTATACGCTGTACGCAACAATTAAATCCTATGTACGGTCCTCCTCCAGAAATGTAAAGCGTTATATAATTATTAAATTATGCTCTCTTTAGAGAAAGCTTAGGAAAAAAAGTTTTAAACGCCAATATATCTGTTGATCGCGTATTATTTGCTGGCGAATAATATTTATAAATGGGCGAAAATGCAGTCTTATTAGAATGTTAATAACTTGGTGTAGTAATACCCAAGTATTACGAATAATTAATGTTAAATACGCTCAAAAATAGAAAAATGATAAACATTAATTCTTCATGCACAAAAAATGTAGAATTTCGTTACGTTAACCGCTATTTGCATCATTGAAGATATATACACAATCTTATTTTAACAATTTATACAATTCTATAATAATAAAATGAAATAGATTTTCTATTTATATTTAAACATATTTAAACAACGAATATTATACTCTATTTATACTTTTTTGTTGTTATCTTTTTATTATAAAATTTAAATATTTATGTATCTTACAAACCTTGCATTAAACGTGCCCTATATCTATGTAACATTTTGTCTATATATATAACACCTTACAGAATTTATTTATATGTGAAAATCTTTTAATGTATTTGCTATTTGCTTCTCTTGATCAGAGAAACTGGAAAACTTTCTGTTGCACCTGTCCCTGAAACATTTGCCAATGTTAATTAATTACATGCATAAAAACTATAAGATTACAGAAAATATTTTAACTGAAAAATAAGCAGATTGAATATTATTTTCGTGCACTCAAAAAAAGAAAAAATTTATTATTGTTATAATGAAACAAAGAAATAGAAAATTTATATATGCAAATTCTCTTTTTTTTTCTTTATAAATCGAGAATGAAAACAGCAATAACGAAATGGTTATTTTATTGCTATTTTTGACTCGAATAATATATATAAATATAGAAAGAATAAAATTATTTGTATATAAAAAGCAGCACATAAGTAAATCAATTTTGTTTAATATCTTATATATTTCAAATATATCAAAAGCAATGTAATAACAATTTATTATAAATAACTTCCAATTGGTATATGTGAAATAATGTTATAGCAGAATTTTAAACATAAATTATTGTTTTATTAATAACAAATATTAATGCAAATTGTATTGGAAATATATAAATAATAATAAGAAAAATTATATGTTTGATATATATTCTATGTTACAATGAAAACATATAAGTAACAAAGCCAAACAAAAATTTATATTATTTAAACGATTTCTTTTCCTCTTTATGTTGAAACACTAAACTCTTTAGATGTTCTTTACAGCTTTGTGTGTCATAACTTTTTACAAAAAGAATTTCATTAATACAAATGACTTTAAAAAACGATAATGTTATTCTAATGTATTATAACTGAACTTTAATTGAAAATATAAAAATAATTAGCTCTTCTAGCTTTGTAATTTTAATATTATATTAAATAACATATATTATCATATTTTTTTATGTTTCATTCGCGTAAAAATGAAAAATATAAACATATTGTGTATATTATTATTTAAAAAATACAAAATAATTATTACAATTTTCTCAAATTCTTTTTCATCAAAGAAGATTATTAAGTGTGTACATACAAAAATCTATGTCACTATATCTATGGATACAATATATTTAAAAAGACATTAAATATTAGAGATGTTTTCACACAAGTTTTTTTACTCGAAAATTTTTTATGCACAGGATGTTTCAGAAGTTGCATACTTATTACAAGTAAAAAATAAACAAAAATCAAAAAGTATATTAGTAGAGTTTTAGTGAATGAAATTGCGAATAGATAAGTTTATTCTATTTAATTATAATCAAATAAATTTTACTTCAACAATCTTAATTTGAAATTTATGTAAAACATTAAATATTAAAAATAAAACATGTGCGAAAAGAGAGGATATGTGTATGTGTTGTTCACATCTTTTACAATTTTTTGCAAGTTAAATCCAAATTTACTACATAACTTTGTAATCAAAACGAAAAATATTCCAACTTTTTTTTGTATACATTCTGTATTCCACCTTTGATATATCCTGTATGCATTCATCTACATTATTTTCAAAGAACTTGGTATAATAACAAAGATGTACAAAAATTTGAGATATTTTACAAATGACTAGTTAAGTCTTCCAAAATTGAATTATTCAGAGAAATAAAAATCCAATATATATTTCATTACAATATATCATGTAAAATCATTTGTAATACTGGCTAAGCAATATTAGGATATAATTGGCAAACTATACTCTATATTATGTGTTACATATATTCCATCCAATTAATCTCCAGTTTGCAGGTCCTGATTCCTCCAAATGTGTACATGTAGATTAGTGCTGAATGAAACATTTTAAATTGTAGATCCCCACATGCCGTGACTTATTGTAGGACGGGTAAACCTCTCTAATTGGCTGCTCCAAATATCTAAAAATAGTATCGGTATTTCACGAGAGAAAGCAAAAAAAAAACAAAGTAAAATTGTATTTAACACCAGTGCAATAAGACATATGCATATATAAATTGTCATATCACATATCTTTCTGTATACATAACATGGATAAAATAACGTTTATGGGTAGTAAAAAAACATATATATATATAGTAGCTGTATTGATTACAGCATTTAGTAAATATTTGTAGTTATAATGAGAAACACGAGTATTTCAAGTAAATGAATATTTGTCGAGACATAAATAATGAGCAATATAGTGCTACAAAATATGCTAGTATCGTTCATAACAACGCATATATAAGGATATATAATTTAACAAGTTTAATGAGAGAGAAAGAGAGAGGATGCAATAAAATGGATACAGATGTCGATCCCTCGTCCCACTATCTGATCCGCTGCTTCACACCTGTCAGCTTCAACTTATATTACAATAATACATGTTATGGAACAAAAATACATACAATAAGTATAAGTAGAACACAGATATCAGATATTGATACTATATTATAATATTACTTCTTTTCAATCAAACTTGTTGTTTGATATTTTTTTTTTTTGTTACTTAAACTTAGAACGATGGATATCCTACTATATATGTATATGTATATATATAAAAAACACATGAAACGTATTATAGTATAAACAGAATATAATCGATTTTTCAATGACATTCTCAAAGATATATGAAGATTATGAAGCAACTATTTATGATAAAAGTTATATGGAGATATAGCAGGTATTAACCGCATCCCGATGGAAAGCTATCTGAAAACTATCTGAAATAAACAAATAATTACAGTAAAAGAGATGATCCATGTATACAAGAAACAGATTTTATTTCAAAGGTGTAGAATGTATCATTGTTCAAATCATCACATGAGAGAAAATCACGAAATTATAATTTTATATTTTGCAAAGTTTTGTTCAAATTCCCTGAAAGAGGTTCAATGAATATCAGTGGATAACATATCCTTATTCTTACACCATTGATTTATAACATGTCGAAATATCAAGCCAATATAAAGATATATATCAAATATTGTATAAATTATGAAGACAAATAAAATTAACTGTTAAATAATTGAGAATTTTAGATGAATAATACAGTATGTAAACACAAAATATAAAAAATAATTGCTCCTCGTGTATCAATAATTGTGCAAAAACAACTTCAACTTTATATTGACTTATTAATATAATCATTGCAGAGAAAATTGTACACACAAACTTTTACAATCATTAATTTATTATTAAACACATTATTGAATTCTTATTACATTAGAATTAAAGCTTTTATACTCAATTATTATGCAAAAATAAAATATATAAACTTGCTAATTATTTTGATCTAATATCCCATTAAAATATTCTATGTTTCATACAATATTTTGGTACAATTTTCTGTACACCTATTAAATGTATATATTAAATATCAAAATTACTTACAGCTTGCCTTTTTCTCTCAAATGGAAGCTTAATTCTCAGAAGTAGTCTGTGAGTAAGGGTAATTCTGATACCCTGATGGGAAAGAAGGATTTTGCTGTCCCGTTTGTGGTTGAGAATTAGATCCAGCATTCGCTGCATAATAACCACCTGGTGCAGAGCCGGCATTCATCGATGGATAACTTCCATAAGTTTGAGGAAATGCGTTGGGTGTGGTACCTGGTGGGCCAGCCGACTGTCCCTGTAGTGTCTGCATTTGTTGTTGAGCCATTTGATTCCCTTGCAGTCCGAGCTACATAATATCACGTAATATTAAAATAACAAACGACAAAGAACACGAATACACATCATGGTTCAAGAAAAATATACCTTGCCCGCCTTCATTTGAGCTTCTATCGCTTCGGCTTCTTTAATTTTGCCGATGCTTCTATAATATTCCGCCCACTGGACACTATAATCGGCCTGACCTCCATTTTGCGCGGCACCCGCCTGCTGTTGTTGCTGAGATTGTTGCTGTTGCTGCTGTTGGTTTGGTCCGGCAGAACCCGTCGTCGCTGGATTAGACTGATTTTGCGAATTGCCTGAAATAGAATTTATCGAGTTTATAATAATTGTAAATTAATCATAAAATATTTTCCCCATAATGTAAACTTTTAAAGATTCTTACCTCCTTGCTGATTATGATCTTGCTTTCCTTGTTTTGCCTGTTGTTCAATCATGTCCGCTTCTCTATGCATACCTAATGACCGATAATACTCAGCCCATTGAGCGCTATAATCTGGTTGACCAGTCTGTGGATTGACTGTGACAGGACCTTGATTAGCATTGCCTACGAAAGCAAATTTACTGTAAAGTAGATACGGAACTTGTCACGCTTATATGTTATAAGAAATACATAAAAGCGTACTTCCGTCATTGGATTGCGGTTGACTTGGCCATGCTTGATAGCCTGTATTCCAATTTGGATTATATCCAACTGCTCCTTGTGCTCCAGCGTATGAAGAACCAGCTGGGCCCTTTAAATAATAAATAAACTTGTATATTATTTATAAATAAAAGATACTTATACAATATATAGGAATAATTAAATTAAAAACATACCATGCCTAATTTTTCGTTAAATATTCTCTTTGCGTGCTCAACTTGCTCGGGATTTCCCCGAATAATGAAGATTTTTTCATTTTCATTACTTTGATTCCTTCTATCTAATTCACAATGCGCTCCTGTCTGTTGATTGATCTGTTTGATAGTCTCGCCACCTAAAGTTAAAATAAAAATCAGAACTTGAAATATTATGATAGTAAAATATTGTATATAAATAAAACAAAAACATGTTAAAAATTCGAAAGAATAAAATGTTATAAAACGTTACTTATTATATTAAGCGTTTTACAAGAGTAAAATTATTTAAAAATGCATACACATCTTTACATACATCTTTATATGCACACACATCTTTAATGATGCATACACATCTTTACAGTTAATTAAAACAAATAAAACAATAAGTAAAACCTTTGCCAATTATAATTCCGCATTTAGAAGACGGAACAGTGAACGTCGTTTCAATTTTATCTTGCATAGGACCTCCTTGTCGCCTATCCCAACTTCCATACTCATTTGGATTGCGATTACCACCAAAACCATTACCTCTTAAACCACCTCTGCCTCCCATGTTATTTCTACCATCATCTCTTCTCTGAAAGTACAAAAACAATTCAAAATTAATGAATAAATAATAATAAATAATTAGCATAAATTATATGGTTATTAAAACTATTATTAAAATAAAAATATACAAATTCTAATAAACTCATATAATTTTAATATATGTACCATAACACTGTCAATTAACTCTTGAATTCGCTGACGAGCCTGCTCAACAGCTTGATGCTTTCCTGATAATAAACATTTTCTATCACCAGGGCCATCTTCTCTTCCTTGTTGAAATTGAACTTTAGCTCCACTTTCTGCTTGAATCTTTTTTATCATATCTCCACCTTTACCAATAACAACACCAACTGCTGCTCTTGGAACGAGTACCTACATTAAAAACGTTAATATATTTTATAAATATAAAGTTCTTTTTTCTTTCTTAATTATAGGTTATAATTAAATCTATAATTACAATCCTAATCTAACAAAAATTTATTAACGAGATTATTAACCTCTACTCCATCACTATTTGCAGGACCATGATTAAATCCACTATCATTAGAATAATTTCCTGTTCTATCTGTACTTCTTCCTCCTCTATGGAACATTTGCATTTCTTTTTCAGCTATTAACTCATAAACTAATTGTTTTGCATATTCAACCTTCTGAGGATCTCCTGTTATTCTATATAAAAAAAGGATATTGCCTTTAAATAATTATGTAATACTGCTTTGATGGATAAAATTAAGGGGGACAATTATTTTTAAACAGGAAAAAGATTTTTATATTTTACCTCAATGGCTTTTCTTGTTCCTGAGATGGTCCCTCCTGAATAACAACCATTTTAGCTCCAGACTTTTCTTGAAGTTGTTTTATAGTTTCTCCTCCTTTGCCAATTATCAGACCAACTTTAGGACCTGGAATCATTATCTCAACAAATCCTGGGTGTCCCATCATTCCTCCACTGCTAGAACTAGCACTGCTGCCACTCAAAGTCAGATCACCAATTCCCTCACTTCTGCTTCTTTGATTTACTATTGACAATACAAGTTCCTTTGCGCGACTGAAACACACAGAACAAAAAGATTTAATTTTTTTTTCAATCAAAAGCTGTTTAACATGTCAAGAAATTTAATCATTGTACAACAATAAAATTTGTTTGCAACACATACATATGCAATATCTATTGTGGGCCAAAATGTTATATATCACACATTTGTAACATCTTTTTTTTTAGTAATCAATTTTTTTTCAAATAATGCAATAAAAGAATTTGAGGTTTTAAAGGTTTGGTATTAAAATGCTATAGATTTAACTATAAACAGTGTCAATATAAATAAAATTTTCTCTTGATGTTGTGAGATTAACACCTCCCCATGCATATCCTATCCTCCTTCCTTCCTTCTCTTTCTCTCCCTCCCTCTCTCTCTCTCTCTCTTTTTCTCCATATACCCTATTAAAAGCAAAAAACTATTAGTAAATACAAAATTATTAAATCAAAAGGTCAACTCATTCATCAATTTTCAATGATCAGAAATTCTTAAGCGTACAGAAAGTTTGAACCCGCTCTATTGGCATCCAGGAGCTAAATAAAGATTCTGTAAAACACTTCATAATTTCAATATGCAAAAGCATATGTCCTATTTGTAAAACGCACACACATGTTAAGACAAAATTGTAGTATATAAAATACAAACTATGTTATAAGAATTAACCATATCCCAATCACATGTTCTAATAACTAGTCATAAAGCAATATGCAATATCATGTATAATGGTAATATCACAGTTTTGATATAAAATGATTCAGTTGTGATTTAAGGAATAAGATGGGAATGTGGTAAAAAGATTCGTACTTAAATAAATTAGAATAAAATATCCCTGTATAAAAATTTAAGGAGGATAGCAGATTTGCTTGGCTGATTCATATATAATTTTGATAGGAAAGTGTTTTTCACAAGACTCAGTCTATATAAATGTAGAACCAACAACCATCTTTCTCTTCAATAATAAAATAAATACATTTAAGACTAAAAGATGATAAATTCTAATCATTCATCGCATATATATATATATATATATAAAATTGTGGTATATTGCATTGCATACAAAATAGTTAAAATTAACGAAATAAGAAGGGAAAACAAGTTACTTGACAGCTTCTCTGGAACCAGTTAGCGTACAAACACGCTCAGGCAGTCCACCACTTTCTGGTGCCATTTGTATCTTACATCCTGTTTCGCTTTGCAATCTCGTTATTTGTTCTCCACCTCTGCCAATTACTGTAAATATATTATTATTACTTAAAAGCAATTATATATTATAAAATAATATATAATATTCTCCTACTATTGTATTCCAAAAATAAGATAATAATAATATACAAAATATAAAAATTATATGTCTGTGTGTGTGTGTTGTGTATATAACATCATAAAATTATATCATTTAACACACCATTCTGAGAAATAATATAATAAAAATTTGTATGAATTAAATGTTAAGATAATAATGCTTAAATTATTACAGTAGCACTGTTGTATAATAAATAATATTATAACATAGAAGTCTTAAATTGTTGCAATATGTTATAACATGTAAAACATATTACAAAATATTATAAATATTATATTCATATGAAAAGTGCAGAGTAATCTCCTATTATTTTACTTACTTAAACCAACCATTTTGTCTGGAACTCTGATATCTTCGTTACATATACCACCTACACTGGAAGAAACTGGTCTAGATCCTTGACTATTTGAATCACCAATAGAACCTGTAGGTCCTCCACGAATGCCTATCAAAGGATCTGCTACCAACGATGCCATTTTCTTTGCTTCGGGTTCTAAAAATACAATATGTAACACAATATTAATAATTACAGAATGTAAATAAATTGTTTACTATACTTTAGTAATGTAATAAAATTAAGAAAACAAAAATAAGATATACATATATGATAAATATATTCATTACCTGAACTATCTTCTAGAGGACGTTTCAACTTGGAATCTTGATTATTTGCACCACCTGGATTTATTTTTGCAGCAATCTAGAAAGATTAATTCAATATATAAATTTTATAGAATATTTAATATATAATTTTAAAGAATTTCTCCTAGAATAGTAATATATACATATATATCTTATATATAATTTTTGTTAGTTTAACAATCTGCTACGCCACAAGAGAAACAACGACATAAAATTCAGAGGTAACATAAAAAAAATATGAGGTTTTTATAATCGTGTGTTACAAATAACGTTCTTCCAAGCTGGAAAAAGCTGAGGGATGCGGTCTTGGCGGGTAAACGTTTACTCGTCATACGGCATCTGGCCCAATGATCATCATCGACGTGTCACTTACCAAAACTTATGAAATTACCTGTTTGGCACGCTGAAGTGCCGCCGCAAATGCGGTGCTTTGACTGAAGTTTTGAGGCGGAGCAACCGCTGAATAGTCAGTCATGCTGGTGCATGAAGTTGTAGAACACGATAATGGATTAATTACACTGTCTGTATGTGTGTTAAGTGTATACGTATATATATATAATATATATATATATGTATGTATGTACGTAGCTGTGTGCAGTCCTGCCTGTCCAAAATTGTCACCGGCGTTCGACGCGATTAGTCTCGCACAGATACCAGCACGTAGACGAGGGACAAACACGAATATTTCGTACAACACGAAAACGATGATATTTCGATGCGCACGACGATATTCGTCAGAAGCGGACAGGTTTACGACAGTGAAAGAACCGTACTTTCACGGGAGTAGAACTGTAGAACGGCACGGCGCAAGCGTCAGTCATGGGAAGCGCGGTCGTTTTAGTGCGAAAACTCACATCCATCCGCCGTACGATTTGTTCTCCGCAAAGCCGCGAATATAATGCACCGGAAAACGTAAAACCCATATCACATCGGTTATGGTTCCCAATTGCGGCCAATCACAGCAGGCGGACTTTGATCGTTGCATTTGCTCGGGCCAAATCTTTTGCGCATGTGCGACACTCGTGGCGGGAAATTCAACTGCGTATTGAAAGAGGGATATTATTGAGCATAAAAGCTTCTTGATGGATCTAGTGAAGAATAAAGACCTTAAATAAATAAAAAAATCTTTTAAGGTAAGTTAATACATATATTGTCATATATGTAATATTTATATATATTATATTATGTATAAAGTTTGACATTTTGTAAATGGAGCTGTATATATTAAGAAACACAATGTTAGAGAATAAAAATTTATACACATATTCTGATTATTAGTTATATAGAAAGAAAAAGTAAACAAAAAGCTTTTTAATAAATTAATTTTTTATTATTTATTGTAATCTTTTTTATATAAAAATAATAAAATACTTCAATAAAATCAGATCATATATATAAAGTAACAAAAGATAGGAATATGCGCATAATTCTTAAATAATCACATTTACTTTCATATTTAACATATACAATATACAGAGAATTATTTACGGCATTATGCTATTTGCATGTATATTAAAAAATTGTACATATATAAAGGAATAGAAGTGTCTTAATATGTCAATTTAAACATATGTCGAAATATGCACACACAAATGTATGTATTAAGACATTTCTCTCTCTCTCCGCACATGTGTACATATATAAAAATTATAAATTAATCTTATTTATAATAATCGGTTATTATAAATTATTACAAATTATAAAATATAATATTATAAATTATTTATAATAACCAGCTATATATTTTAAGTACAAATATATAAACTGAATATAAATATAGAAAAAATTTGTATCAAATAGTAATTCCTCCATTTTAAATTTACTACACAATCTCCTTTTTAACATTTAAAAAGAGACTACTCAATTAAATTAAAATAATTTCTAATTCTAATAAATAAATACTGAGAATTGCACTTTATTATTAATTATTAAGTACATGAAAGAAGATTATTTTAGAAGTTAATCCTTCTATCTTTCTACATTACATATTCTTTCTATCAAAGCCCGTGTTATGTTACCAGGTATTATTTGATGTTCTTTTATTAATTTTCTAAGAGCATTAGCGACCTAAAAATGTGTTCAAATATTTTCAGATATCTAATATTATTGGTAACTATATTTTCATATCACTTTTAATATGTAATATAATTATTTACCTTTAGCTGTAATTCTTCTGGTGTAAGATTTCCATCATATGGAATAGGTTTACCTACATACGTCACCATTTTTACTGGAAAGCCACCATAAATTGGTGCAAGAGGAACCTTTGTCCAGGTATATATCCTCAGCCACATTCTTCTTCCCCAACTCACTGTTCTAAATGCTTCTCTGATATTTCTCGTAAAGAGAGGAACTATACTCTAATGACAAATAAGTATTATGCAATAGAATCTAAATGAAATAATACAAATAAAAATAACACAAAATTTTATAAAAACATACCACTTTTGCATCTAACGCAACCTTTGCAAAACCCATTCTTTTCTTCCACAAAAGTTCATAGTAAGAATCTCCAAACTGAGCTTCATATACTCCACCAGGAGAGATAGCAAGCATATTACCCTCCTTTAAAATAGCAGAACATGTTTGAACTGTACCAGGTATCACTTTCATAACATCAGAAATGATGGACCAGCCAGGACATTTAAATAGAAATCGATCCCCTACTGTATGAATTAGTTTCGAATTAAATAAAAGTATTTTGGCTATGAAATAATACATATCGATTGGAATAGCTCCATGATAATATATGAACAATACTGGTTTATTCTGTGGAATATTCTCTAAGCCCACAATTTCATATCCTGAAAGATTACATTGTTTATTTAGAAACAAATTTCATAGTAAAGAATTTTGATTAATAAATTTATTTAAAATAGTATATATGATTTTATCTATATATTTTATAGCAAACTGAAATATACCATGCCAGATCCAACCATGTGCATCCCAGAGAGCTGCGACCATATGACGTGCTGCGTTTTGCCATGCAGTACCATAAGCATTTCTTAGTCTAACTCTGAAAGAAATAAAATATTTTATTTTATAAAAATTAAAATATTTTACATAAAAATTAATTAGAATATAAATTTAGAACATAAAGAACTAGCTTCATCAAAAGAAAGTAGAGTTTCGCAGATTAATACATGCATAAAAAAACTTTCTTTTCTTGTTTCTAAATAAGTAAATTATAATAATGTTATTAATGTACTTGATATACTGAGACATTAACTTAATATATTGAGAAATTTAACATATTTGATAAATCTTAATTAATTATGTTATGTAAGTATAGCATATATACAGCTTGTAAATTATTTTTTTTAAACCTGTGTAACTTGTAGATATATAATATTATGGAAGTTGAATACAACAGCAGCACAATCATAAGCGGGAGCAGAAATGTTACGAGAAGTGGCATTAGGAGCCATGACAGCCACAATGTAAAATCCACGTCGATATATTCAACTGAAAAAAAATGCCAAAAATAAATTCTATAGAAACTGTTAGACTCTCCATAAATGCATTAAATAAGAAACATTATATACAATTTTTTTTCCATATAAAAATCACAAATACATTATTAACATTTACATGTGTAAATATTTAGGCATAAACTTGCATGTACTTGCAATATACAAATATATTGTTATAAGGATAAAATAAATATTAGGATCACACTGCTCAATTAATAGCGATACATATCAAAAAATTAACATAAATAACAAGTTCTTACCTATAATATCTTCTATCATTGGCCATACATTGTATATGGAAAACATGTTTAGAGTTACATATAAAAACAAGAAAGATATAAGGCAAAGATAGCTAGTAAAATGACTGAGTCTAATATCTTTGTAGAAAACAGCCACATATTCACTGTTGCTAACAGACTGATGATTTCATGGCCTTATTTATATATACATTCAGCATGTTTAACATTCATTTAAATTCTGAAATAATTTCTTGCGCAATTACAATACGTCGTTATATCGTTGAATTAAAGTACGTCCATATTTTCACGTATAATCGCCGATAATTGGCATGAATTTGAATTCTGTCAAATCATTCAATAAAAAATTGTGTGTAATTTAATTTGCATTTTACATATGTATTTATATTTCGTCATCTTGTTTAAAATTATTTTTTAATTATTTTTCACGCAATGCATATCGGTAAATAAACAACTCCGAAATTCACTGATCGAAACACGACGCTTAATATGACAGCTGTCAGCTGTCAGTTGCACTGTCATAACGTGTGTAAATCTGTCAACATATTCAATAATACAACAGTACAGTTAGAACATATACCACTTTAACTATATAGAAGTATCTTTCACTACAGAAATATGGACTATATGGACTATGTTGATCCACTTTAGATTGGAATAATCGCGATAATGTTAAAATATGTATGTGACTGCGTTTGAAAAATGAAAAAAAATTTTCTAAATTGATCTGAAACTAAAATCCTTAATTTTCTCACGTATATACAATAATTACTAGTTCGATATATTAATTCGAGGATCATGGAAGAAGGAACAATCAGCTGATGTCTCCAGTCTGAAGTTAGCGTTGCAACCCTAATCTTATACATATATATATATATACATATATATTTTTTTTTGTATTACATATGCAAAGTATATGCAATACAAAAAGTATAAGTATAGCTAATACAGCAAAAAAATCACATTAATAATGAGTAAGAAATATTATCCTGTCATGTTACAGTGTCATCGTATAATGTAAGAAATATTATCATGTTATAGCGTCATCGTAATGTATTTCAACCTCAATTTAACGTAATCATATTATGTAAAAGAGCAAACCTAGTTTTGAAACAGCTGACTTGGAATTTATAGATAATTAGATAAATAGATATTAAATAAGTCTAAAATAGAAGAAATCGATGAGGTATATAGTAAATATATATCTATATATATTCGTCATATAATTACTGATTAAAAAATCAAATCTATAAAAATCTTTTTTTCATCGATTAATTAAATATTAAATTTAATAAAATAATGTTTGACATCTTATATTTGATATTTTACATATATATACATAAATGTTCGTATTGAATATTTGAGGCTAATGAAGCAGCTTTGAGTCATAGTACACGAATATCCAGATGCGACGTATGTCTCCCGGACGTAACCGGAAGTGAAATAAAGATCGATGATACTCGCCAGGGTGAGAACGAACGGACCTATCAGCGACGTTGGAGAGGGGCGTATTTCTCGATCCTGATTGGTCGGGTTCTCCTCGGGCCTGCCGTATCGACACGCGGCCAACTTCAGAGAGCAACGGACGTGATATACACGAATAGAGGACCTGGGGGAAGTGGTTGTCGGTATATTCGTGTGTACGTGCGGCGCGCATGTGTGCGATATACGGAGACGGGACGAATTTTGCAACTGCACACAGAGTGAATCCGGATCATCATATCGTCTCGCTTTTTAATGCCGTTCGATGCGCAACAACTTTGGATTATGTGGCTCTACTCGATGTTGACGGGCAGGAAATTGGATTGAACTTGGATCTTCAAGGGCTGGCTTCGTACTCGCTCGGCGCACTCGCTCTCTTCTGCGTTTACAAGGGAAGGACGATCCCTCGCGATCGTGTGACTGCAACTCTGCCTATCTATCCCACGCATATATGACGAAAGTTAACAATTTTCACGTTCTTATCGCTCATCGGCAACGAGAATTAGCCAAATGAAGGTAATCGCCGACTTGGAACGATAATATTTACACACAAAGAGATATGCACGAAGGTTGAAGGTTCCAGAAACACGAATGCATGCATGCCGTTCTCCATTTGTTGTTATTTATCGTTTGAAATATTTCTCGCATGTTATTTCTCCTCTTCTATACTCCTAGGCGTGTTGCAGCGCAATTTAATTGCGTAAATTTTAATCGCGGTATCGGAGATCTTAAGATTTTTCTTTCAAGAATTTTATCACATTTTCAATGTGTGTATGTGTGTGTATTTTTCGTTTGTGTTTATTTATATATATATATATATATATGTGTATATATATATATAAAATATGTGAAGACACCCTTCAAAGTATTTTAATAGAACAATGATTATTATAATTGCATATACTTTCTACGTTTATAAAAATATAAATTGATAAGACTTAATTGTTGGGAACAGTATTATAAGATAAGAATTATATCTTTTGTCTTTTCAAACTTTTGTTAACCATTTTGTCATATGTTCATTGCTTGAATAAATATTTTCTATTATATAATAGACAGATATTCAATACTATTAAAAATATGTATACATATTTTCTAATCACATTAATACAATAAAGTAATTTACTCAATATTTGATAGATAATGTCAGATGATGATGCTGCTGCATTGGATTCAATGGATACCGAGGAAGAGATATTTGCTCCTCATAGCTTGGACTCAAATGTTAGGCGATCCAAGAGCCTACGCAAGCTGAGGTCGCATTCTGGCTCTAATTCACATATAACTAGAAACAATTTAAGTGTACGACGTAGTACACGAAATAGAATGCAGACTTATGACAACCTTAATACTAGTTGGATTTTAGGTACCAATATATATAATATATCAATACAAAATAGTTAATCCTCTATTTGTATAAATGTATATATATAATTACATTGATATTTATATTTTAAAGTATTGAATTTTAAGTAAAGTAATTAAATATAAAATTGATGAGACTTTATCTATTATCTTATTTGACAATAATAAATAGATCTTTTAAGCTTTTTTTATTAATTTTTATTTTAAGAAGTTTTTCATCTATTTTGAATTGAAATATTCAAACTTTCCTAAAAATTATATTCTAATTATTTTTTTACGTATCTTTCTAATATCTTTAAATTTATTTGTTTTCTGTATTTAATAATCCACTTGAGATAATCTTATTTTTCTAACATTCTGAAAATAAGATATTTTTATTTTATTGTTGATTAAAAAACATTTTATTAACTTTGAAAGAGTATTTAGAGTTCTATCTAAAGTTATATAATCTAATAATTAGGAGAATTTCTATTAATAAATTATTTATATGTCTTAATTTATATTTTTATTGGACAAGAATATTATTTTTTGAAATAAAATTTTTGTTTACATTTGAATGATTAAGAACATCTTAGTAGTCACATCTCATTAATGTAATAGCAACAATTTAGTTGCACTTTATGAGTTATTGAGATGTTTTTAATTAAATGTACAATAAATAAGAAAAAGAAGAAAAAATTAAATTCAAACAATATAAATGGAGTAGAATGGAAGCAGAACGGAAAATTCTGTATGTTTACATCAACATAAATATCAACGCGATATATTTATCTAGAATTACATTTTTTGCAATAAATAATTTAAATCGAAATTTTGTAGAAATAATTAAAAAGTACAAATTATATATTGTAATTGTAATTATTTTGATTTTTCATTATCAATTGCAATTGTTTCTGAATGTTCATTAAAATTAACAGGAACGCAAACTTTAAAAGGATATCCTATGTTTCAACAACATGCTTCTTCCTCGGACAAAGAGATGGGAGATGATGTACCTGGTAGAAAGCGTGATCTTCGAGATCGTATGCCCTTGAGATCTCGCGAGAATCATCCACCTAATAAAACTCCGACAAAACATCTTAGGGACAGAACGGAGCATGATCGACAAAATAGTAGGGAACTTAGAGGTAGACCTGATCGTGATCTTAAAGAAAGATCAGAAAAAGATATTAGAGAACCGGAAAAAGAGAGTGAACAAACGAGACCAATAAACGAGGAAAAAGATAGCAGGCACGTAGTTTAATGAAATACTTAGATTGTACTTGATAGAATTTAATATAATTGAAATTAAAATGTTTTTTAGGACGAGAAAATCTGATAGTCCAAGCAGATTTAGAGAAGGCCCTGTAACCAGATTATGTGGAAGTATAAGTGAGAAAAATGAGAAACCCAAAGCAGAGCAAGATGAGGCAGATGATGATAGTTTGCGAGAAAGTGAGAAGCCAGATAATAATGACAATTCTGAAAATGAAGATGTGAGCAAACTTGTACAATTATGTTACATCAAATACTACTCTAGTAGCAATCTATAAATTTATATATATTTGTATTTGTATTTTTTTCTCACATGCATTATTTTTTATTAGGGATATGAAGATATGTATACACGAATTAAAAGAACAAGACGTACGGCTCAACGGCAACTGCCAAGAGGTAAGGAAAAGTTTATATTTGTCTATTACATTATAGGATAAGAGACATTTTTTCTTCTAAAAATAAAGTTTAATGTTATTTATTTGTGCATACAGTGGTAGACAGTGATCTGTCTGAATCTTCGGATTCTCCTGGGCCTAGGAAATACAGTTTACGTAAAAAAAAACCTACTGTAGATAGATTTCAAGCTAATGTAGAGCCAGTCAGACGATCTATTAGAGCTCTAAGAAGTGTTCTCAGCAATTCAATGAGAAGAAGAAAGCATAGAAGTAAAAGTACGAGTTCTAGTGACTCCAGTGACTCTGAGCCGCAACGTTACGACAAGAAGAAGGGCAAAAAAGCGAGGTATATTTATATATATATTACAAAAAAGTTTTCAACAATGATTTCAGTAATAAACATAAGTATTAATAACATTTTCGCAGACAATCGGCGATACCACAAGGCGGTCCACCAGATCGAAAAGCTGACATAAATCCTATTACTCTAGACACTAATATTAGATTTAGTGATGTTGGTGGTTTGGAATCTCACATTCACTGCCTTAAAGAAATGGTCGTTTTTCCTATGTTGTATCCAGATGTTTTTGAAAGATATAATACTACTGCACCAAAGGGAGTCCTGTTTCATGGTCCACCAGGTACCAAATTTATTATTTTACAAAAAAATAAAATAAAAATAAAATAAAAATTTATTTTGAAATTTTATATAAATTGAAATTTTATTTAGGAACTGGTAAAACATTGATAGCCAGAGCATTAGCCAATGAATGCAGTCAAGGTAACAAGAAAATGGCATTCTTCATGAGGAAAGGAGCAGATTGCCTATCAAAGTGGGTTGGGGAATCTGAACGACAATTGAGATTGTTGTTTGAACAGGCTCAACAGATGAAACCGTCCATAATATTTTTTGATGAAATAGATGGTTTGGCACCTGTCAGAAGTACCAAGCAAGATCAGATTCATGCAAGCATTGTATCTACGCTCTTAGCACTCATGGATGGTCTCAGTGACAGGGGAGAGGTAATAAAAATGAAGTCAAAGTCAAGTAATAAAAATGAAGACTATTTTTATGCTACTTGTTTCTTTAATTTTTTTACTTGTTTAAAGGTTATAGTTATTGGTGCAACAAATAGAATCGATGCAATCGATCCTGCTTTACGAAGACCTGGTCGTTTTGATCGTGAACTTTTCTTCCCACTACCTGCTATGAAAGAGAGATTAGAAATTTTAAAGATTCATGTCAGTAAGTGGAAAAATTCACCATCCGAACAATTGTTAGAAATATTGGCAGAAAAAGCAACTGGATATTGTGGCTCGGACTTGAGAGCTTTATGTACCGAAGCAGTGCTGCAAGGATTAAGGAGAACTTATCCACAAATTTATATGACAAATGACAGACTATTGCTAGATCCAGAGAAAGTCGAAGTACGTTTTGCAACAAAAATTATCAATATATGATAAAAATTTTATTTTTGAAACTATTGATAAGATACTATTAATTTTATTAATAGGTAAAGAAACGTGACTTTATGCAAGCAAGCTCTATGCTTGTTCCATCATCGCATAGAGTAGCTCCATGTGCAGGAAGAAAATTACAACTTTTTATGGTACCATTATTAGGACATCCATTGGAAGAATTAATTAATTTGGTGAAAGGAATATTTCCTCATGGTGTAAACCCTGCTATGGCAAAGTAATTATTCTTCACATATGTACATGACATTATAATAATAATAATGAAAAAATAATTGTATTTTTTTAAACTGATACTTATATATTGCATTTTTTGTCATAGAGTAAAGAATGCTAAGGGTATCTATCGCCCAAGATTATTAATTTCTGGCGGTAGTCTGTCTGAAGGTCAGGGACCTCATTTGGCTCAAGCATTATTATATTCTATGGAACATTTGCCAGTCCAAATTTTAGATGTTAGTACATTATTTGCAGAAAGCGCTCGATCTCCAGAAGAAACTTGTGTGCAGGTTATATAACATTACTATATATTTATAATTATTAAAACTCTTAAATATATTTAGTCAAGACTTTTAAAATTCTTTTATAATAATTTTTTTATAATAGTTTTATAATTGAAAATGAAGTGGAGAGTATAAATATGATTTTATTTATTTTATATTATATAATTATTTTCAAATTACGCGCAGTATAATTTAATATTGCATTTAAAAAAATTTATTTTAATGATGTCTATTATATATTACAGGTAATTAACGAAGCTGCTAGGAACGTACCGTCCATAATTTACATTCGATCGATTGACAAATGGTGGCCTCTCGTACCAGAAACAGTAAAAGCAGTTTTTCTATGTCGTATTGCAGCACTCGATCCTTCATTGCCAATTTTAATTCTCGCGACAAGTGACGCAACGTATCAAGACCTCCCTGATCAATTAAAAAACTTGTTTAGCGAATTACGTGGAGAAGTATATTCCATGAAAACTCCCACCACTGAACAAAGGAAGAAATTTTCCGACATATTTTTATGGCTCAGAGTATAAGATTGCCGCAGATCAAAAGCAACAAAGTAGAAGTTTTAGAAACACTGCCATTAGCACCGGATCCGCTGCCAAAGAAATTAACTGAAGCGGAGAAACGGATTATGTATGAGAAAGATGAAGTGTCTTTGAGAGAATTACGGATTTTCCTGAGAGAAATTTGTGCTAAGCTAGCGAGAAATCGACAGTAAGCACATCTCAAATTATTTCTTGTGTCTCTTTTTTACGAACACGGATATTTATAAATTATATGATGTTTCAGATTTTTTATGTTTACTAAGCCAGTGGATACGGAGGAAGTGCCGGATTACAACTTGATAATAAAACGACCTATGGATTTGGAAACGATGATGACTAAAATCGATATGAATTGTTATCTATGCGCTCGCGAATTTCTCGACGATATAGATCTCATATGCAGAAATGCTTTGGAGTATAATCCAGACAGGTTAGTAATTTGAGATGAACAATTTTTCTGAAACTCATTTGTGTGAATCGAGAAAAACAGTCATAAGTCTTGTGCGAAGGTATCTCCGTTACAGAAGCGCAGCTTTATACTATCAATATTGTACTATAACTTAAGGTTATTCTTTAGCAATACTGTCTTTTCTATACTGACATTCATATTGTGTGTTTTCATGTCAGCTTACGTGATAGGCCCTCCCTCGGAATATTAAAGAGGTAGTTGAGCTTTTTCCTGTTTATCCGTAATACTGTTTCGCTCCGTAGACAATAGTGGTTTTCAATTTAAAGCACACTATAATCGTTGTTGTTTCACTAGATACACCATTGTAACCAATTCACTATGCATCATTGAAGGCCACTTCCCATTAGTCATCACGCTTTCTGTTAATGGAATGCTGAAATATTAATTTTACATGAAACTAATATATGTTTTTCACTTTTTCCACAGGGATCCTGCTGATAAATTGATAAGACATCGAGCGTGTTCTTTGCGTGATAATGCTTATGCTTTAATAAAAGCTGAATTGGACTCCGATTTCGAGGATAAATGTCGCGAAATTTCGAAGAACCGTCGAATTTTAGAAAGTAAGTGTAATAACGAGGAAGAAAGTAAAAGTGCAAAGGCAGAAACTATCTCCATGAATGAACGAATAGAAAAGAAGGAGTCCGTAAATTCTAGTCATTCTCTTAGCGTGAATGGAAAGAAATTCGGTAGTTCAAGGAAACGTAAAATACCTGCCTGGGCTAGAGGCTATGTGAAGAAAATTCATAAGAAGAAAAAGATCACTTTCGATGAAAGCGTTACAGAGGTGATTACAAGTAATTCGTTAAACAATGAAACTACTACTAGTATTGATTTAGAAAAATTCCAAGAATTCGAAACCGAAGCAAATAGCGTTTTAAATGGTCACGTGGGACTGTTCGATAATACCGATTCAGAGAACGATTCGCAGAACGAAAATTCAAAGGAAAGCGGCACTGTTACAGATCAACGAATTGATAATCTCGATCAAATGGAAATATGTTCCATAGAGGAGGATAAATCTACTGGAAACGGTGATTCGAGTTCGTCGTCTCGACGCGAAAGCATGGATGAATTGTCGTTCGCCATCGAAAGCGATTCTAGTCGAGAGAAAATTGAAGAAAATGAAAAAATTTTAGTTGATAGAAGCGAACTCGAAAATGCATGGCATTTTACTGTCGAAATAACAAAGGACTTTCCTGTTGAGGTATTGTGCGATATCTATGTGCAAATAAGCAGATGTGTTGGAAAATATGCTCATAAATATGATAGAAAATCACTGCCAAAGGTAAATATAAATGTGTATATATGTGTACATATATAAAATTTACATACATTTATTATATAATATATATTTTATATCTATTATAAAGAAATAAAATCTATGCATATAGCCTTTAAAAAAATATCGACTTATTTAATTTGTATTTTAATATATGAAGATATTTTGCTAATATATTGTTGTTTGCATTGTGTGCAGGACTTGCTCAAGGAAGTGGAGAGGTTTGCGGAATATAAGCGACAGTGTCATTAAAATACACACGATATACATGGTACATGTAGGTATGGTATTGTATGAAAAAAATGCAGCATGTGTTGCTAACGAGATAAACGTATTATACGTCACACCATCATAATATCTTCAGCAACATTAATTTTAAAAAACCCATTTCTTTTATATATTTATACTGAAATTACAAAGCCGAATATTATCATTGTTGGATCAAATGAAACTTTGGAATTATATATTTTTTAGTTATTATACTGCCAGTCTTTAGGTAAAAAATAGCATACATCTGCAAAGCAATCACATTTGTTGTTTGAGATGTAGCAGGAAATTAGTTATAATTAATATTGAATTCCAGATATATACACATAATCCAATTAAATTTTGTACATATTGTAAAAGCCCTGTGTAAATGTCCAAACAAGTAATTATTTGATATTTGACACGATAAAGTAGCATCGTGATTCTTAATCATGGCTGAAGTAATAAGAATGATTTACGTTGCTGTCTTATTGCTTGCAGCCACTTACATATTTTTTTTAGAAAATAAATTTGATTTATATTTGTCAAAAAAAAAAATTTGCAAACTATTGTGCAAATTTTATCGTATATTATTATCAGTATCATAATATTATAATTACTAGCATTATTATTAGTATTATTTTTATCATTATCATCGCGTTTATGTGTTTAGCTATTTTTTTTATTATTCTTTAACCATTTTGGAGATTATATTACTTTTATTACATAATCAGAAAACAAAAATAATAAATTTTTAAACATTTTTTTGCATGATTTTTAAGAATAATTGTAGATTTTTTATTTATGGAAAAAATTCAGGTTATGCAACATTATATAACTATATATGTATGTACAAAATTCTTTTCAAATGTTTATTCAAAATTATATTGATGAATTTTAAAATACATATTGATAAGGAATAACGAAAACAGGAATTGGTACATTATGTACTTAACTATTTTCATTCAAGTAGTCTGAATAGTTAAATGAACATTAACATAGCGCAATGCATCTTTAATTCTAGAAAATGGTCATTAAATATTTTAAATACTTACGAGACATAAATTCGGTATTTTCTTATATTAATGAAAAACTATTCCAAATATTCGTGATTCTTAATAAAAATTTACAAACAAGTAAGGAGAGCTAAAATACGAAATGTATTTCTTTTGTGTTTAAATTTGTTCATTTGTTAAAATTGTAGTTCTCCTTGTATATCAACATACCTCGCGAGACAAAATGTATCAATTCAAAAATTATTATTAATATAAGATAATACACTACTTGACGTATATAGAATAAGATAGACCAAATATTATTTTCACGAGAATAAATCCACATAAACAGAGTTTAACTTATTATAAGAATTACATAAAATATTTAGAATTAAAAAAAGCATGCAAAGTATGTGAACATACATATATCTTTATACAATAGTACTATTTCATCAAAATCTCGTTTTTGATCGAGAAATCGATATAGTTAATCCAGTTAAATGTGATCTTATTCTCGTGATAACAATTTTTGGTCAATCCTCTATTAGTACAGTTCACTTTATACAAAATAACTTAAGACATGTTCAAAATGCGATTAATAATCTGCAAGTTAAATAGACCAAAGTTGTAAAAAAAAGTATGAACATGGAAACACAGAGCACTTAATACACACATATACACAATTATGAAATACCTCGATAAAAAATGCGTTATATAATGGCGGCTAGTTAGTCATGTTTAAATCAATTGGAGGTTTCACGGAAGTGAATGACTTTAAAATTGCGCGAAATTTATCGTTTGCGCATTAGAGAGATCTCAAAGAGTGGACTACAGTAATTAATATTAAATATTTGAATTAAGATTATAATCGGAATCGGCACGAGAAAAGAATGACTCCACTTTATTAAAGTTTTTTAGGAAATGTAATAATTGATAATTATTAGAAATATTACTAATTAATTTTAAAATCTTGATTGATATTTGAAACGATGTTGATAACAAAATGTTTATTTCCGATAGGTTCTAATAAGCACTTTCGAATATCTGGCCGTCGTTTTACGAAGTATTCCGGAATTCTCGCACTTTCTTCGAGTTTATTTTCTTCATTTATATTTCTTCTTATTCTTTTTATTCTCTGATTTTTTTATTTGTAATATTTCATCGAAACTGACTGTAAATAGATTTTCTCATATTTAATTCTCTATATAACTCCAGTTATATAATTGAGATGTCTCTCGATTTTAAACAACTGCCATTTTTCTTATGAGTTAGAGAATATCGGCGCTCGAGAAGAAACTGTGTGACGATTCTGGAAGACTTTGTTTTATATATATGTATAAATATTAGTACATACTTATAGAATATATAACTTGCCTTCCAGATTCGTGTATTGGTTGTGATTTGCTATAATCGTGAAAAGATTAGTTACCAGATAAACCAGATAGATCAGAGAAAGTCAGTATGCGACGAGAACTAACTCGTTTTCATCCAAGCTGTTTGAAACAGCCTAAAAAGCCGATTCTCTCCGATAATAACCGTTTAAACAATACGTATGATTGTCGAATTGTACATGTACACATATTACAGGGCGCGATCCATCTTCTATCGTTCAAACCATACGATCGAATAGGAAAGCTATAGGAAATAAACTCTATCAATAAAACTTATGTGATCCACGAGTAATATCTTTCTTAGGGATATGTCATTGTTGTTAAGATGTGATGAATTTTTAGTTTCGCAATCGCGTGGTTGAAATGTAATCTAACAGGTTTTGTTAGTAGCATATCCGTTTTTACGCGTCAGGTGATAGCGACGAATTTTTTTTTTTTTATAGCAAATTTTTGTAGTTAGCGTAGAAATTCGTTCTACTCGGCGATTGGATCATTCGTCGAAATTCGATTGTATTACTTGCGAAATTTTTTAGTAATTAGGGAGTCGAAAAGACTGAGATTTAGAAGGAAAAATGCTCGCTTTTTAGCATTCATACGACGCATTCAAAATTCAATTAGAAAACGAAGGATAAGAAAAAAAGGATCGCTTTAGTATGTCATACGAATTATCACAGATTGTCTTACAAGCGCGACGATAGATTCCCATCAGTGGGATTTATATAATTTATATTTGCCAAAGAAGTAACGACAGATAATGCTCGAGCAAAACTCTCTTCTTGCGTGTAATTATAATTATTGTAAAAAATTAAGCATAAAAAAAGCACTTGGAAAAAATCACTCAGCGGATGTATGATTTTTCTTCTAGCGATTACGATTTACATTCCGCTTCGAAATAATTAACGATCCGAAAGAAATGGCTGTCTTTTTACAATTACGTTTTTACAATTTTTGGTGCTATTTTCGGATATGCTGTCATTTCACTACCACATGTGCGTGAATTATGAGAATCCGTACCTACATATATATATATATATATATGTATGTATGTATGTATGTATGTATATATGTGTGTGTGTACATATATACATATATAAGGAATGTATCTGCGCTATCAGATCGAGAAGTTATTATCTCGTAACACTGCCGATTATGTAAACGAGCGCTACCACATTTATTCTCTCTTTTTTTAGTTTCTGAATAATCCCTTAAGACTACTCTCTACAAAGAATAAAGTGTCAATGCGTTCGAGCTGTAGCATATCAAATCTGGGCAATTTTTTCTACCGACACAGTAGGTCGTAGTCTTAAGAGAATCCACACATTACATACACACGACAAGTTGGAAAAGATACGGACGAAAAGCGACGATGCATCCACTGCCTTATTTATTTTACCATATATAAATATATATTATATATGTAAGTAACACATTTTATAGTCATACATATAGTGAAATAAAGTTTCGTAATGTAATCCATTTCTTGCGGCGTTATTTCGCTCCTCCCAAAGTATTTTCTCCACCATGAAATTATCATTTTGCATATTTATTTCTGTTTTCATACGTGTGAAAACATACGAACGTTCGCACCGATGCTGTAATCGTGATCGATTTATATCTCGCATGATTTTCTGTTTGTTAGCTGGCGATACGTCAAAAATAATGAAATTGAGTAATAAACTCTCGTAACTTTCTAAATAACATCTGTATAAAAATTCCAGTGACAATAACTCGATCATAAAATCATCCAGAATGTGCGAATAAATCGAGAGATTTGTACCGAGATGTCGATGATAGTAAAAATGTCATTTTCGGGTTGACTATGTGCAATCGAGAAGCGAATAGAAGTAAAAATAAATCAGCGATTCCTTTCAAGAATTTTTGGAGAAGAAGAGAGAAAAAAATGTCCGTCGCGAAAGATTTCTCATGCATCGGAGGGTTGGAGAAACACATTAGAATCGTAAAAGAGATGGTTCTATTCCCGCTGATGTACGGAGACGTATATGCTAAATTTAATCTCAGACCGCCACGTGGTTTATTATTTTACGGCCCTCCAGGTAATTTCTTCATTATGAAATGAGCATTATTGTGCTTCTCTTGTTTATTAAGTATCTTCATTAGAATATTTCTCTTCCCTTTGTTAGGAACGGGAAAGACCCTCGTAGCCAGTGCTCTAGCAACGGAATGCAGCAATTCCGAACGCAAAGTCTCCTTTATTTCGCGCAAGGGTTCCGATTGTCTCAGTAAATGGGTCGGGGAGAGCGAAAAGAAACTCGAGAAGATCTTCTCGTTGGTCGGTGAAATTCAATTTTTATATTTTTTTATTCTATATTAATTACTATCCCGATTTTTACGCGACACGCGTTTCAGAATTAAATGTAAGGCGCGATCTACCGATTTTTCCTTCTTTCCCTCGGATGTTTTATGTAAATATGTGTGACGAAACGCGAAAGAATATTCCATGTAAATTCAAGAGAACATCTTCGAGAAATTCCAAAAAGAATAATTTTTTTCTCCAGGCACAACAGACCAAACCGTGCATAATTTTTTTCGACGAAGTCGACGGTCTCGCTCCTGTAAGATCAAGTCGGCAAGATTTCGTCCACGCTAGCATAGTTTCCACTCTCTTGGCTTTGATGGATGGTTTGGACAATAATTCCGAGATCATAGTGATAGGGGCAACTAACAGGATCGACGCGATAGATCCCGCTCTGAGGAGACCCGGCAGATTCGACAAAGAATTATATTTTCCCTTGCCTTGCTACAACGCCCGAAAAGAGATACTTTCGGTATTGTTTTATAGAGTAAAAATATGAGAAATAGAAGAAAAAAAAACTGATAAAATTTGACAGGGAAAAATAATGGAAAAGCGACTCCTCACAGCATGCATATTCAGAAGATATCTCGAAGATATCTTATTGCCTAAAGAATCTTTGCGATATCTTCTGATTAATATCTTTTGGATATGCATATTGTGTACTGGGTTAATATATTTTCGTAACACGATGACAGGTACATATTAAAAGTTGGAAGCAGAAACCGGCACAGAAATTTTTAGCATATTTGGCTTCGAATACATTAGGATTTTGCGGCAGCGATCTGCAGGCACTTTGCGCCGAAGCAGTTATGTGTTCAGTTCGTAGAAATTATCCACAAATCTATAATTCGAGGTCCAAGTATCACATCAACGAACGTCACCTCAAAGTAAGACATTTAATTGCAACATAAATGATTAAATCCATTGAACGAATTAAACAAATGAAATTATCCGAAAGACGTTCAGAAGACATCCAGAGGATGTTCGGAAGATTTCTGAATATTCTCTGAACATCTTTCAGATATATGCATATACAGATGTTACCTGTAATAATATAAAAACGCTTTTGCAAGAAGTTTAATTAACTTGATTTCTCAAGGTGGAAAAGGAAGATTTTTTGAAAGCACGTCAAAATATCGTCCCCGCCTCGCATCGCGTTATCGTTGCACCGATCAAGAGTTTACCCTCCAAGGTTCAGCCGTTGTTACAGGAGGATCTGGCAGAAATCCTGTCGCGTTTGCAGATACTTTGCCCGACCGGCATGCTAACTTCCGACAACATGTAAGCGTCGCGAAATGAATATCCAGAAACGGAATCAAAATTAAATACTCTAATCCGAATAGAACAGGCAAAGCCACGTCCAAATCGAGTGGCTGTCCGCGAATCTTATTATGCGGCGACGACGATTCCCACACTCGTCACTTAGGGCCGGCGTTGCTGCACACCCTGGAACATCTACCCTGTCACATTCTAGATGTCACGACAATGTTTGAAGAAACAGGCAAGGCGGCCGAGGAAGCTATAATACAAGTAGAAAAAGATTATTCGCCTCCCTCGTTCCTAGATAAATGTCGATAGTCGTCTTATCATGATAACAGAAAGTCAAGACCGCACGTCGCACTTTACCAGCGCTGCTCTACATTCCTGGCGCCTTGACATGGTGGGACTTGGTGAACGAGACGGCGAGGGTAGTTTTTACCTCTTTAATGCGTGGTCTTGACCGATCGGTGCATTTGCTCGTGTTAATGACCGTCCACTGTCGACACGCCAATCTGCCATCGGAGGTTGATGTTCTTTCTCTTCTTGACATGTTCTCTTATTTAATATTCCGCTATTTTATTTGTACTTTAATATACATTTTTATTCATTCGTCCAGATAGCTATATCTATGCTTTAATGATATTTTTTAAATTAAATATATTAATATTTATAATATATATATTAATATATATATATATATATATATATATATATATATATATATATTAATATATAAATCTATTAATAATGTACATTGCATTATATGAAAATAAAAGATTGACAGAATGATGAAATTTTTAGAAACTGCGGATACTTAATAAAATCTGTAATCGTATAAAACGCGTAATTATTGATGTTTTATTACAGATCGCAGAATTGTATGACAATAATCGTGGCGAGGTGTATGAAGTGAAATCGCCTTCATCGCAGAAACGACGATCCTTCTTCAAACAATTGTTCCTCAATAGACTCGATAGTCTTTCCGATTGTTCCTCTCAAGGTGATTATCTGTCTAAATAATTTTATTTTCGCACGATTATTATATTAACGATAAATCGAAATAAATGATTTTTGCCAAATGTAGCAGATCTGGTGCAAATCCTGAGCCCGAAGAAGCTCAAAAATGAAAAAAATAGAAAGCTGCGGAACTATGTATATTCTAGTGATTCTAACGGATTATTAGGTATGTTTAAAGAGTTTCAAACTTTATATACAAAATCGTTAATATATGTGCAATGATTTTATAAGAAATAAGCGCAGCACCTATGACCAGAAAAGTTAAAGAGGATTCAAAAGCGCGAAATAAGCTCAGAACTGTAAGATCCTCGCACTCGACGTATTCCAGATCGAGTAATTATTGATTGATAATTTTGCACATTTGATAATTTTCCACACTTATATTTACGATACAAAACAGTTACAATTTCTTGAAATTCATTCATGAATATATTATAAATTATAACTGCAATTTATATAGTTAAATATAAATTCGCTTTCCAGGAATGAATATTAAGAGAGAATACGCGTCCGGCGAGGGTCCACCTTCAAAACGGCAAAAATTAACATCCGATACATCTTCTCAATCTAGCACTGAGAAACTTTTCAATTCGCAAATAGAGGACTTGGTCGAAACAATCGTTCGATCGACCGATGAGTGGCCAAGTTATCTACTGGAAAGTCTGTTTTCCTCCCTCGAACTCACAATGGAAAACAATGGAGATTTACGTGCAATTGTAAATGATTATGTTGTACAATATGAAGAATTGAAACGAATCAAAATGCGTGCAAAACAGGAAGAAGATTGATAGTTAATTTAGTGAAAACGTCCCTTTGTTTGTCAATCGTCGCTGTAATGTCCAAATCCGATGCGAAATGCATCGTGATAGCCGGCAATAAATTTGTGAATGTTTTGTAATTATTGCAGTGTAATAAAAGATATATATATTTTCAGTTTTTCATTTTAGATATTATTTTTTTGCAATCTATTTTTACACGTCACAATTTAATTATTTAAAATTTAATTAAATATTAAAATAATTTAAATGCATAATAAATAAACATCTAATTTTTAATTAAAATCAAAAGAATTAAGAGCATGGCATACTTAAAAAATAATTGGAAATTGATTTCATTTAATATGTGATTTGTAAATCTTATTTGATTTTTTGAAAACAATTTATGATAGCGACTTCCTCTCGTGTTCTCGATGTCAAATATCTTCGAAAACCATCTCGTATTACAATACCAGCACGATTGATCTTTTCTTCCCTATCAGAACATCTTATAGTTGATTATTGTTTCCCCAACTCGCATCATATGTTTCATGCGCCTTTGATGATGCACCGACTCGATACTTAATTGATGATGACTGTCTCATTTCTCCCTTTACTCATAGAATCGAATCAGTCTCCTACTTGAGGGGGCCTTTGCGCATGGTAGAGGGGTCCAATCCGGCAAACTTATCAGTTAGCATACGACTGTTGCATGTGTCGCGTTGCATCCTGCGTCTGCATCCCAAGCGCAATTGTCAGTGTTGCGAGACCACGTGGGGGAAACGCGTTAATGTATTAATTCGGGGAAAAAAAGTGAAGACCGCGTAGATATATGCTGCGTAGATATATGTTGCATTGATATTGAAATCAGTAGCGATATATGATAGGAAGTTCTTATCTCTCCCTATATCAGGTTTCATCGCGCACGTGATATCTGATACGACGAGACGAGAAGTGACGATACGGTAAGACGTTTCTATTGCGATGCACGAAATTTTATGAGACGATCAATTTTTAGTACAATTTAATTTTAATAACATTTAATTCTTATTTGTAAGATTTATTATTTGGCTTATTGTCAGCTTATTACTACTGCAAGCATTTTTTTATAATAACTTATTAATATATAATTTTCTAATGGCGATACAAAAAAAACAAATAATTTTAGATTTTTAAATATTTATTACAAACATGTAGAAAAGATAGGTTAAAATTTTTTTTTAATATTATATGTTTTTATAATATCTTTCTCTCAAAAAATAAAGATATTTAATATATCTAAGTGTTATAGGGAAAACCACATTTTGGCAGAAATATTACTCTTAGAGAAAAACTGTCAAACACATAGGTATGCAAAAATATCAAAAGAAAAATCATGTTCCGAAAACAATTATTTTCGGAAGTGCATTTTCTTTTAAACAAAATATGACATGACAGCTTTCATGTTTTTTGTTATATACATAAATATAAGCTTTCTAATAGTATATATGTGTGTGTGTGTGTGTAAAAAGAAAACGTTTTATAATTATAGTTGTGTGTTAATACACATACAGAATTAGACGACTAAAATCAATTTCTAGCGCAAACGAATTAGTCGATTAATATAATTGTTATTTATAAAACGCCTGCTTAATCGACATCCATAACGACAATAATAACATACATTTAAAATTTTAATCGACGATACATTCCAAAATAAAAAAAAAAAACTAATATTTAGAACCAATAAAAGTGTAATTCTCCTTCCCTCCCTTCTTTCTCTCTTATTTTTATAAATATTTTTCATTAACAATATTTAAATAAATCTTACATTTAAAAAAATCTTATATTTTAAAAATTGTATAGTTTTTGTAAGCTGTAAGAGATAATCGAGATTATAATTGTAAAAAAGAAAATAAAAGAGTAAAAAAGAAAGAAAAGGAGAAAATTATTCTGTCAGAATTGAAATTAATGTATATAATTACATTTATACTATATCATTGTACTTCTTTGCATATTTCATCCCTACACAGCGCGCGTATCATAATATTTTATAACTTATTAGATTAAGATAAGGAAAGACAGTGGTAACAAAAGGTAACAAAAAGACAATAGCGAAAAATTTGCTTCCTTTTGTTTGCATAAATTAATGACTATATATAGCTATATATATATAAATATATAATATTAATAACTGATGTTTTTTTCTAAAATTTAAAAAAAGAAACAATAAAGAAAAATAATATATTGGCACATACACTGTTTTAGCTTTGAAAAGATTACAATTTATAATCGTGTCTTTCAACGCACAACAATAAATTTTTGTCAACATACGCTTAATGTAGCACAGCTACTTCATTGTGTCTTTTGTTCGCTTTTAATCCATTGGTTATTATGGCTTCTCTGCTTGTATCCGTGGTTCTAAGAATCCTTGATGAGCATATATCGCGTACTCTTCTAAGTCGTTGTTGTTAATTTCTATTACTTTGTTGTAATATGGTGATTTGATTCCGTAATGATGCATATCTTCTAAACAAATACCCAGTTTTTTCTCAAATGCGTTTGCCACATATTGATAACTACTTTCAGTCATGGTCGTAAATCTTGGACAACTAGACGGTTCAAAATTCGCCATAAATCCAGCATTGCATTTCTCTGAGCAATTAGTCGATTTCCGCTGTTTAGGAAATGTTTCATTAACAGTATTTTGTACTAATATCTCTCTTTCAGTACGATTGGGTGATTCGTGATTGATATCGCTTTGTAGATGTCTCCTTGTTATTCGTAGTACTTCCTGCACGTCATCATCAACGCTCGAATTATCTTTTAACAATTCGTTTTTTCTAATGTTAGAAGAACTTCGAGTGAAGGAAGTAAGCGAACGCTTTGTCATAGTTTCATAGATTTTGTTATTATTATTATTATTATTATTATTATTATTATTATTATTATTATTTTCAATATCAATAATTATTTCTTCAGAATCTGCTAAAGAATTTGTTGATCCAGCACTTCCTTTATCTTCCGTAACTTCATTAGATTCTTGGGTAGGATCGTAACAGATTTCATTTTCCGATATTTGCTTCGATGTTAGTAATGTTGTTCTGTCGTTTTTGTCTCGTTGAGAGATAAGAGTATTTTTGTTATCGTTTAATAAAAATTCGGTTTGGCAATATACATTTTCCCTCTCTCGTTCATTTAGCTTTCCTTGCGAATTTTCCTTGTCATGAATGTCTAAATTATTGAAACTTCTGATCCATACGCTCGCTATATTTTCCTGAGAAGTAAGATTGCGACGACTTTCATATACCTCGCACGAGCCGTTGCTACCGGGGATTACGTCTCTATGGGGAGTATTCGAGATCTCTATAAGACTTCTCTCCCCTACAGGGGTAGAACGCTCTGTCGTGTCGCCTTTAGTAGACGTGAATTTACCTACAATGTATCGATTTGTGGCTTTGTGGGGCCGTATATGTTGCATATGACTGTTATCCATTACATGGTCCGAGAGAAACAAATCGATATCCCCAGCGCAGTTATCTTCATGTTTCTTATTTTCGAGCGAGTCCAGAGTTTGCGTACCCATGTTGAAATTTCTGAGATTATGCTCCATTAAGTACTTCCGATCCAGATTCACATCCATTGTCGTCATTCCGTTTAGTTTGAATTTTACGCGTATTGTTTCTTTTCCCGGTCTCTTTCTGTATTTGGCTCTTGTACCATGTTTATGTATCAGTCGCTTGTGAATCTTCAAATCGGTGGTAGTTTGAAACTGCATATCGCATATGTCGCATTTTTGGCCGATGACAAATCTTTCGAGATAAAGCTCGTGATATAGATTGTCAATTAGCGATCCTATGGTCCCGTTGTGTCGCCATCGTGAATGCAGAAAAACGTCGGTCTCGCATTTGAAGTTTCTACCGCATATCTTGCACGTACTTCCGATAATGACGACACTGCACTCTCGCAGAGTCACCCCAGCGGAAACACGGAAGCTTCTTTTATTTAATTGTGTGTCGTTGAATGCCCGCATCTCATCCAGATTCGATAAATTCTAAGGAGTTCTTGGTTGTTCTTCCGCCGCTCTTCGCCGCGCATTGACGTTCGCTTGAAAAGTCCTTGCGGCCGCACAGCGCGATCGCTGTCGTGCTGACTCGTCACTGATGAACTTTGTCTGTGACAGCAAAAATTTCATCGGGAGTCTTCGTCTTGGCTCTGATGTGGCGCCACCTCGTGTGGGGATCACTATGACGCAACCTGACGCCGGACAAAAGACAATTGGCATGATGATCGTATATTGTATATGTTATTCGCAAAGGTCGAATATTTGGTTTTTCCAAGATATATCCCACAACATGTAATTGTAGATAATATTTCAGAAATAATAGCTTGACAAAAAATGATTTGTCGAAGAATTAGATTGATTTATCTAAATAGATAAATATCTAACATTCAACGAATCATTCAATAATTTTTTTGTATATAGGAACAAATTGAGACAAAGTTTCTCCAAATTGTGATAACACGTGGACGATATTAAAGATTTATACGAATTACAGGATTCCTTCAAATGAAGAAAAATATTCATAAATCTTTAAGAGGATTGGAATCAAAGATTGAAATTATTTCATGTGGAAGACAAATGAAAGTTGTCTACACGTATACAATTCAATCCCACATTGAAATGACATACATTTCGGATAAGAAGAAAACTGAACTGTTTAATTGAGAAGAACCAAAGTCAATGATCTAACAAAACAAATGATTATAGTTATACTGATAATGCATTAAATATGATCATGATATCAAGCCGAATTGCGGCAATCATCCACGCAACATTTTTAGCTAGTATATACTGACTGGCAGCTGATGATATATCAATATCATATTTCATAGAAGAACAATAAAATATCGCATATAAGAAATGTACGTTGTAATTCGTAAGACTAAAGTAATAAAAAGCTATATTACAAATAGCACGCAATATTAAAATATATTTGATTTTTTATGATAATGAGATATTAGTCTTATGATTATAATACTATATGAAATATATATAGACAGGGTATGGCTTCGATAAAGTAATAGTTTTGATATTTCAAGATTATACACACAAAATTGCTATATAATACTGAGCAATTTAATCATACTAAATTAGTATATTAATCAGAAATCTGATTATATTATATTACATGTAATTATATTATATTAAATCCCTCAGATTAACGTTGATTATCTTCTCTCTCTTTTCCTTTGTCTCTCTCTCTTCTTTCTTTATTTATATTCTAAACATTTATATTATTTTTCATGTTATTATGTCGAAAGAAAAAAAATGAGAAATACTTGTTTTTCTATGTTTTATCATAGGATATCTCAAACGTGACAAAAATATGTAAACATCTATAGGCATAACTTGAAGACATCGATATTAAATCAAATTCGATAATTTACAGGACATCTACAATAACTTTGATCCAAGTTTTGTATTAATAATGATTGTTTACAAACTTAATTCTAGATATATAATTATAGAATATAGGAATTAAAATACTTAATTGCAATATAATTATAGAATTACAACTAAGTAAAAATAATTATAAAATTTTCGATGCATATTATCAATGTTATACATATAAAATAATATTCCCGATTAGAACTTAAATTATTACGTATGAATATATCTTCTAACGAAGCTTCGCATTCGAAGAAAACTCTGTATTTTGCTTGCTTCGTTTTCTACGCTTATTCGATATTTAACAATATTTCATACAGTACATAAAATGAAGGAAAAAAACTAAACATTTCATCAAGTAAGCCATCAAAGAAGTAATGCTAATGCAAGGCTCTCACCATTGATTTTCATACCTCGTTATTTTCGCAGACTTTTGCCTCAACCTTTTTGGCAATCTATAAACCAACACTTGTAGCACGCGGTGTCGTCTTTCACCTTTGTGCTGGTGATAATTCCGCCGGCGAAGAAGCCGAAAAAAGATCCTCAGCAACGTCGCGGCTTGCTTAAAGTCGACTGTCGTTCCAGCGTTGTCAATTTGTGTTTTGGTTATCGCTTTTCTTCTTAGGATTCTTAGAAATCCGTTGTCAACATATCCTTGAGACACATTCTTGACTAGGAAAAACGAATCCAAACATTTCAAACAAAATCTATTTCTACAAATTAAATAGTCATGATTTTAAATCATATTTTAAGTCTTCATTTAATTAAATAAATATTAAATTATAAATAAATATAAATTATAAATAAATTCTTATACAAAATGCACATAAAATCATTCGATCATTCGTAGCTCTATTAATCATTATTTTCGTGTTCAAATATATCAGGATTTTTCGCCACATTCGTTATGCTACAGATAAGTTATTAATGGAATAAACAAACAAATAAAAAAATTAAAATTTCTGAAAAAAATTTATGTTTAATTACATACATATATTGATTAAATTTTGAAGAATAATATAAGTTATGGAATAAGATTTATGTTTAGATGATCACTATAAAACAATCAATTGACATTTATTCTATTTTGTCGTGTGAAATATGAATTTAGCAGCAATATGCAATAATAGCTAATTATATAAATAAAAATAATGAACTCCTTATCTCTTGAACAAACTGGCAAATATATTTGATAATTACAATCACGACGTTTCGACCATTATTATTAGGTCCTTTTCAAGTAATAAGATGTAATTATACAATTTAAGGAGAAACTCCTTCTGTCAATTGATACACTTCAGACACATTCGACAATTAATAAGCAATATAATTATATAAATTGTATTAGCAAAGTATTTCTCTAATATACGATATACATAAGCTTGAGATTACATTATCACTTTGTAAAAGCGAATGACTATCTATTGTGATACATATGTAATTCTCTTAACATTTCTTACAATTAGTGTCAAACTTTCTCTTTCTTTTTCTATTAGTAATTTTCAATTTTTAAATTTTAATTTTTTAATAAAAAAATACTTGTTTAATTTGATTGTGCCAAGATTCGAACTTAGAATTTTATTCTGATTCATAGTCAAATGCGTTATGTGTTACACCAGAGAACTATATCTATGTATATTTTATTTACAAAACTACCACTTTTATTAAATCATGAACGCATTTATAATAAATATATAATATAAAATAATATTTAAATTATATATGTATATATATATTATTAGCCTTTGTTATTTGTATTAATTTTTAAATATATTATTAACATTGTTTCAGATTTATTTGTCGCGACAAATGTACATGCAAATATGGATGTTTATGATAGCGCATATAATTTATGCCCGTAAGTATCTCATTGGAGCCATTAAGAATTATAATATATCGATCGCTAGTTTGAACCTTAAAATATCATATTTGCTGATAGAACACGTGAGAGAAAGCACTGTCAAAAATGAACTATGCAAAGATTATAAGCCTGGCGATGACGATCTACAAACCCTCGACTTCATTAGCAAGTTGAAATTGGATATGCTGAATGCACGTTATAGCGGCATGACGAAAGTCCGAGGCAGCAATCGTATGCAGACAGCTTATCGGCTAGAGAAAGAAACTGATGTCACTCTGTCGACAAAGTATATTCAAATTAACTCGTGTAGAAACAGCGGCGTAGTTAACACCTCTCCAAAAAAGACTTCCTTTATAGAAATTTATTACTAGTAACGCCAATTTATCACTTATTTCGAGTACTTAATCATTTATTTCAAGTACTTAAATTACTGTATATCAGTATTTTAAGTACTCAAAATAAGTGATTAATTGGTGTTACTAGTGATAAATTTCTACAAGGGTTACTGATAATTCCACAGTATTTGAACTAAATAATCGAAAAAAAATTATTTAGCCTATCCTAATCTAACGAATATACAGTAGCAAGTTTCAATAAATTATTCCCGTCAATCAGCTGACAATTACAATTGATTACATCTGATTAATTTTCTATTATCCTATAATATTTCATTAAAGACATTGATTAGTAAAATATACGATATATCTTTCATGTTTAAATTTTTTTCAGGAATATCACACCTACTGGACTTCCAGAGGAATTCTCGTTGATGTATACGTTGAGGACTAGAAAATTACAGAAATATCCTTGGCATATCATTAGAATCGTGGACGTGAGAGGTGATGCTCAATTTCTTATTACGATGAGTCCTAGGAAACAGACGTTGGACTTTTCATTAATTGATGATGAAGGAAAATTGCAGACGGTCTCTTTCACGAATGATCGCGTGAGTTTCATTAGTCACATTTGTTCACTGTTCTAAAATAGAGCGTATCGCGTATATATTGTTACACAATAAAAAAAATTGTTAACTTGACTCAATTAAATGTTACTGGCATGCCATTAACTGGGCGCCTTTTTTTATCTTTTTTTAAAGGTAAATTTTAGAGATTATATTGTTACACACTGAAAAAAATTTGTTAACTTGACTTAATTAAATATTATTTTGTCAATTGAACATTCAAAAATATGTAAATTAAATATAACATATATTAAATCTAATAAAACGTATATTTGACTTAAATACTGATACATGTTCAATTAACAAAATAGTAATTTAGTTTAGTCAAGTTAACAAATTTTTTTCAGTGCATATCCCAGCCAGAAATGAATGATCAAATCGACGTTGAATCAACATCGATTCGACGGCGATTTACCCGATCATCAATATTTGGCGACGGCGATTTACCCGATTCAACAATAAATTGATATCGATTCGATGACGAATTAACGTTGATTCGATATCATTTCAGGCTGGAGTGTAACGATATACTCCTAAAATAAAAAATAATTAATCTTATCAAGTAGAGAATTGAAAATAAGCAATAAAGATAAAAATCGTTATAGAGAAACATCTGAGTTTATAAATATTCGATGACTAATCGCACGCAACACTTATACATGTCAAATAATTAAAATTGAACGTGAAAGTCTTTGTTAAATAGTTCCTGTATCATGGAGCTTAAAATTAAGGTTTTCCGATAATGATCATTCTTACAAAACATATGTAGAGAGAGAGAGAGAGAGAGAGAGAGAGAGAGAGAGAGAGAGAGAGAGAGAGAGAGAGAGAGAGAGAGAGAGAGAAAAGAGAAAGAAACATAATTGTCAATAAAACGATTTTTTAATCAATCTATTATTATTGAGTGTTTCATCAATTGTGCCACGAAATCATTATGTAAGTGCTTGAGAGATGCGTGACGAGTTTCATAAAAGTGAACGAGCGAATTGTATGAGCGTCATACTATTATATGAAACAGATGTAACGGATGTAAATCGCGTTAAATCATTTCTTGCGCAAAGTCTCATCACTTGAAAGACTCTTAACATTAGAAATCCTGTCACGCAAGTGACAGAAAAACTACGACTGCGTTATACAATCGATAAATCAGTGATAAGATTATCAAGATGCGCTCTTGAGAATCTTTTAATCGATGAGGATATCGCTATTGCAGGCATTTAAATTGCAGCATTTTAAAATAGCGTGCATTCATGCGATAAATATAAAATTTCGAGACCTTATTTTAGAATTAAAACTCATTTATTCCTTCCTAAACCATAATCTTATAATCTATTTTCTCTGTAGCTTAAAAAGAAAACTTAATTATAACTTGTATTGTTGAATAATAACACGAAAAAAACATATATATTATTTAATATTATTATCCAATAAATACAAGTTGTATTATTAAGTTTTCTTGTAATTAATACGTATAATGTACATATATATATTTCTTTAAATAGATATTCGACAAAAGTTGGCACAAAATAAATTTCGGAGTATTCAAGGAGAAATTAGTGCTTAAAATTGATTGCGAATACATTGGTATGGAAAAATTAAAACCGCGCAGATCAATTAAAGTTGATGGAGACATATCGATAGCCAAAATGAACAATAGTAAAATCACAGTACCGGTAAGCCTTGTTAATAATATCTACGAAATTTGCATTTGAAAGCTTAATTATAACACTATTTAATATACCAATTTGATCCTGTTTCTTAATCGTAAAAGTGTTTCAGTACATTTCGATGCTATTACTGTGACTTAAAGACCAGCTTGCATATATATATATATATATATATATATATATCTAACATGCACGAATTGCATTGCTTATGTCATTGCGAAGAATGCCCATCTTTCAGAGCTAACGTTCTGCATCGTCACAATTAAGTAGCCGTTACTTAATTAATAACAGCTTTACGCAGAAGGCTAAAACTGTCAGTAGGACAAGAAGTGAATTTAATATTAGATTCTTGGCCCACATCCAGAAAGCTCACATAATGACGTTAGCGTCTTAACAAATAAAGATATCGTTCGTATGTATATATAAGAGGAAGAAAAAGATATATATACAATATTATAATATTTTCTACTAATGCAATATATTTATAAAGCTATAATTGAAAAATTGATAATGAATTAATAATATGAATATCTATTTGCACTATCGTTAGATCGACATGCAATGGATGAGTCTAAATTGTGATCCTGCGAGTTTAGACAGAGAAATGTGCGAGGAACTACCGGTAAGTATCGATAGATTTTGATAAGATCTTGCAATGCGCATAATCTGATTATATAATAATTAACGTGTTACGTAGAAAAGTCTTCAAGCCTCTGCGCTTCAAATAAAACCTGCTTGCGAAACACTCTGCCTGCAGGGATTCAACGGTACAAATGTAAGTTTTTCCTCTACCAACTTTGTATATTATTTATTAAATATTTATATATCAAATTGCGAAAAAAGTTTGTTTTCAGTATAAAAAATAAACCATTAAATAAGAAAATTTATGAAATGATTAATATACTTCAATATACAATATAATTTTTTCTATTATATTCAATTAATTAAAACTTCACTTTTTAAATCTAATTATATTTGAAATTATTGATGAATGAAAAAGAAATTATAATTAGGGATCTCCTGGTCCACCCGGCTTACCCGGAGTGCCGGGACCAATTGGTCTACCAGGCTTACCTGGATTTCCAGGACAACCTGGACCGCCAGGAGAACAAGGAAGAACAGTATGTTACTATTATTTATTGAATTGGAAATTATTAAATAATAAATTCCCAAAATTATTAATAGCAGTCATTAGTATTTAAATAGGAGTTGTAGAAATTAATCGACCAAACTAGTGAATAAATTATTTACTGGCTAGTTTGGTCGATTAATTTCTACAACTCCTTATTAAATAATGTTCATATTTATAAAATATGAACAAGCCTATATATAAAAGGATTATAAGAGATATATGTTATCAGGGAGCTCCAGGTAATACTGGCGCTAGAGGTTTTCCAGGGTTGCAAGGTCCCAGTGGATCGATTGGACCTGCGGGACTACCGGGAATACCAGGTCCACCGGGACAAAATGGTGATCGTGGTGAAAGGGTAAGCGCCTATTTTAAATTTTATACGATGGGATGGAGGAGGGAAAGAGAGGAGAACAACACGTGAATTAAAAAAATTTTTTTAATAAGGAAGAGCGATAGAAAAGTAAAATTTTTGACAGGGTGATATGGGATTTCCGGGTTTAAAAGGAGATCAAGGTCCTCGAGGATTTCCGGGTCCACCAGGAAATAATAACTTATCACGCCTGATAGGTTCTCCAGGATACACGGGTGAAAAAGGAGCTAAGGGTGAACGAGGAAATGTTGGTGCTCAAGGACAACCGGGTGAAAAAGGTACGCCATATTATTGCTCATTGTCAGAAAGAGAACATCATATTAAGCAACCAATTAAAATAGATTAAATGCACTTACTAAACGATGTAATCCGACCTCTTTCGCAGAAATCGCAGCGAGATATATTTAATCGCGTTATTCTCTCTCTGTGAACGATAGAGTATAACAATATTACAGAGAATGAATATTTAATTAATACAAATGTGCTTAACATCATACTGCAATATCTAAATCAATTATTTATCTAATCTGGATTATGGATATCAAAACGATTGCAATAACGTTACAATGTTCGTTCTCATCGTATATTAAATCATAATTTTATTTTCAAAAATTAATAAATTTTCAATAAAGTAGAAAAGTAGTCACCAGCTTATTAATTAATAAGTAATTAGATGATAGCAATTTTTTTCCTCGCGTTAATATTGATTTGTGCTAAAATATTCGAATTATCTATGGCTCATGGTTAATTTATAACTTTTTTATTAATATTCTTGAGAGTGGATTGTATGTATATATCGTGCAAATTGTAAAAAATCACGATTCTAATAGCGACTATTAAACGGTTCATGCGACATGGTATTCCACGTATTGATGTTGACCCAGATACGTTCATTCGCAGTCATTGTAAATCAATTTATCGCAATTCGTGGCAATGTTCGTATAAATCATGCGATTATACATAACTCAAGAGTCAAAATTATTGTAATTGAGCACAATAGAAAAGAAAGTTTCATTACTAAAATAGCTTTTACGATACGATATATATACATTTGTGACATATATGTACATTTAATATTTAATGTTTACATACGATTGACTCGTATGAAAATATTAAAGATATCACCTTTATCATATATCAAGTGTCATGTAAAACGGTCCTTCAACAATATTTTAGGCGAACGTGGAGAGAGAGGTCATGACGGCGCACCAGGTTCTCCAGGACTTCCTGGTTCCCCCGGACATGCAGGAAATGCCTTTACAAATGCTCTTGGCATTCCAGGACCACCAGGTCCTCCTGGCATAACAGGATTACCGGGACGACCAGGTCCTCCAGGATTGCCAGGATTAACAGGGCTTCCTGGTCCGTCAGGTCAAATGGGTCCGAAGGGTGATGTCGGAGAACGTGGACAAGATGGTTTGCAATTAATTTATCGATATCGGAAGAATTTGTTTAAGAATTGTTTAATACATGAATAATTTTTGTTTTTATTTTATAAATACGAAATTTATGATATTTATTTTTTAAGGTATACCAGGATTGATAGATAATAACGTAATACCAGGACTACCTGGTCTCGAAGGACCTCCTGGTCCTCCTGGTGAGGATGGTCTTCCCGGCGAGAAGGGAGAAGTTGGACTAATAGGTCCTCCAGGATTACCCGGAGAAACAGGAAAAGATGGATTTCCAGGATTACCGGGACCAGAGGTATTTTATTTCTTTAGATTATATATTATTATAATTTTATATATATATATAATAATACACTATTTCACGATTTAAAACTGCTTGTAATAAGGGGCCTCCAGGATTACGCGGGGAACCAGGTTCTTTAGGACTGCGAGGTTTAGAAGGAATCGCAGGAAAACCGGGATTACCAGGGCTTGATGGAAAACCGGGTGAAAAAGGTGATAAAGGACAAGAAGGTGAACGAGGTCTTATCGGACCTCGTGGGTTACCAGGAAGTTCGGTAAGAATGAACAAAACAATGTTATACAATGGTGATCAAAGAATATATAATTCACTTTTCGACTTATTTACCGAGGTATAGAATTAAAGTGAATATTTTTTTAATCACTCTTTAGTTTTACGCAAAAATCTCACACACACAATTATTCGTTATATTATTATATAATATATAATATTATATATAATATATAATATTTTAAATATTTAAATAATTGTTGATAACATGATAATAAAGCAAATAGATGAAATATAGTAATGGAGATTAGTGGCATTAGCTTCGTTTCATCAATTTTCATTATACGTTATTTAATAATGCAAAATCATAATTGCAAAATTATTTATAACATAAAAATTAAATTATATAATTTAGGGCTCAACGGGCTCGCCGGGTGCACCAGGTATACCAGGATTGGAAGGAAGATCTGGTCAATCTGGACCACCAGGACCGTCAGGTCCACCAGGACCTCCAGGATCTCCTGGTCTTTCAATTCCAAATAATAGCTTCGAAAACCTTCGTATTCCCGGTCTCGAGGGACCCAGAGGCCCACCAGGAATAGTAAGTATTTTGTTTAGAATCAAGCTCGACCATTTAATTAATTGAAAAGATAATTAATTAAAATAAATAATTAGCCAGGTGAAAGAGGAGTCCCTGGGGAACGAGGACCCGAAGGTCAAATAGGCCCGCCCGGAATACCCGGCAAGGACGGAGCACCCGGATTGCAAGGATTACCCGGAAGTAGAGGTCAAATGGGATTGCCAGGACTTCAGGGCCTGCCGGGCCACAGTATTAACGAAGCGGAAATTCGCGATATTTGTGCCAGCGTGCTAAGAGGTGACTTTATCTGTCATTAAAAATTATATATTGCAGTTGTTGCGTAAATATTAATTAAAGTTTACTGAAGTTTAAATGATCCTTCGCTTGTCAATTTTTTCATTTTTACTTTAGAAGTAAAATCGATTAAACTTTGGTTAACTTTAATTAAAATTTAAAACAATGATTCTATCTCAATCAGGTATCTTTTATGCGTGAATGAAAAACGTGCAATAACATCACGTATACACAAGAATGTGTATAAATTGTGATTCTTTTTCTCATTATTTCTTATATACGTACAGAACAGATGACAGAGATGATATCACACATGCAGGGTCCACCTGGTCCGCCCGGCCGAAATCGTCCAGGTCGTCCTGGATTGCCTGGTCCCCAAGGTCATCCAGGTACATCGTCAGGATTATCGAGTCAGGATTATCAATCCGCTTTTCACTTGCCTACGACACAATATTAATCGCTAAAATCAGCTACTGCGTAGATTTTTTTATTGTTAGTTTATAGATAATCTCGGACATAGAGAGCGGAACGCTAGGATCCTAAATCGAGAAGGAACGTTTGGCAAACCACAACGAATATCGATGTCATATAGTAGCACTATTTAAACGCTTGAAGTATCATAATCATTATCGTTTTTTCATATAGAACCATGGCACATGCGAATGGTGTGATTTATCATATGATGCACATATATTTTAACAATATCGATGATTCGATAAATTAATGTCTCGCTATCGTCATTATATGCCTATTAAAATAATGATATCCTGGCATGTGTCACAGAGAGGCTGAAAGAATTAACAGAGGGTCTACGAGGGCTACCTGGGCTGCCGGGGCCGGCTCGACACGGCCGTCCCGGTCGAGTCGGAAAGCAAGGCATTCCAGGTATCTACCACTCGAAATAACGCATCTCTCTGGAATGTCTGAAAAATGTTTGAGATAAGGGAAACTTTCGTCGTGTACATGAGAAAAATTTCAGTAATTTTACTAACAGTTTCATACCGATTAAAATGCTTTTAACATACTGTTACATTATGACCAATAATTGAGAAATAATTGAAGGCAGAATGTAACTTATATTTCCCCTAAGGAACAGACGTTTAAAATTATCTTTTAAAACCTCATGCATACCTCAGGTCGAAATATCGAATTGAAAGACCCTGGAAGTAAGTCAACGACCGAACTGCTCTTATTGTTTTATTTCGTACGTTCGTTCGGCGATCCTCTTTTAGATAAAGAAACTTAATTATCCTCGAATCTTATCTGAGATGGGATCAAATGCGATCTTCCAGGAATAATGAGTTTAAAAAATTTACATGTGAAAGCATAGTTTGGCTGAATTAATAAAATAAAATTTATCAGAGCTTTCTCTAAGAATTATTTGTACAGAATGAAAAGTTTGTTTGACGAAGATTATGTTTTACAGAGAGTTTGATGTGTATGTTAATGATATAGAGTTGATCTTTATTACCCTCTCAAATTTATATATGTATGTGGTTTCTAACAAATGCATATTTCTATCAAAATAGATATTTTCCTTTTTTACTTTTTGTGTTATTAACAAACATTTGCTTTATTCTATTTATCACTTGGTCTCTTTTAAAATGTGGAATTTGGTTATAGTTTTATTTATTACTTTTTAAACTCTGCATTTTATCTCTAAAAAACTGTCACAGTAATTTTATTTTACAAGCGTTATAGTTTCTATGATTCTATTAATTGTTTATTCCTGAATATTTATCTTTTTTTTGACATTGTTCCTCGATGATTGCAACTCTTCCTACCAGTTTTTATTTTAACATTTTATTTAATTTTTATGTAATTTTTCCGGCCTTGAAATTAAATTGCGAGAACCAAAAAAATATCATGAAATACTAGACGTAACAGTATCTTAAAACAAATCTATTTTTTTAAAAAGCAGCACATGCTTTATGCTTTTTTCGTCCTATCATTTTCTACTTTTACCTTTGATTTTATAATAGACAAACTTTATTAAATTGCTTTAAAAACAAATGCCTGGATATTATACAAGTTAAAATTAATGCATGATACATCTTTCAAATATATTTCAATATATCGCTTTCGATATTTCTCGATTTTAATTGATTCTATTTTGAATCGTATTTAGGTGATCCAGGACCACCAGGTTTGCCGGGAGAACGCGGATTCGTCGGTTTACCTGGTCCGCAGGGTCTCATCGGACCACAGGGTCCACCTGGTGAACGCGGAGAAAAAGGAGACAGAGGTCTCGAGGGAATCGGTTTAGAAGGCCCGCCTGGCCCAATAGGTCCCCCTGGTAAAACAACATTCATCATTAATAAGAAAAAATATTATATCAATAATTATTTATTTAGACTGATTATACATATATGTAAGCCTATTTAAATATTTGATATTTCAATGTAAGCCTATATTTTATGTAACAGGATCTCCTAGTAATGACGGTGTTGGTTTACCCGGAAGACAGGGTGACAGAGGCGAGCGAGGCATACCGGGTAAAATTAAAAGCATATAATGAAAAATAAGCTCGGAATAAAAATTGTAATTAGTTTGCAAAGAATAATTAAAACTTTCATTAGTAATATTTTCATTACAATATGTCTGTATAATAAAAATAATCATGAATAATGTATTAATACCATTTGTTTACAGGTGTTCCCGGTGTCAGAGGAGCGCCAGGAACGCAAGGACCACCGGGATTTTGTGAATTCTGTAATTACCCTAGCAGTAATTACTTGCAAAATAATCGTGGCAACGAGAAAGGTCCTTGATGGATATAAATGATAAACATTACGCAGGAACTTGATAAAAAATTTTATGTAGCAGGAAGCGGATAGTAAAAATAATTCGATATATTTTCCCATGAATATTAATTATTTATAATTGAATAATCATCCTAACCTGTAAATCTCTGCAGATCGGGAGATCCCTATTTTCTTTTAGGAGCCTATTCTGCATAACTTTTAATAATAATTACGCATTACTGTGCAGATTTTTTATTGTATCATAGTATAATGATACATAACATCATTAGAGGTTATACAGAATATATAATAGGCTCTTTAATTCCGACTAAATAATGACTAATTGATATCGAGTATAATGTATATTATTTAATAAAACTTCTGATACGTACAGTGTTTTGGATGCATTCTATCGGAAAGAGGACGTGAAGGGATTTTCAGCTTCTTTTCCCCGAGGTCGATCTTTCAACGCCACGAGTACGTACGCGCGATCTATTCCAAATCTTTCGAAGCTATCGCGCGCGTATCGGAGCGGTCCGATTCCGCGTTCGCCCGTTCAGCTCGGGTCGCGCCACCAACGCGAGTCCTCGGGAATCACCGATGGCCAGTGATGGCCGCGGAATTCCGAGCGACGTGCGTCAGCGTCAGCTCGGGTCTCGACGGACGGACTTGTTTATCGTGACGTCGTCCCGGCAAAGGGATCACCGCCCCGGTGCACGTAACGAGAGTCCGTTCGCGCGGGCCACCTGTCAAAACTTCGCGTCCTCCCTACCGGGAGGCCGAGACGAGTACGTTTTCCACTTGGACGAGAATTGCTCCCGTGGCCGCGAACGGTTCCGCACGAGTCCCCCTCCGTGCTAAACCGTGACTAGTGTCAGATTAATCGCTCGAATAACGACTGTTATCATCCACGTTTCGCATCCCGCGATACGATGACCTGGTGGGAGCGTTAAGAGGGTGCGAGGGAGGCCCTCGACGAGGACGGGACGACACGGACTCCACGCCCCCGTTGGTGCCCTTTTTTTCCTCGCCGAAGACACGCGCGCAGCGAGCGCCCCAGGTAAGCGAATCAGGATAAGTAAACCGACCGGTAGAACAGGTTAGGTGCCCTGTAACCTACGCCTTCGTAAACTTATTTTCTGTATTGTTGTAAATTTATTTTCTTTTTTATTTATTTTTTTATTTTTTTTTACGATTATTTGAGCGTATATATTTATTTGTCACACTTTTCGAATAAAGAAAATATGTAATGTGGCTAAAGAGAACTTGGAACGAATATTTGATTGGAGAAAGTATTGTTAATATAATGAAAAAATATAGGTGATAAAATCAATGTAATTTATATGTATTAATATAATTGACGTCTATTAAAATTGTTTTGTAACCTACACTTTCGTAAATTTATTTTCTTTCTTTACTTTGTTCTGTAGTTTTTTGCAATTTTTTTTCATGGATATTTATCACAATTTTCGAATAAAGAAAATATATAATGTGACTAGAGAGAACTTGAATGGATACTCGACTGAAGAAAAATTAATGTAACAAAAAAATATCTGTGATAATAAAATCAATGTAATTAATATGTATTAATATAATTGATGTTTATTAAAATTGCCTTTGTAACCTACACTTTTGTAAAGTTATTTTCTGTATTGTTGTAAATTTTTCCTTTTTTTATTTTTTATTTCTTTAATTTTTTGCCATTTTTTTCATGAATTTGAGCGTATATATTTATTTATTCATCATATTTTTCCAATAAAGAAAATATGTAATGTGGTTAAAGAGAACTTGTAACGAATATTCGATTGGAGAAAGTATTGTTAATGTAATGAAAAAAATATCTGTGATAATAAAATCAATATAATTAATGTGTTAATATAATTGACGTCCATTTAAAATTTGTTGAGATTTTTCATTCGCTATTTTAAGCTAAATTAAATTTACATTTCAAATATTTAATTGCAATGTCGATCCAAAATATTAAAATTATTAAAAAATGAATTAATATTTGAACATTTGAATATAAAACATTTTTTATAAAATATAATTTAAATAAAACATCTTCACATTGATGTTTCTATTGTTTTCACATTGACGTTTCTATTATTTAAAGATCGTGTAAAAATACATACACTTGAATTATCAGATTTAAATTAGGAAACTATTGACGCGTTAATTAAATGGCGATTTTATAAATATATTAAATATTTTTAATAGTTAATCACAAAATTGTTTATCTATGTGATTTGACTTTAAAATTGATTAGAAAAGTTAAGCACATTTGTCTCTCATAAGAAAAAATTAAATTAAATTAATAAAATTAAAAAATTAAATTAAAGGAATCTAATTCTATAAATGCAATTAATGTAATAAAACAATAAACGAAAATATGATAGGTATTTAATTGATGATGTCATTCATCTATTTAATGCTGAATCTTAATACACAGATTGTGCTCAACGAGAAATTTCTTTACAAATTCGTAATCTGCAGTATAATTAATCGATGAAAAAATTAATTAATCATTGAGAAGATGCTGTACCAGAAGAAATCTCAAAGTATATTTCTTTGAAACCGCGCACGCGCGTACTTAAAAAATTATCCCGCGCAAATCGCAGATGGAAATCTTATTAATTACATATTATTTTATATACTCTTTGTATTTAAAATAAAATAAATACGCGTTTTCGACAAAGATTTGAAGGGCAGGAAATGGAAAAGACGACGCGAAAAGTATGGTTATGATAAGAACAGACATACAATTGCAAGCTCACTGTCAATATAAAAGTTGTGTAAAACATATTAAACACATGGCAAATGTAAGCTTTACATACGTGAATATGCATTTGATGTACCGCTGTCGATTACGTCAAAATGCGTCGGCTTTATTCGTCGCGATGCGTCGAGCCTCGATTTCTGAATCAGCTGTACTTGAAGATTTCTCAACGAGATGAAATTGGCCGCGCCTTTTAGCCGCCCCATTTCGCGCGTTCCTTCAAACGCGTCCGGCGTTCCTTTCCCAACCGTTCCCGCCGTTTCTTTGACCGATCTTACGTTCCCCCACCTGGCCCACTTATCGTATTGATTCAAACTTAGGCATCCGCGTTTAGTTCCCTCATTCCGTTGAACCTATCAGCCGATATTACCTCATTGCTTCCTTGATCAGTCTATTCCGGTCTATTCCGGAATCTAAAGTTGATCACGATCAATTATTAAGAACATTTAAACGATGCGATAATTTGATGCTGTATTCTAAAAATGAAGTATATCACACACATTGCACTCCAGTTTAATCTAATCTATTGAATATTTGTATATAACAATTTTTAAACAATATATAAACAACTACATATAAGAACGAATATTTCTTCAACTAAAAAATTTAAAACAGATTTACAGATTTTGGATATTAAAAAATTTCTTAAAAATTATTTCATGTATGATAAAATATTATTTTCTCAAAAATGAACTTCAGTTAATATTATCAAAGTAATCGAATCTTCTTATCTTATATCTTGAATAATTTGCAAGAATTAACTTAATTTAAAATGTATTATTTAATTTAGAATGTGTCGATTACAAGAATGTAAAAGAGCAAAAAGTTGATGACCGAAAAAAATTAATCTTTTACCTCCCAGAGTAATGAACAGTCGGTTTTAAATCAATTACACTTCGGATATCGACGTTTACTAACTAGGTCAATCGTGTACGTAAAGCGGATTACATTGTCACAGTTGGATGATCTTGAATTAACTTTTTTCCGAAAATATGATTTTCATGTAAAAAAATCTATAATGAAAAAAATTGCAGTAGAAAAGAGTGAAATTAAATAAATTATATGACAAGAAAATACTATGAACATAATCAAACGAAATAATTATCTATGTTCATTAATAATATTTTTTAATATTATAGTTTTCAAATATTTTTTGAAGAGAAAATTTTAGTTGCCTGTTTCTTAAATTTTATTGTATATAAAGAAAATTTATTGCATTTTTAATATCAAATCATCTCATTACTTAAGAATGAAAACTGTTTATTAATTAGCAACCTAACTGGACTATAGAGAGAACTAATTAGTAACTAATTAGTAAATATATGTACAGAATTAACATAAATATCTAAGATAAAAAGCATTCTATATACATATTACGTATTTTAAATAAATAAAAAATATATATTTTAATTGCAATTCTACACGTGTAGACTCATACGTTTGAACAAAGTTACTTTCATAAGATGAATACATTGCATGTACATTCTAATCATTACTAATTAGTTCTCTATTTATTCTTCTAGCCCTCTTTCAGCCTTCAGTTGACGAAGAGCTATTCTCGCGATTACCAGACACTGCGTAACGTCCTTTATTTTACGAGATGAATTAAGAACACAGCTTTGTTAGTCTATACCTATTATACGGAGTATTCCATTGAATTAAAATAGAATAAAATATCGTTTGAAATGGTCGGAGTTACAAAAAGAAAATGATGGAAGCAAAACATGATATTATGATCTTCTACCGTGTAGTGTTTATAATGAATGCTGCTAAAAAATTCGATTAATTTTAGCAGATGGAACGGTGGTTATTGTTATTTTAGCACGAGGTACATAAAATAGCGCCTCGTTTGTTTATCTCATTTAAAATGGTAACGTAAAATTTTTTGCATTTTGTAGAACATTTGAAAAACATACAAGATAATTGACTGTTTATTTTTTGTTGTTCGGCCTTCGCTTTACGTACTCACTTATCTTTATACGACGCATAAATTTACCACTCCTTAAGAAAGAAACGTAATCAATCTCGAGTGCAAGATTATACTGTTCGTTGCAAAACAACATTTGTTATAAATGAAGAAATATTCAGGAAGAATCAACGTAAAAATATACATTAATTAATACATAAATACATTATTCGTTCATTTTTCGTAGCGAAAATGGCAGAAGAAGGCGCAGGTGGTTCCGGAAACGGAAGTAGCGGCGAGACGAGTCGTTTGCAGCTTCTACAAGAGATGCGACAGCAGAACTTTGATACCATTCGATTTGCATCATATCGTACTGCTTGCAAGCTGAGATTTATACAGAAAAAAGTGCATTGTAAGTATTCACATCAATTAGTTCTTCAATTTTACATAATATACATCATATACTTATACACTCTTTTCAACATCTCAAATATTTATTTTTGCATTTCTTTTTGTTCTTATACAATATTTTTATAAAATTTAATCTCTTCATTAGCTATATATGCTCCACGATTATTAACTCTGGAATGCTAATTTTTCAGCCTCTGTACAACTGTACTAATGCGCATAATTAGAAGTCATTTCGCGTTAATTTCATGTCAGAATTTTAAAAAAATATTCGTATTTATGTATTAATTGGTCTTGTAAAAAATATTAAAGGTAGATTAAGATATACCTCTGTAATGATTGATGCATAATTTTACACAGTGCACAACGTCGACATATGGAACGTGATCGAGGCATTTCGAGAAAATGGTCTGAACACCTTAGAGCCATCAAGCACATTAGGAGTATCCAGACTCGAAACACTACTGTCTTCTTTATTTCATGCGTTGAACAAGAGGGTCCCGGTGTCGCAACAGTCTAAAGTCGACGCAACTACGGCATTGCTCATGAACTGGCTATTGGCTGCTTATACTAGCGGGTACGATTGTAAAAATATTTTTCTTATCAATTTTTATGAAGACTCTTCTCTATTATTACGATTATATTTAAACAAAATGAGAAATTATGTGAATTTTTTATAATAATGACACAGTAGATAAATTCCATTTCATATTTTATAAAAAAATATTCATTTTATTTCTCTCGTTTCTGACGTGTTGTTCGATATTCGATTAAGTCCTATTTTTTTTCTTTTCAGGGAAAATAATAAAATATCTGTATTCTCGGTGAAAGTAGCCTTGGCTACGTTGTGCGCGGGAAAACTCATGGACAAATTTCGATGTAAGTTGCAAGTGGTTTTCCTAATTTCTTAATTGATCGTACTGAATAAATTTATTAACGAAATTTATCCTTTTAAATAGATATATACTCGCAAATATCTGACAGTAACGGACACATGATACACTGGAGGTTTGCTGATTATTTGAAAGAAGTTTTAGCACTAACTGCAGCAGTTTACGAATCTCCGTCGTTTGGATACTCGGATGGTCTCGCGAACTCTATTTTTCCTGCGGTATGTACGCAATGTTGTATACAAATCGGTTTAATATATGGACAAAGTAATGAAACGAATAATGTTTTGTATGTGACAGAACTCCAAAGTTACTGTAAATGACTTTCTGGATACACTCATGTCGGATCCTGGACCACACTGCTTAATCTGGTTACCGTTATATCACAGAATGGCAGCTGTGGAAACAGGTAACTACGCGAAGTCGCAATAAACTGATTAAGATTAAATAAGATAGAGGAGATTTTAATCTTTTAATTTTTCATGCTTTCAGTGGCCCATCCTATTATGTGCGACGCCTGTCACAGAGAGAATTTCACTGGGTTCCGATACAGATGTCAAAAGTGTCATTCCTATCAGCTATGTCAAGATTGTTTCTGGCGTGGTAAAGTTTCGGGAACGCATAACAATGATCACGAAACGAGAGAATATAGTAGTTTTGTATGTATTATTTAAACTTTATACTTCTCTGAAATTTTTAAATTTTGCTTTTTTTATCTTTGATTTTTAATTCTCATGATAGAAATCACCGAGCAAACAAATTGGCCATTCTTTGCGAAAAAGCTTCAGATGCGTTCCTGAAAAAGGAAAGAACAGTTTACCGCGGTTCCCAGAACAGCCTGAGAAGACATTGGATCTATCGCACATAGTGTTAGTATCTTTATCATTCCACAATTTTGCAATCATCATCTCTCAGTGTGATTTTACAATTTAAATAAATTCACTACATTTCAGCCCACCATCACCTTTACCATCTCACAACGGTTTTCCAGATCCAGGATTTATGGCTCCCTTTGATTCAGGCTCGGTGGACAGTCGTTCAACCTTGAGGAGGTAAGCTTGAACAAGATTTTCATTTATGCACAATTTATTTGCCTTTGCCAATTGCGTGCCAGACGCCATGCTTTACTTATTCCTTTTGTGTATCGTCCAGTATGGACAGTTCAAGACTGGACGATGAACATAAATTAATAGCACGATATGCACAAAGGTTGGCACAAGAAGCTAGGACCATGGTAAGTCCTTTAACATATTTATATTATACGTTTTTTGCTTACTGTCTACACAGCTAGTGTTATAATTTGCTTAAACGTTAAAACGTGAATAAATTGCTCTTACTATCTTAATTCATTAAATTTGCGAGAGCCAATTAAAGCCATGCGTTATGCCATTTCGCGACTCATGGCCAGCACTAATATTAATTTATTCATAACTGCCTCGTTAACAGCCTCGTACTGCATCCAGAATGTCCCAGGCAGATCAAGCAGTAAGTATACCATCGTTTAAAGTATCATTGACAATTTCGTGCTGCGAATTGTTTCACGCGTGATAACTTCTGATTACAGAGTAGAGCACCATCGGACGCAAATCTGGCGTCGTTGGATGCTTCGAGAGCACAACGTGAGCTTATATCGCAGTTGGAAGCGAAGAACAAGGAAATAATGCGCGAGATAGCAAGGTTAAGGTATACCTGTGTCGTTTATATTCCTTTATATCAAGCCTAAACCTCGATTTCATCCTGTTGACCCATCCTAGGATCATGCATGTTCAAAACGTTTTGTTTCGCTTTGTGTCACCTTGGTTGCATAGCTTGTGCTCAAACAAAGAGAAACAACACATATTACCAGTTGACATTGATAAAGAGATATTATTCACATTTAAGAGATATTATTCACATTTAAATGAGAGAACAAATTCGTTAAATATTGATTACATTCTTGTCGTTCATTGCTCTCGCGTAAATTGATGTATTCATTAGATTCATATACTAATATACTACATCAACCACACATTACATCGCTTAAAATAAAATGAGTTAGTGAAGTGGAATATTATTATTTGCTAATGTAAGATCATAATATATTCCACTTTCAACTCCTGTTCTATTATTATCGGAAAATTTCTTAAAAATTTTATTTTCACTGTAGAAGGCAACAAGAGATAGAAGCCGCGGGTCTAGAAAATCCGGCGTTAATGTCCGAACTGCGAGCTTTGAGACAGAGAAAGGACGAATTGGAGACGCATCTAGTAACATTGCAAGATTCCAGAAGACAGTTGATGGTACAGCTGGAGGGATTAATGAAAATGTTGAAGGTACAATATATTATTCTCTTGCAATTAATAACTCAATTTAGTAATTCTAAAAAAATTGGAAAAATTTATAATAAAGCAAAGCCATTGTTTTCATTATTTTCACGATGAACGCGATCATAATCTAACATAATATGTCTCAACAGAATCACCAAGCGTCTCCACGATCAACGCCAAACAGTTCACCACGAAGTACAAAGTCACCGCCTTTGCCACCTGGTGTTATGCCGAGCAGCAGGTCGGCACCGCCGACTCCCGGCGGGCCGTTGTCTACAACGCCTCAACAGCAACAACAACAGCAGCAGCAACAGCAGCAACAACAACAACAAACGCCGCAACAAATGTCCCAGAGCTATCAAAGTCCCGTTCCGACAACGACAGTGCCTAACGTACAAGGCAATGCTATCCTTGGCACGATACAGAACCCTATTCCAGATAGCCTGTCGTGCGTTGGTGGCGATGTAAGGTAGGCAAGCATGTACAAAGAGAGAATACATTATAAAAAGAACCTTCTATAATGCAAAAATAGTAAAGAACAAACGGATTTAAATATTGCAAATTACGTAATATATAATTATACACGCGATTCATACATTGAACAATTATACTACGCAGTCAAAAATTTGTCTATCCATTTAAATAGATTTCTAAGCGGTACTTTAGAAATTTATACATTCCACGTCAAAAATATATTTTAACGATATAGACATATAGTTAAAACATGAAACTAAATCAATATTAACTATCGATATTTTCGCTATTAGAGTGATATTATTTCCATACATATTGAAATAAAAATGAAATAATTTCTGTACATATTGAAAATAATTGATTTTATCTTTCTAAATTACTTTTAACTAAGTAAACGAATAATTATACGTACTATAAGATAAAGTCACTTGCAAAAATCAAACGTTCGAAAAAATCCGGTTCATCACTTGTATGTGAAATATATATATCCCCCTTTACCCTTTTCGATTATGTTTACTAAACAATTAATTTCTCCCGTCAATATTACTGTAGCGATCGATATAGAGACATTATTGCACACTGTATAGGATTTTTTCACAATTAGTTGAAAAAATCCTAAATTCTCTCCTGCATGCAATTATGAGCGATGAGATATTTCTCTGATTTAGCTAGTATTAAGAACAGTAATGGTACTAGCGCGAAATAAGTATGAGGAAATAAATACCTCGTGAGATGTTACTTAAATCGTCAGATCTATATATATCGACCTATAAGTATATAGTAGAAATATTTGTAAATCATATCATGTCGCTTTTAATACCCTATTTTAATAATTTTTTTTAAGTTATATATTAGGTTTGACGTAAGTTTTTCTTATTATCTCTCTGGATATATCTTTTTAGTTTTTCTGCTATCATTGTTAGTCATTTTAAATGTATCATTTATGTACAGTACAAAAGCAGCTATCCTGTAAGAGAAACTATATATTGATGCGTTGGATATAAGTTTGACGCGTATGAGTTACCTATCCAGTCCTTTTTTTCGCTAAGCTTGTGTAAAACACCATCCATCTTTTAAACATTGTTGTATTTATGCGTTGCGATATGTAAATATATCATCCTGCAAGTAATGTATATCAAACGCGATAAATACTTAAACTGGAAAGAAAGCATTTGCGATACCTTTACAACTTCGCCATATTGATATATTTTTGTTAGCATCTCGTTACATTAAAAGAATCTAATAAATATAGCTTCCTGAGAAATATCATGCATGTATATATTATTATAATCGATAATTTGCTAATTTTAATTTCAAACTTTATAGATATCGCTATAGATGCCGCTTGTATGTTTTGATATTTGCGAGTAACTAGTAGTGAATTGAATGTGTAAGAATTATGATTAAGCGGAATGATAATGCTTGCGCAATAAAAGTTGCATGCTGCAATTTCTGTTTAAAAAATATATATTTTATTTGGAAATTGCTTCGCGCCAAGAAAATAGAGATTTTCGATGTCAGGTCTGCGTTCAGGACAAACAGCTTACCAGGGAGCGGTTCCAGCAGTGCCAATAATAGTTTGGGCCGATCCCTGAGAAACGACTTACTGGTAGCTGCCGACAGCGTTACTAATGCCATGTCGACGCTTGTGAGGGAATTAAATTCAGGTATGTCAAATAATGCGCTATAAAATCGATTAGTGTCAGAAACTATTAATAAATTGGACGTAGGCAAGCAGACTTAATTTAAAAATATTTCTCGATTATAGCTATGTTAGGTAACATTTTTTTAAAAATACGTATATTACAGTTAAATAATGTATATGATGTGTATTCGAAATTTTAAATCATTTTAAAAATTTTGTTTTAAATAGTATTAAAAATAATATCTAATAGTTCTCTAAAATACATTTATTTATTCTGTATTTCTGATAAGAATTCCGTCTGACTGATGAAGCTACGTCCAATTATACTTATAGTTTTTAAATGATATTTAATTATATACAATAATTACTGAATCTATTATTTTCCGTGTATTAAGCACTTAGTTGACATTAATATCGCAGAAATATAGGTATTACATTATCTCAGACAGAAGGTAATTTTTAAGAGGCAATAGTTACTGCCTTGTGAATTAAACAGATCAGTTTGATACTGCAAGCTTAGCTACGAAGTATCTGTTAGCATCTATCGCCGTGTTTTAGCTGGTAGCATGTTAGTAATACGAACAATTTCGTCAATGGAGCCGTAATTATGTCGATTTCGATTGTTCGATCGAAAGCGAGGTGAGCAATAGACACACTGATTTACATTCACCGTTATCATGCGTAGCATTTTATAACGAAACTATATATATATATATTATTACTATTATTGCTACTATTTTTTACTCCTGCTACTTTTTATTACTACTCTCACTATATTGCCACATTTTAGATGTATATATTAATTATTGCATATCTTTCACATATGCCATTTTAAAAAGAAATTGTTTTCTACATATAGTCGTTCTAAACAAGTTTAGAAAGCATATCTAATTTTTAAGCCGGGATGCAAACTTCTCGCACAGTATGTATGATACATATACTTTTTATTACCTTTAATTCAATTTAAAAATTGTAAAAAATGATACAATGCAGAATTTATTCTCTATCTATCTGCTATTAATATTTTTATCGTTCAAATATTTTTGATCATCGCAGAACTGAATGTAAACAGGCATGCCACGTCGCATTTATATTCTCTCATCTCGTCGGAATCGTATCATATAGCATGAAAAATGCTACTCTATCTATATTTTTAGTCTCGATATTCGTAAACGATTTCTGAAATGTCCGCACACAGATGATCTCTTTACACGTAAGATATTCCGTTGGATATACTTGAATTGAAGAGAACGTGAATGCACCTGTTTATTTATGTACATACATATGTTCATATATTCCGGAGAATGTCGCGTAAGTATAACAAATCAATCATTGTAGGGAGATGAATAGCAATCGACACGCGAATGTATATTATCGCTCCAATTACTATAAAATTTTAATTTTTGGCGAAATAAGTGACTTCCGAGCTCAGTTTCGCAGTGCCTCTTGCATTACACACACAATAGTTTTCTTATAAATCTTTTATTAAATCAAAAGAATTCAATAATAATTATCACATACATAAGAAACATATATAGATCTCTTTTATATATTTCTGAATATGTAAATACATAAAAATCTATACCATTCCCAAAACTATTACATTTTTTCTCAACTAAATAAATATATTTGACAAAATTGTCTAATTTTCTTTTATTTTTATTTTCTATTTTTATAAGAAAAATTATTACAAAATTTTATTAAAGTTTAATTTCAATGATGTAATTTTTAAAATAATTGTTAATTCAATCTCCAAATTTTTAACAAATACTTTTCTTAAATTTTTTAATTCAAAATTTAACAAGCAATCTAATAATCGAGAAAAAGAGAGAGGAGACATGATAGTTTTGGGGTATTGTATATTTCTTCTATACAGCTTGTTTCTAAAATATTCGGTATAACTTGGCTAGATTCTACCAACGGAAATAAAAAGAAAGGTTTACACGATAACTATCATAAACTATGTTTTCAGATGCAAATCGTGTATATAAACCCTTCTCATTATTTTTGTCATTGAGATTAAGTGCTAAAGTTAGTCCGAATGATTGGAACATAGTCTGTATATTTGCCTGTTTGCCATTTCTACCCGTTTTCATTTATTTTCTTTCTAGAATAGAGTTAGTCAATATTAGCCTAGTGAATAGCACATGGACTACACTCTACACGCCAGATTACAAATAGCAGAATAACAATAATCTAATCTGCGATCCCGAAAAATGGACGCTTAATAATTATTTTTAAACCGTATTTCGAAAATTCAAAATTATAATCACTTTTTAGACAGACAAATTCATAATCTGAGATAAATTTAAAAAAAAGATCAGAATTACTATTTACTTGTATCTTGTTAGAAAAGCGAATTGTACAATGAATAGGAAGACACAAATTACAAGTAAATTATACGAACCTATGATAATTATATATTTTTTATAATTAATTCCATCGCTGATAAATAGACATTCCAATATACCACATAAAGACAATTGACCAATGACACTTTAGACGTGTTGTGGAATGTGTGTGATGCACCCCCTGTGAATGTGTCCTGGTGCCTTGCAGACTCAGACCAGGAGGACCTTTCTCACAACTCTGGGCTAATGAACATCAGAAAACCGTTAGGTAAGTATCTCTACATTGATGATTTGAAGATTTTTATTATTTTTATTTTCGTTTGCATTTTAGATATTCGGCAATGTCGCTCTTTTTTAATCGAAATAATTACAAAACTTCTAGCGTCGATTATCTATGAGCGTCGATATTTCGGTATTATTTAATTTCTTGGTATTTTTTGTTTTATTAATTTCGCAAATCAAACTATATATATACAGGGTGTCCAGGATAACTAACGGACCAACGATTACAAATGGATTCTTTGGTCAATTTGGGAACGATTTTCCTCAGCGAAAATGTCGAAAAAAGTCATCATTTTTTACAACTTTCCAATATTTGTCATTATGTATCTTTATAACTAAGCCTCAAATTAAAATTTTATTATAATAAACTCTACCTGAAATTAACTGAAGAATGTAATTATGTTAGACTTTTAACTCGAAAATTATTGACTTCTCAACATTTTTGCTAAGGAAAAATCGTCTCCAAATTGGCCAGAGAATCCGCCCTTAATCATTGGTCCGTTAGTTACCGGACACCCTGTATATATTCATATCCATATTCATACTCATATTCATATCTTACATTTCATCGTCATAAGCATAAGGCACTACGCGCGATGTATACTTCTGACGATAATATTAAGATAAGTCATCTTATATACAATATACGAATCCCTTTGATATATAAACGTATACTTTAATAAATGATTATATATATACTCTCTTGTTTATCTATAGTTATAAGTTAAAATGTGCAAAAATATCAGATAATATTTTCTCACATATGACTGAGACTTCGTTGGAAAAGGAATTAAATTCAGTAATATTATATTCATACATATATACTATTTTATCTGTATCGTATAAAGTGTATGAAATAGAGGAAGCGAAAGAGAGAAAGAGAGAGAGAGAGACAGAGTGAAAGAAAGAGAGAAAAAATTATAATAAAAAAATTCACACATTTTTCGTGTGAATAAATTTTGAAATAATCCGCATCTACTTATAGATTTTGAAGCCGGTGAGGACGGAGATGATAGCAGCGGTGGTGGAAATTCTTGGCGTGAGGAATTGCAACGACGCTATCAACAGGAGAACGATTTTTTGGCGGAATTACGAGCTCGCAATGCAAACATACCGCAAACGCCATCGGCCACGCTGTCCAGCGAACAGGAACAGGAGAGAGGTGAACGAGAGGAAGCAGACGGAGAGAAGGAAGACGAGAATGAGTCCAATTGGGCTGAAGCGGTGAAGAGATGGGTCAATCGATAAATTAATCTAGAACGAAATATAACAGTGTATTAGGCATTAGATGTTTGAAGATACAATTCGAGAAAATTGACGAAGAAAATGTGGCGAATCGCACGTGGCAACGATTGAATTAAACATATGCATACATACAATTATGGATGTATACTTTGATATTAGAGTATACAAATGTAATCCTCAAGAATTGGATGTTGTGCGATTTCAGAAGTCTATGCATTTATAAGAAGACATGATGAATTCGTCGAATCATCATACGAATCATGAAGAGTTTCTCACATGAAACAAGTACTATAATTAGAATAATATTTGTATCGCGAAAATATATGCAATGATTTTGCTACTTTATTTATCTGCAATTTGCAACATGTAATAAGACTTTTATAGTTTGTTAAATATACATCCATATATATATATAGATACTAGAAAAATAAATATCCCCGTTTTTTATCATATCTTTTTATTTATTGTTATTGTTGTTATATTTATGTAATTACTATTAAGAGAATTAAATGAAATATGCAATACTACTTTATCTATCTTGTAATTCCATCGCTTAAAAGTTAATTTTAACAGAGCATACGCATCTGTACATATTTGAAACAATTATATCCGATTGTCGAAAATCAATTTTATCATCTCGCAATACTATTCACTCAGATGTTTATATCATAGATTGTGCAAAAAATGTTGCAGGTTACCGTACCATTGACCAAACCTGAACTATAATAGTATAAGATGATTGCAATTAAATCAATTTTTTAATATATTACAAGTTTAGCTTAGTTGGCGAGCCAAAGTGTGTTTTTGTACATTCGTATCAGCGCTTAAGATACAATATGCTATTAAATAAAAAACTAATATGTAAACGAGTATATAAAAATATCGACGCATTAGATGACGCTTTAAATAACGATTCTGAATTGACCGCATTTGCAATTATACGGAATATATGAAAGAGTAGAAGAACGAAACTAGTCTTACAAAGTACTTATATTTCAGTTTCTAGAATATAAGAGAGCATTTCAATTAACAATCCAGTTGTTAAAACTGATGACTGCTATTAATAAGAACCAATGCGTTTTGTAATATTTAAATAAGCGTGTCATGTCCATGAAATATCCTGTGTATATATACATATACGATTTCAGAATTCTTCCTTTGTCTATCTCTTCACATAATGTAGCGCCTACGAATACTGAATAAAATTTATAGATACACAATGAAATTATTGCTGTTTAATTCTTCAATAGGCAAATTAGATAATAAGTTACTCTATTAATTTAATAAGCTTGCTCTCTTCTTTATTCTACATTACTTATTTTTATTTTATTATTATTTATATCTATGTTTAGCACATGGCAAGTTAAATGAATTGATTAAAAAAAAAATGAAACCATTGAAATCTAATTGAGAATTGTAAATAATTTTAAATTGTACGCTATCCAGAATCGCGTGTAACTATTATTTTTTCTTGAGGTAAATATCTAAATGCAAATATAAAATAGATGCTCTGTATTAAAAAAAATAGCTTTTCTAATATTACTTTGCATACTTTGTTATAATACAACATATTGATATATAAAGTTAATAATATAGAAACGAATTTTATATACCATTTTTTAACACTGATTTTATAATACGTTATATATTTTTGAAAAAAATAACCCTTGCATAATTATATATGTCTTTATTATTTTATTTAAAGATATACAAGATTTTTAAATTATTTATTATGTGTGTGAAACTCCCCAACAATCATATAGTCATAAATTATAGACTTAACAAAATAAATATCAATTATTAAAAAGAATTTATATAATTTTACACGAATATAGTAGATATGCAAATCAATAGTCTAAATAAATTTCAATAGTGAATTGATTTTTATATAAACGTTTAATTTAAGCACATTAATATTACTAAAGCTCTAGTTTTAACGATTTTCTGTCGTTTAATGGTGTACTTATCTCTGTAATGTTTTTAATTTTACATAATTGCATCAATATTTAGTATCTATCCATCCAATCGCACCATCTGTTTTGCTATTGTTACCTGATCGCAGTTTCGTTCGTTTTACAATGGTTGGATAAGAACAATCTGATGTTATCCTTACATCTCCTTGGTCCATCTTAATAGCTGCCATTTCAGTTTTTTGATGTTCATTAGTTTTTATTCTTGGAGACAATGAAGTATTTTGATTTTCTTTTTTCCGTTTTGTGTTTGTCTAATAAAGAATACAAAATTATAAAATTAATAAAATAAAAATAAAATTATAAAATATATTAAATTATTGATTAGAAAGATAAAATTGAAAGTTTTGTTGAAAAAAATATAATATAAAAATATGTAATTATCCTAGATATATAATATAAAAATATAATATATCAAATTCGTTATAGAAAATAGAGAAAATTATTTCTTGTAGTTTCAAATTATTATAAAAATAGATAAAATTAAATAGATAAAAATTATATATATATAATGAATATCTACTATTACATCAAAATATACTCCTCTTTCTCTCTCCATGTAGAGTTAAAGGTTTCATTGTCAAAATATTTTGTAAATTAACATATTATTACCATGCTAAGATTAACATAAAGAGAACTGATTTTTATTATAGATTCTATAATTAAATTAATTACCTGGCTATAAACATCTACTTTTTGTATGACATTGGAAGAGTTTTTATCCAAGTTTCTTTGATTATCAGATTGCGTAACATTTTGTCTTGATAGATTGATAAGGTTTTCTAATTCATTAATTCGATGTCGTAAGGATACATTTTCATTTTTGTAAACTTCTAAACATTCTTTAAACTCCCTGAACAAAAAAATATGATATAAGCATTATAGATTCTATGTTATAAGATTTAATTATTATATAAAATTAAAAATCTCGAAAATAAAAGAGCTTGTAATGCAGCATGATTCCTTTGAATGAAACAATCTAAGAAATTAAATCTTATACTTAACTGAAAATACATACTTAAACAGTTTTTTAACAAAAAATTTATGTTGCATTGTAAATTGATCTTAGAGATTTTTTATCTGACTCACAGTTATCTAATATCAGAAACAAATAATTATCATATAAACATACTTTTTGAATTGTTCCAGTTCCTTTTCTTTTTCATATAGTTTCTGTGTTACAAATTTATATCTTGCATATTTTTCTTTAAAATGTGTTATTTGTTCATTTAAAACATGCATATCAGAATTTTTCCGCTTGATTTCACTTTCTACTTTGCGTACTTCTTGTCTAAGGCCAGTATTTTGTTTTTCCAGAGTTACATTCTTCGTAGCGTAATATTTAATATGCTTTTCTTTCAATAAAAGTTGAAATTGCAGACTATCGATCCTTTCTTGCAAGGATGAATCTAGATTCTGAGAATCTCTATCTGAGATTTCTGAAGCAGTTTCACTATTTGGAGATGTAAAATAAACTCTATAGATTCTATTTTCTGTCACTTTTTCACGACATTGTGGACAACTTTTAGATCTGAGGAATAAATAAAAATTAGTTAAAATTATGTTTATACATATATATGCTTAATATGATTTTCTATTTCTTTGTAAAGACGAAATCAAAAAATCGAGAAAAAGAGATTAAAGCAATTATAAAATCTCATAACAATGAGTTTGTTTTGCTTGCATTTAGGCTTTGAGAAGAGAAAGAGAAAAAATACAAAGTGTAAGAAGTGAACGATTAAAATAGAGCTAATCATCATACGTCGATCGCGTGAAAATATAACCATGAAATGTGTTGTTTACCTTTCAAGCCATCGTGACAAGCACTGGAAATGAAACACATGTCCGCAACGAGTAAAAAGATTTCTTCGGACGGTTGCAAACGATCTTGACATATAACGCAAACGATATTCATCTTGCGAACGAAAGAATTAAGAAAGGGAGACGAGATATACGATTCACGCGATCAAATGTTAGACACGATCGCTTTTACTTGTCCACTCGTCCACTTGTCCCGTCAACACTCGCTAACGTGTAATTTATCATATGTTCGCGATGTCAAATTCGGTGGATTTAAAAATAACAAATACAGCTGTCAAATGATGCCCGAAATGACGGAAGAAAAATATAGAAGGCTGGAAAAGACAAAGTTATAGAAATATCATCTTTCGATTTGAATCAGGTATAAGTAAAAATCCCTTTCCACCACGTCTGACAATCTGACATATGACTGATCCTGCCTCGTGCCTTCTATCGAAATTTGCGTACTGCACTAAATGCTCGCGCATGATCAGGTGAACAGATGATATAAACAATAAATAGATCATATGGATAAAGCTTTGCTTATTCGTTAAATAAACGTAGTAGAATAAAGCTTGTGTTTATTATATATTATATAATTATACTTGATTTTTATCTTAATAATATATTTATATATATCTAACCTTATCTACAAAATGCACATATTTTCCGATATTGGAAAATTAAATCCACTGCTCCAAGTTTGAAAAATAATTCGTCAAAAATATAAATATAGTGTTTTTTATAGATTTATAACAAAAATAAATTAATCATAATACAAAGACTTATATGAAATTTTAACTTTAGATACTTTGTGCGCAATGTATAAATCTCAATTTGTTGGTCTGGATAATAAACCAGATGATACAAAATGTCTATTGTGCGATTGCACATTTGTTCTTCCGACAAATGAAACGGATTTTCTTACGCATTTATTTAAAGCGCATCGTCTCGTTATAGCGGATGTTACGAAAATAGCTAGTTTGCAAAGGTATGATGATTTTTCATATACAATATATTATTTATCATTTATGTTTCTAATCATTTTAATCAGGTATAATTTCAATATAATTTTAGTTACATACATTATTGGAAAGTAAAGTTCAGAGAGGCACCATTGACGACTTATTGTACAACATTGTTAATGGATCGTACACCAGATGATCAGCCAAGTAAAAATGAACATTACTTTTTGCTTTCTGACTGTCTGTCAGAAGACAAGACTTTGAGAAGTGAAATACATCAGGCTAAATTAGTATGTATATGTATATCAATGAAAAAATCATAAACTCCATTATATGTTGTGTCTGATATGTAAACTGATACATAATTATTATTTTAAGGAATGGGCATTGGCACAACAAGAAACTGAACGTGCAGACAAAAGTTTTAAGCGTGGCTGCATGTTTTGTCGTACAGAATTCTGTGGATCACGTATTACATATATAAAACATCTTTTTCAAAAGCACAATCTTCATCTCGGCAAGCCAGATAACTTGGTATTTCTTGATGAACTTTTGAACAAAATTGAGAGTAATATTGAAAGGTATTACATTCAAGAATTATAATTTACATATTATTTTAATATTATATACTTACAAAAAATATATATATATATATATATATATATATAATTTTTTAGTTTGATATGTATTTACTGTGAGAAAACATTTAAGGATCGTACAGTATTAAAGGAGCATATGCGAAAAAAATTTCATAAATGTATAAATCCTTATAATAAAGTGTACGATAAATTTTATATAAACAATTATTTAGAGCCAGGAACAACTTGGAAGCAAGGACAGGTAATGATCTGTGCTTTAAAGTAAAAATTTTAAGATCTTAAAAATATAATTTTTCTTAATGTTTATAGCCACATTCAGAAAAGAATCTAGATCCAGGAGATGGTAATAGTGATAATGAAGATGAGGAAAGTTCATGGTCCGATTGGAATGACGAATCTGTTGAAATAATATGTCTATTGTGTAATTATAGCAATAATGAATTCACATGTATCTTGAGGCATATGAAAGAAACACATTTTTTCGATTTTGAAGAAACAGTCAAAGACTTAACTTTTTATGAGAAGGTGATTATATCATGTAATCAATTTTATATTTTTAATAATGTACTTTTCTTTTTCTATATGTTATTGTTCTTATAGGTAAAAATAGTCAATTATATAAAGAGACAAATTCAATTACAACAATGTATTTTCTGTGAAACAAAATCAGATAATGTCTTAGAGCACATGAAGAATCAACAACATTGTAAAATTCCTGCACAGAAAGTCTGGAATCAGCCAGAGTAAGAATTATTGAAATTGTAGAATTTACCTAATCTACATAAGAGATAAAATTATATTAAAATATATTTTATTCCACACAGATATTATTTTCCTATGTCAGAAAATGATTCATTTTTATATAATCTTGATGCAACCAGTAATAGTGATGAAGAAAATAACATTGAGAATCTTTCTGAAGCAATGTAAGTAATATTTTTAAAAAATTTCGCTGTGATATATATTAAGAATAAATTCAAGCAAATAAAAAACATATTTAAAAAATTTTAGGTCTAATTTATAAATATTTCTCTTCTAAGGAGGTATATTTCAAAATTCTATTCACTAATAAACAATTATTTCACTTCGTGACAAACATTGTTTTATATACATATAAATACATGTATATACACACATACTAGAAAATTTGTTATACTCCTGTGCTGTTATATAAATAAATTATAAATTTATTTATATTGCCATTTTGTAATATGCTATTTTTTAAATTATATTAAGAATGAAACATATTTATGAAATCAAAACACGTATATAAGTTTATTGACTCAATTATATCCAGTACAAGTCTACTCAATTTTATCTATATACATGTGTACAACACCTCAAAATTTTCCACTAACAAAAAATTTGTTTATTGTAACATTATCCATATTACTTTTTTATTCTAGAAAAAAATTTCTTGCCACGCACTTTAGAAGCACCTTTACTAGTCGATGATTTTTCATCTGTTGGTAAACATTTCCCGTGCATAGCTTTGTACAACAATTCAGCATCATTTGTATTTCCAAGTATTTCTTTTAGTTCTTCCTAATTACACATATATAATTTTGAATATTTTTCTGAATACTTACAAATTCCAACAATGTAATGAAAATAACATTATTAAGGAAAGATTAATTCTAATTATTATTCACTTACCTGTGTAAGCTTAATAAGATGGCTTAATGATTGTCCTTTATTTAATAGAATACGCAGATTTTTCGAATGCACACCAGGTAATTTAGTCATAAAATCTTGAATATTAGAATTATATCTTTCTACCATTAGTTGTTTGTTTTCTGTGTCTTCATCTGCTCCAATCTTAGCAGCTACATTTGAATCAGGTTGAGCTCGTCCTTGCTACAAATTAAATATTCATTAATTATCAAAATTAATAATTTTATTTTAAATTTAACATTACCTTTAATTCTTCAAACAATTGTGCCGTTGCTTGTGGACTAGGAGACCATATAATTTTTAGTTTAGGAAAATGAAGTGTTAGTAATTGTAACTTTGCTGTTATTTCAGTATTTTTAAGATCTCTACTAACATAATAATTTCCCTAGAACAATATAAATATTATTATTAGATATATAAAAGAGTAGATTTTTATGTAACATTTTTATAGATTATATATATATATATATATATATATATATATATATATATACCTGAAAACAGAAAGCTTTATTCTGATCAAATTCTATAAGAAGCATGGGTTTAGCATAATGTCTTGTCATGGCAACTGCTTGATTATACAATCTTCCAGAAAACAAGGAACCAATTAAATCAGATATGCTTTTCCTCTCAACACATATTTCTGGCGTAAGAATATAGTCACCCACCTTAATAACATTTAAATCATTTAATTAGAAATAACAATTATCAGCTTGGATTAATAAACTTATCATATTTCACTCACCACTAATGTGACTGGTTCAACTTTTATACCACGTGTATACAAAATAGCAGGCAATTCACTTCTGAATTCTCTCATATCAACAATAACTTTTGGAATTATTTTTACTTCGGATTGCATTCCGCCTTTACGTGTGTTTTCTTGATTTGTGTTATCTGATTGAATTGTGAGAGCCAAACAATCTTCCGATTTTCCATCTTGATCTTCAGGTACAACCATGATCTAAGAAAGCAATGGAAATTATAATGTTATCACTCAATATTATACTTTGTGCTTATTGAACAATGCTTATTTAACACTTACTTTTTTCGTATTAATTAAAGAATGAAATGCTTCCTTTTCCCGTCGTAAGGAAGTAAGATATTCTTGTTCCTCGACAGATCCGTCATAAATTAAAAAATATATTTTTAGATCTATTGACGGATTATTATTTTGATACACCTCCAATTGTCTTACAGTACCAATATCAGCTACGTATAAAATAATATTGTTTGGCATATGTTCTGCTAACGCTCGCTGTAAAGCCATCGAATCTCCTCCCTTCTTTATAGCTTGTATGAAAACAATAGGTGCAGATGTCGCGCAATTGGTTAAATCTAAATCTGCTAGCTGTAAAATCAGAAAATTTACAGTAATATTTATATTTTCCATAAAAATATAAATTTATATTTATATATAAATAAAAGATATAATATTTAAATTACTTGCGAGCATTCCTCAAATAATGTCTGATTTGTATTTTCTGTAGAAGTACTTGGCTGAGTTTCATCTGCACATTTTTGTGTCAAAGTAAGTATGAAAGTGTCTTGATCATTTTGTGCATCTTCATCCGTATTACTCTCAGATGTTGATTGTTGATCTTTCACGTTTTTTCCATTATTACCACTTTCCTTTTGTTCTTTATTATGCGACAATTTTTTTAAGGCTTCATAAAATAAATATTTATTTGCACCCATAGTTAAAAAATTCTTCAATTGTCTACATATATTGTTATCATGTGCTAAGATGAGAACTTTATCAACATTTTCACTATCCTTTTTTTTAAGTTTTGTTCTTGAATTTCAGATAACACTTGTGACAAAGCTATCCATTTTGGATTTGGTTCTGGTTTTAGTTCATTCTTATCTGTATAAACTCTGCTTTTGGCATATTTAAATAAATTTTCGACTTCATCTAACATTATCCAGCCACTGGCTTTCACAGCATATTCCATAGTCCGTAAACGATTCAACATAGCATAAAATGAAACTGAATCTTCATGTATCAAAGATATAATAAGGGATCGTAAAATTTTTAAATCAGAAAGTAACTGTTTGGTTGTTGTACTAAGTTGATGCCAAATTGGATCTAGTTGCAAATGTAATTGCTTGTGAAACTTCTTTGCTATTGCATTCTCCACAGTTAATTCATCTAAGTCTAGATATTTATTGATGCGCTTCAATTCCTTCACAATGTAATTCATAACATCAAGCAAAGCTGCTTGAATGTTTTGCATTTTTGGTGTGATTTGTACATGTAATTCTATAACATCAGGCTCGTGCTTAGACAAAGAATTACTAACGATTGCATGAAAGCGCGGCCATAAATATAACTTTTTCACAAACAGGGCTTTCATAACTCGTTCTACTTGTGAATATCCAACTGTAAAAGCCAGTGACGAATTTGTGAACGCCTTGATAAATCCAGTCTTATTATTTTGCCTGTATAAACGCAGTGCGAATGCTTCTTGATACTTATTCAGAATATTGTGTGCTCTGTATACAAGAATACCAGTGACTAAGTGCAATGGAACTCTGTTCTTTAATAAATCTACTACCAAGATACGTCCTGATATAAACAGTACTCCACCCTCCAAATACATTATTTCTCTATAAAATATAACAGATTTTATTAAATATATCTTATATATAAAATAAAATAAAAAAATAAAATATTTTTTAATATACCTTTCACTGGAAGTATATTCAGAATTGACAATATGTGGCAAAGTATTAGTTCCATAACTTTTAAGTAGTTCAATGAAATAATGCTCATCATGATCTGTAGTTCCTAGGATTATAACTAAATTGCCTGGATCCGAATAAGCTTTTATTACATTAGCAAAAACCGTTTCTATACCGAGGCCCCTATAATATTTTCCATTAAATCATTAAATAAGTTATTAGACAAATTAATGCAAGAGTAAAATAATGATACTTACTTGGCTGTAATAACTAATCCATCCTCTTGGATGATTTCAAGGAACATTTGATTTTCGTATTCCAACATGTTTATTGATATATATATATATATATATTCCAATTCAATTTCTAAATTTCTTAATTGTTTTAATGTTTAAATTAAAAATTGAAGTAAGAAATCCATGAAATACCATATCAAATTAGCAAAAAACGAGATGTGAATCCTCTAAAATAAGATATTTTAAAAATTGATTAAAATACATATCTGTATATAGTATAGAAGATAAAATAATTTATACGTAGCTATTTACTTTATTATCTCCTTTATAACTACTTCTTGATATTTGATCGTATGGTATAGTGTCGTCTTCAATCATTAACTCTGATACCAAAAGAGTATATTTACTAACTTCATGGGACGGATGGCCATAAACACCAATACTCACAGGTCGTTTAAAGCTGCAGACATAGAATATATTGTAAACTGTTAAAATAAATTTAAAAGAATATAACATACAATACCTTTTAGGTATGAAAATAATATCTTCTCCACAAGTTGTCGATTGCAAACAATAATGATCCGGTTCATACGTTGGTTTGGTTGTAGTTTGCGATGCATATAAATCTGCATCACCTGTTCTAAAGAATATAAGTATACAATATATACAACGTATATATACAAATTAATAGAAAGAAGGTAGAAATACCCATATAATGAATATACAATGATTAAAAATGTTGGACAAGATTATAAAAAAATTAACAATACTGTAATATGATTAAATTCCTACTTACAGTGATGAAAGCCGTATTTTAATATAACCGTCGTATGTCAAGCTGTAATATTTGTAAGAGCCACCGGGTACATCGTCACTAACGTAATGCAATAATTCCTCTTCCAAAGCCAATACGCAAGTTATCTGAAAGTTTAAGCGACAATCATCACTATGTGTGTGCGGAAATTCCACAAAATAAATATTTTCGCAAAAGGACTTCTCGAGCACTTTTAGCGCGCAGAATAGAATTATAACCTCATCATACCAGAGTCGCAATAACAAATGTTGTCTTCATAGTACAGCGCATAACATCATTGGCGATCAATATACTCTTGTTTAATATTGATTTTCACGATAAATACTTTGCATAGATATAACTGTAACTGTTTAATTGTGGGATTATTCGTTGATTGAAATCGGCGAAATACTGCATTTATATACATATTACATAAAGCGTATAAAATTGCACACATTCGCACCACTGGCGATGCTCGTGGAATCAGCTGATTGTAAAAATAGTGACTAATCAGCCCGTTTCGTATAAAATATATATACATATGAAGCAAATTAAAATATCATATATATATGAAATTTATTTAAATAAAAATTTTTTTAATTTGAAAAATATTTGTAAGTATATCTTTAATATAATCTGCAAATATTAATAATAATTTTATGAATATTATATAAACAGCGACAAAAAACTACACCTTTTGCAGTATAGATTATATCGAAATATTTTACTACTTAAAAAAATCCTTGCATTTAAAAACGAGGTTAATGGGTATTCGTTTAAAGATTATACGATCCGCTAGATTATTTTCATAGTCGTAGCGAAGCACGACTGATATATGCTTGTAAAATCAAATCAATTAATGTAACTCTATAGTAATACACGATCAACGCGAATTACTAATACGATAAATAAGCGCGCGCAGTTGCCATTAACGGAGGAAACAATTATCAAAGTCTCTCATTAAGCGATAAAGGCATTTTTATAAGAGGCAACACGTGCAGTATGCGCATTAAAATGGAATAGAAGCGTCACGGAAGCGTATCGGATGACGAAACGCCTATCGCAGGCCCTCGGATAAATTCCATATATATATATATATATATTTAAACATCTCGTTAGTCGACAGACCCTCGGTATTTATGCAAATTTGCTCGCCGTTTTATGCATGGCCTACGACAATGTGCAATTCGGATCGCATCGAGGTTTATATATGTGGAGCTGCCCTAGCTATATACGACGCTCCTATCCTGCGATAGCGTAACCGCTATCAACTATGATATCCGGTGGTACGGCTATTAGTAAACAAGGTATAGTAATTACCCGCGTAGCAGCGCGAAAGGGCCGAGATAATTGCATCGAGAGGGAGACTTCATAATGACCAATTAAAGCGCGCGCAACGCTGGAAAAAGTATTTATTCTCTTTTCGGTTCTGTATTTTTTATATTTCTCCCTCCTGTTAGATACGTGTAAAAAAAAATAAAGACCATCTGTTTGTGCTACTCTTAGCGTGACCGCCATTAATTCGAAGATATATATATATATATATATATATATATTTATTTGTTATCGCGAAAATCATCTTTCGCTTCACGCGGGAAAAACACTTTCGTTTAATTATACAATATAAAACTGAATATACAATATAATACTGAAGCAGGAGAATTTTGTTCTCTTCAATTTTTATTTTTATTCCAATTAATAAATAAAGTAATTTAGTCATGGATGTGGATAACTCAACGATTCGTAAATATAGCGTCATATTACGACATAAGAAGCTTTAGGTTGAGTTCGAAAATCTATCTGTCAAAGTGCAAAGTTTGACCGACCAATCAGCGCCCGAGAATCTCTGTGTCTTGATTGGTCGATCGAGCGCTTCACCCTAGGTGAATAGATTTTCGAACACATACTCTAGAATGTTGCTGCTCTTTAGTATAATTAGTAATAATTAGTTACTGTAGCTAAATTTTAGCTGTTCCTATCCTTTCTTTAAAAAAGGCATGTTATATATATAACATGCCTTTTTTAAAGAAATAATTGAAATTGTACATATATATATAAAAAACAGTGCAGTGATCAGTGTCAAACCATATGGGATTATAGCAGAGCAGCATATTAAAGCAGAGAGGTTTAGATAATCGACTTATTGCAATGTGAGTTTATTTTTTATTTATGTTACATTGTTCGGAAAATAATGATCTCTTCTCAGAAGAGCTGAAGAGAATTGACGTCTGAATTTTTCGACACTTGTTAGGGTCGTTGCTCGAATGCTACGTTATTAAAAATTAAAATTTAATCTATATTTACAGAATAAATTATATATCACAAATTCGAGAGAAATTGAAAAAGGCAAATTAAAGAAGTTTTGAATTTGATCCTATTTCAATTTTCTGAAATCGTGATTGTCTTGCAATCATAATAATCTTCTCGAAGACACTTTTGAATAAATATAATTAAGCTGAATATATATATATATATATATATATATATATTATGTAAAAAAATCTTTATAATTATTTAAATGTTTAAATGCAGAGCACTAAAAATTTTTTTAATTTTCTGAGAGGGAATTACTGCAGTGACTTTTCTTTTATTCAATTAACTATTGTTAAAAACTAATATTAGGAAAAATAAAACTAATCTGAGGAAAAATAATACTAATATTAGAAAAAACAAAACTAATATTATGAAAAATAAAACTAATATTGGGAAAAATTACACTAATCTTAGGAAAATTCTAAAGTATTAAAAATTAAATTAATACAAAATTGAGAAATGACATGCACGTAACCGCTCGCTTTTGTTGATCTATAGTATTATATATTTTGAATCTTTTAAAAATTAAAGTGTTATTTTTTTCCAATAAAAATATACTACAGAAAAATTCAATAAACTAATAATATTAATTATTATATACATTTGGAGTATTTTGTTACGTTTCGTATAAAAATGTCTATTTCAAATTTATTTGAAAAATAATATAGATTTGTAGTTTTATTTTTTTAAAAATTAAAAGCGTTTTAATTTTACGAACAATATGTATTTTAAATATAAAAGAAATATTACAAAATATATCAACAAATTCAACACATTTCATCTTTTGTATCTCATTAAATTGGAATGCCCGAAGCGTTATCAATGCCTAAATTTTAGCTATATTAGCTAATATTTTTTAATTATAGAATTTTCCATTAAACTATATAGCTAAAAATATTAATTATTATAATTAAAATTTGGCATAATAATTAAATTTCAAATTGTAATGTAGAGACAGCTAAAATTGATTGTGAACTATATGGTAATTAATTTTTTTTCCGTGCAATGTTGTTTATTTTCATGTGTAAAACACGAATCTAACTAAAACACGAATGTAAATTAAAACCGGCCCCTCTACAAAACCTCTTATAAACTTGTATTGGAGAGCGACAATTTTAATTTACACAGATTCGTATTTTACGCACAAAAGTACACAATATTGAGGTCGAAATTGATGGCAGTTATTTGATTCGCGATGAGAAAATCCAATCTAATCTAAATCAGTACGTAAATTTATATATTCAATTTTTTTATATGTTATATTAAATGTGCAATCCAAAATTAATAATGCGCGGTTTATTTAATACTAAAATAGATTATACCACGTTTGATCGAGAAGAGAGATACCACGTAACATATCAAGATGATTTTACTTTTTTAAAGAGAATGTGTTTATTTTGATAATTGCTGCCAAGATGACGAGGAGAAAAGTGAAATGCATCATAATAGCGGAACGATATCGCGCGTGATCAGGGCGATATCCAGAAGTTCATTTCGTCGGTGCATTACTCTTTCATTAGAAAGAGAAGAGACTTTCTCTTATTAATGGAGAAATGTATATGGATGGAGCATATTGTGAAAACTTGAGTTTTAACGTTACATTTGGAGAGTGCTATTGAAAAAAAAAAATAATAGAACAAAGATTATTTCCATTGCAAATTATTGAAACTTGTACGCAATTCTAAAAGGCGTTCAAATGTATAATTCACGAGATACAAAAATGAGATGTGTTGAATTTGTCGATATATTTCGTAATATTTTTTTATATAATTTAAATTGTTTTTTATTGTCAAAAAAATTAAAACGCTTTTGATAATTTTTCAAAACATAGAGAGGTATATTTTATTTTCAAATGAATTTGAAGTAGACATTTTTACAATACGTAACAAAATATTCCAAATATAATAATTAATATTATTGGTTTTTTGAATTTTTATTATTTTTATTATCTTTATTGGGAAAAAATAACGTTTCATTTTAAAAATTTCAAAATTTAATTAAAATCTTTTTATTTAATTTTTCTTTATTCGTGCTTCGCGCATACAAATCAATCGAATATATGTAGGTAACTTTCCAGATGTAATTTTTCGTGGTCTAAATTTCAATTTAACTAACTTTATAGATCCGTTTTTTGCAATTGAATTTTTTGTATTTTACCTAAATTTTTCCATTTCTCTGCAACATTTAATTATACACCTTCGTTTCGAATGCGAAAGCATAAATGCAGCTATACAAAGAGCAGATCTTACAAGTATACACAGAGAGAATTTTCTCTTAGAATTTACTCTGAAAATCATGATAATCATGGAACAATATGGTATTTTACTATGTAGGTACATAGTAAAATTATCGAACATATTTGATATCTTTATTGTGGTAGATATTAATATTTTTTATTGTGGTAAACAGTAATCAGAGAAATTCTTATAAAATTCTCCCAATACCATATATTATCCCGATTACCATGATTTTCAGGGTAAATTCTAAGAGAAAATTTTCTCTGTAAAAATTGTATTTCATCCGAACAGAAAAAGAGAAAGAGAGAGAGAGAGAGAAAAAGTCGCTTCGCGTCAGTTTACTCATCATGGCAATTGTATACGCGTTCTATTAAATTCGCAAGTCTCTCGCGGGGTGTAAACAGTCTTGCAACGACTCCCCCTCCATTCCCCCATTTTTGGTCCATCGAAGCAGAGACGCGATGAACGCGACTGTAAGATCCTGCGCGCTCGCGTTCGCCAGTTACTTTGTGTACGTGCATATATACACACTTGATCGTTCGCAAATGGTATATACGTATACATAAATACATGTATACCCTCGCGGTGAATCGAACCTAAGGGCGGCGAGAAGTGGGGGCGGACGGGGCTGCGACGGAGGGTCAAAAAATGCGAGGCTGCGCGCGCAGCCGCTTTGTCTCTCTCGCCGAGCGGCGCGGCGCGGCAGTAGTAGTGGGGGAAGCGCTCGGAACCACGAGGGGCCACCAGAGGTCCGGCGAGCGAACTGCATCCTCTCAGTCGGCCGCTGAACCGCGCGCCGTACGGTTGATACGTGTGCTCGCTCGGTCGTCCGTTCATCCGTCTGTTTGTTCGTTTCGTCTCGCGTAAAAGCTTCGCGTTCGCTGCAGAGAGCTTCTTCGCGTTTTCTCTCTCTGTCTCTCCGACTCTCGCGCGCGATCGAGTCGACGTCGTATAC